AACACCATTCACAATAGCCACAAATGACATAAAGTACCTTGGTGTAACCCTAACCAAGCAAGTCAAAGACTTGTATGAAAAAAATTTCAAGTCTCTGAAGAAAGAATTAGAGGAAGATATGAGAAGATGGAAAGATCTCCCATGCTCATGGCTTGGCAGGATTAACATAGTAAAAATGGCCATCTTACCAAAAGCAATCTACAGATTCAATGCAATTCCCATCAAATTGCCAACACAATTCTTTACAGACCTGGAAAGAAAAATTCTCAACTTCGTATGGAATAACAAGAAACCAAGAATTGCTAAAACAATCCTCTACAATAAAAGATCTTCTGGAGGTATCTCCATCCCTGATCTCAAGCTGTACTATAGAGCAACAGTTATAAAAACTACATGGTACTGGCATAGAAACAGAATGGTGGATCAATGGAATCGAACAGAAGACCCAGAAATAAACCCACACACTTACGGACACCTGATTTTTGACAAAGATGCCAAAACCATACAATGGAAAAGAGAGCATCTTCAACTAATGGTGCTGGTCCAACTGGATGTCTACATGTAGAAAAATGAAAATAGATCCATACTTATCACTCTGCACAAAACTGAAGTCCAAGTGGATCAAAGACCTCAACATAAAACCAGACACATTAAATCGGCTAGAAAAAAAAGTGGGGAATACCCTAGAACTCATTGGTACAGGAGAAAACTTCCTGAACAGAACACCAACAGCACAGGCTCTAAGAGCAACAATCAATAAATGGGACCTCCTGAAATTGAAAAGCTTCTGTAAGGCAAAGGACACCGTCATCAAAACAAAGGGACTGCCTACAGATTGGGAAAGAATAATCACCAACCCTTTATCTGACAGAGGACTCATATCCAGTATATATAAAGAACTAAACAAGCTGAAAAGCAATAAACCAAGTAATCCACTTAAAAAATGGGGAACAGAGCTAAAGAGAGAATTCTCTGTAGAGGAATATCGAATGGCAGAGAAGCACTTAAAGAAATGCTCAACCTCATTAGCCATTAGGAAAATGCAAATCAAAACAACCCTGAGATTTCACCTTACACCCATGAGAATGGCCAAGATGAAAAACTCAAGGGACAACACATGCTGGAGAGGTTGTGGAGAAAGGGGAACCCTCCTCCACTGCTGGTGGGAATGTAAACTGGTACAACCACTCTGGAAATCAATCTGGCGCTTTCTCAGACAACTAGGAATAGCGCTTCCTCAAGATCCAGCCTAGGCATATACCCAAAAGAGGCTCAAGTACACAAAAAGGACATTTGCTCAACCATGTTTGTAGCAGCTTTATTTGTAATAGCCAGAAGCTGGAAACAACCCAGATGCCCCTCAACTGAAGAATGGATGCAGAAACTGTGGTACATCTATACAATGGAGTATTACTCAGCAATGAAAAATAAGGAAATCATGAAATTTGCAGGTAAATGGTGGGACCTGGAAAGAATCATCCTGAGTGAGTTGTCCCAGAAGCAAAAAGACACCCATGGAATATACTCACTCATATAAACATACAACATAGAATAAACCCACTAAAATCTGTACATCTAAACAAACTAAGCAAAAGAGAGGACCCTAACTAAAATGTTCAATCCCCATCCTGAAAGGCAAAGAGGATGGACATCAGAAGAAAAAGAAAATAGGAAACAACCTCGGAACCTGCTACAGAGGGCCTCTGAAAGCCAGAAGAAAACAGGAAACCACCTTGAAACCTGAACAGAGGGCCTCTGAAAGCCTCTGCAGTATAGACTATCAAAGGAGATGCTGAGCCTGATGGCCAACTGATGGGCAGAGTGAATGGAATTTTATGTAAGAAGTGGGAAATAGTAAGAGCTGGAGGGGACGGGAACTCCACAAGGAGAGCAACAGAACAAGATAATTTGAACACAGGGAACTTCTCAGAGACTCATACTCCAACCAAGGACTATTCATGGAGATAACCCAGAACCCCTGCACAGATGTAGCCCATGGCAGTTCAGTGTCCAAGTGGGTTAAATAGTAATGGGAAGAGGGACTGCCTCTGACATAGTCTGATTGGCCTGCTCTTTGATCACCTCCCCCTGAGGGGGGAGCAGCCTTACCAGGCCACGGTAGAGGACAATACAGCCACTTTTGATGAGAACTGATAGACTAAGATCAGAAAGGAGAGGAGAACCTCCCCTATCAGTGGACTTGGGGAGTGACATGCATGCAGAAAGGGGAGGGAGGGTGTGATCGGGAGGGGAGGAGGGAGGGGCTTATGGGGGGATACAAAATGAATAAAGTGTAATTAATAAAATAAAAAAACTAAGATTATTATGTATGTACAAATTTTGTCATTTTATTAGTAGTTATACAGAGTACTCATTCATTGTAGAAATAAGCTTTATGGCATTTATAATGTTTAAGTTTTCTACCAGTCCTAACAGTAATCTTCGAGGTCTCCATGATGATGGGGCCCTGCAATGATCAATCTACCTAGATTATGGTAACACTAACCACTGGACAAAACTGTCCCATGCCTCTTCTGCCACCAGGTTCTGTGCAAACTGGACTGCTGTGGTCTACCTAGCTGGGATTGCCACTAAGCTGACAAACACCACCCAAAGATCAGCTTTGGACTACAAACTGTTCAGGACATTCAAATTGCTGAGTTCATAGGACACTGACATGAACATTGTACATAACAAAATTACATAATCCTGGGGCTGGAGAGATGGCTCAGTGATTAAGCAGACTGTCTGCTCTTCCAGAGGTCCTGAGTTCAATTCCCAGCAATCACAAGGTGGTTCACAAACCATCTGTAATGGGATCTGCTGCTCTCTCTGTCATACAGGCTTACATGCAGATATAAATAATTTTTTTAAAGAATGCTTACTCCTAAAACTGCCAAAAGTTGCCAAGCTGGACATTGTGGAAGGCTTGGCAGAAATAGCTTCATTACTGTAAATAGTGAAGAAAAATTTCTATGTTAAAAAAAAAGAGTTAAAAATCTTTCCTTTTAGACAAAAAGGGAGAAATGTTGCACGATATGTGATCACACTGTGAACCCCAAATTTGTGTTGTTTACTAGAAAAAACCTGTTTCTAGCTGTGGTGTGGCTCAGCCCTAGCACACACTTTTAATTCCAAGAGCTTTCTGCTTGAACAAGATGAAATAAAGTCAACCATAAGTCAAGGTGCAGAAGCCAGGTGCAGTGGCACATGCCTGTAATTCCAGCACTTGGGGAGGCAGAGGTGGGCTGATCTCTGAGTTCAAGGACAGCCCAGTCTACAAAGCAAGTCCTTGGCAGCCAAGGGTATACAAAGAAACCCTGTTTCAAGAAAAAATAAAGGAAAAAAGGAAGTCAGGAGGATGAAGAAGAAAGGTACATTGACTTTGAGGGTGTTGATGTTTTATTTTGGAGACAGTGGGGAAGATGAGCTGGATGCTTTCTCTGCCTCTCTGAGCTAGTAGGCTTTCACCCCAGCTTCTGGCTCCTGAGTCTTTATTGGTAAAATCAAATGATTGGGATTTTGTTAATAACAACACTGTTTTTGTTGCTGTTAAGAATAACACTAGGGCTGGTTCTTGAAAGCTGTACTTGACTCTTTAAAGGCAAAGCTCTCTGTGATGGATAAGTATCACATTTCATTTCTATTTCCCACAAAATCGAGTTGAAGATTAGCTGTGACAATAGGTGTATGAAGAAAAGCAACCTGTTAGCTGGCCAATGGCTATCACCTCAAGAGCTGTGTTGTCCTAGGACCATGCAACTGACTGAACAGTACTGAACCAAATGTGTGCCATTTTTGCTAAAAGTGCTGGCCATGTTTTTGGGCACACAAGAAGACTAAACACAAGATGAAACTCTGGTGCCTCTGCTTGTCCTGACATCTATCTCCCTCACTTGGGTTGAAGGGATAGAGATAGATCGTCTTTTTTGTTAGTTTGGTTTTGGAGTTGTTGCTGTGTTTGTTGAGACAGGATTTATATGTAGCCCTCACTGTCCTAGAACACAATATGCAGACCAGGCTGGCCTTGTACACAGTAAGATCCACCTGCCTCTGCCTGTGTGTGCACCACCGTGTCTGGCATAAAGCTGTCATTAACCTTTCCCTCTGGAGATACTTTGGATTACACGAAGAGCAAATACCCCCAAAGTCACAGAGGGGCACAAGTACTCTGGAACAAAAGCAAGCATCTTGTAGAAACAGTAAGATAGCTTGCAACAAAGTAACAATCCATCAGACCTCTTCACAGCACTGGAGCCCAGATGATGTTGGGTGGGGCTACATCTTGGTAGTGGGGCTTCATGGTGTCATCTACTCAAACCAAACCTTACTGTGGTTACCCTGAAGGCAGCTTGGGGATCAATGGACCTGTGTGCACTTACATGCAGGTAAAACACTCACCTATGGTAAAAATAAATACATCTTGGGAGGAGGGACAAGCAAAAATAATTAAAAAAACCCAACCCCTCATCACAGAAACCTCTCCTTGCAAGAGGCTGTAACAGAAAAACACAACTGCCGAGGACAAGTAATGAGACTCCAGCTGCTACACAACTTCTGCACCTGAGGCTCAAGGATCACAGAAGAGGCAAAACTGTTAGAGGATCAGAAGTTTGTAATGAGGTTTCATCTCCTAGAAGCTCCACCCCTAAAGCCTCATCAACATGGCTGCCTAAACAAGATCTGAGTAAGAGCAATAGAGCTGGGTGCGGTGGTGTACGCCTTTAATCCCTGCACTTGGGAAGCAGATACAGGCGGATCTGAGTTCGAGGCCAGCCTAGTCTACAAAGTAAGTCCAGGACAGCCAGGGATATAGAGAGAATCCCTGTCTTGGAAACCACTCCCAAAAAGAACAGCAATAGATATGCTAACAGGGAAGGGGGGAAATCTCATGGTGCCTTAGAAACTATGGAATGATGAGTGATATTTTTCCTCAGAGACGTACCCCCAAATTAGATATTCAATACCAAGTAGTCAGTCATGAAATAATACAAGTAACATACAAACTGGGCTCGTTGTATTTATATATGCACTTACATTTGAAACAAAGAAACAGGCCATAAATTTGAGAGACAGCAAGGGCTGTTACATAAAAAGGGAAATGATGTAATTACACTTTAATTTCAAAAAATAAACAAAAACCTAGTAGGATTTTTTTAATGAGTTAATCACTAGACCAGGTTGGTGCACACCTTAAACTCCAGCACTTAGAAGACAGATCCATCTCTGAGAGACTGAGGTCAGCCTGGTCTACACAGTGAGTTCTATGGGGTTAAAGGCATGTGCCAGGCCCAAGAATATACATTCTTACTTTCAGCTCTCAGATGTTCCATGCCCCTAAACCTCAGAACTTCCATGTCTTTGTCTGGTTTTCCCCGGCAGCATTTCCTGATTTTGTGAAAAGGGTTGTGAAAACCTAATCCTGATGTGCCCTTGAGGACTGATGGTCTGCCCACACCTAGTGGAGCCATTTTGTCCTTAAGTGATTGTTTTGAGTGTCCCTCCTCCACCCACACTTAGGATTCAGCTGCACAAATGTGTGCCTGTGTGTTAAGGAGTAGTGGTAAGAAGCCTTTAATCATAGCCCTAAGGAAGCAGCAGAAGCACATAGATCTCGAAGTTCAAGGCCAGCCTGGTCTACAGGGTGAGTTCTGTGACAGCCAAAGATATGCAGACAGCAATTCTAAAAAACAAAAATGTTGTGGATATAAACATGTTTTTGTTTTGGTTCCAGGTGTGGGAGGGGGGACTGATTCAGATGGTCCACAGCAGCAAACTCTGCTTCATGTGGGCTTTGAGAGGAGCTCTTTGCCAGCTGCAGATAGTTTCAATCTGAGGACTCTGGAGAGAAAATAAATACCAGAGCCCAGAGAGATCAGAGAAAGAACAATTTTGCTCCCCTTTGCTGCTGTGAGACAAGAGGTTGGAGATCTCCTGAAATTAGGATCGGACTGGCTCCAAGGAACCTGACAACCCTAACCAGCAGGAAGCAGCTAAGAAAGAACTGCGCCCTCTCCCACTAACCCTCTCCCTCTCTTACCTGGTGTTGGAAGGGATTGGGGTGGAGTAGGGAGAAAAAGATAAAAAAACAAAGTTTTTTTAAGAGTTCACCAACAAATGGTGCCCAGATATCGGACTTAAAATAATGCGTCACACCATGCAGGAGACAGTAGGGCACAGAGAAACTAGGCCGTTTCAGGATACGAGCAGAACGGAGGCTACCACTTCTGGTTTTATTCCTTTTCTCCCAGAGGGGATTTTTTGGTTTTGTTTCATTGCAGAATCAGCAATGAGAGTAGGAAATTAGCAGGTAGAGGTTGAAATGTTTGGAAAACAAAAAGCATCATTGGTAAAGGAAGAATACCTGAATTCTCCACAACTGCCGCCCAGCCCTGCTCCGTGCACTTTCCGTGTCAAGGTCCCACAAGCCTCTGGACCGGCTGGGGAGCTGAGAGGAGCAGAAGACTGTACAGGCTAAAGGTTAAAGGCAAAAGGCCTGTTTCAAGAAAACAGGTTAATCTTGAGCAAACTGAGGTGCCAGAGGAGCAGCCTCAGGTTAAAACATTAACACCATTAGCTTTCCCAGTAGCCACTGAAAGTTTTAGATCTCAAGATGCTCAATGCAGCCTCAGAGCTTAAGACAGCCAGTGCATTGACTCAGATACGGTAGGGCTCTGCCAGAGAAGCAAATGAGCCATTTCTGGCAGCAATAGGTTGTCTGCAAGAACATCTGGTTAACTTCTGGCTGGAACCTAGCTTGAGGCTCAACACCAAAAAGTATGTGTCAGTCTAGACAAGAGCAGCCACCGAAGACCCTGAGGACCCCAACCAGCAGGATGCAACTGAGAGAACTGGGCCAGTAACCCTCTCCTATTCTGGTGTTGGGGTGCTGGAAGGGATTGGGGTGGAATAGAAAGATACAAGAAACATAAATAAGTTTCTTAAAAAGTATGCCAACACAAAAACAAAACAAAACAAAACAAACAACAAAAAAACAAGAAGTAGGACTCAGGTGTGGTGGCACGCACTGATAGTCAACAACATTCAGGAGGCTGAGCAAGTTCAAGACCAAGCTAGGCAACATGTCAAAAGCCCTGTTCAAACAAAGTCTTCCACTCTCCAGAGGGAGCCCACCCTGTTAGCAATAATAGCTAATTATCATAGGAGTGGGTTATTTTTGAGCTATTTGTTCGGTCCTCTGCAAAAATAGGTGTTAATTGAGAAGCCATTTGTAAACGGAATTCTAGAATCATTGTATTTAGGGTAGACATTAGAATGAAATAGTGGTTTTCCTGTATCTAGGGTATCAGAATGAAAAGCTTTTTTTTTTAAGTACTTAGATGCTACACCTACTCCAGCATCATCAGTGTAGCATATCAATAGATTGTGCTACTAGACAGGAGATACGCTTTCTTCGGAAATACGCTCCCTGGAGGTCCCTAGCAAGTGTCCTCCCCCTCCCCCTCCCCCCTAAGCTAAAAAGACGTATTCTGAGATTTCTACGTTTTCTCAGTTGCGGTTGTGGGATTGGATTAACGAGTCTTTTGATCTTTCTCTATGATTCTTGGAACAGCACAATTAACTACTCAAGGAAACATATTTTTGATAAATTACTAAAAGCTTTAACTAGAATAGAATGAAAGAAAAATAAAATTTTAAAAGAAGTAATGAATCAAATTATCAGAAAACACAAGAATAGTGAAAAACTAATGGGCTCCTCCTTAGGAAAAGAGAGCATAGGAAAGTACAGCTGGCTCGAGCATGCCTCCCTTTGGCGTTTTGTTTCTAAGGAAGATTATAAGTCTTTAGCAAGACATATGGGAGGATGGTTAACAAAGGTGTATTTAGACTTTGATGCAGAAAAAGATTTTGGCAGGTATCTGACTTAGCTCCTGACTTTCCTCTTCACTGGTTAGCAATAATGAAACTGCAGTTTGAGGTTTTTTTGTCCTTTGTTTGCTTTGATCAAAAAGTTCTCAGGCCAAGACTTCTTGTGGGCACTGCTTTATGTTTGGCTACACTTTTGAGTTAAAATGTAAACTTTGTATTCTTGGTAAAAATCTAAGTGTTCTGGGAAGTATGCCAACTTTAAGGTGTTTCCCTATGTAATCACTACAAATTAGCCTGACTTCAGTAAAATTGCAGCAGAGTCAAAGCTATCTTGGTGTCATCTCTGTCATTTGCTTACCTGTGCCTTCCTAATATCCAAAAACCCTGATTTTCCCGCAATTGTGGGACCCGGCTGGGTCGGTCCGTGGCACTTAGACCTTGAAAAAAAAAAAAAACTTTGTAGAAAACAGTGATTGTTTTCTGTTATCTATAGAGTAGTTTTTCTCAAGGAGCTCTACAGTCTTTGCATGACTTTGGTCACAAGATAATCCTGGCACACCTGGAATATCTTGCATTGGATAATAAGGACTGAGGTCAGAAGGGTGAAATGCTTTCCTTCAGGAAACATATAAATTAGATCAGGGACTTGGGTATGAGAAACTTGTTTTACACAAAAGCTATCAATAAATAAGCTTCTGTGGGGCTTTTGAGATTCAGTCCGGAGGCTGATCTCCCAGCCACCAGCAAGGCCTTAACCTCCTGCAGTGTCTCTTTCTCTAATCAACCTGTGAGACTCAGAACACTGACACCATTTCTCCAGACCTAGTTGTGAGCTCTTGATATAAATTTTGTTTTGCCAGACTCGGTAGAGGAAACCTGTAATCCCAGGAGACCGTGGGTTTGAGGTAGTTGGTGGTCACATGGCAAAAGTTCAGGAAACAGAACTAGATGGAAGCAAGGTAGGCTACCTGCCCTTGGGCCCATCAAGTGTCTCTGCCAGCCATACTATTAGAAAATAACTTCACTGTCTACAAAGAAACTCATAGTGAAAGTAACTCAACAATGCACTTTTAGTAAAAACAGGTACACTGGAACCCAAATGAGGCTGTGAGTACACATGGCCAAGCTGGCCAGTCTTTTCTCCTCAGCTCAGGTGGTGACTATGTCTGATCCCATTGGTGGGCTAACTTCACACCCTGATTGGCTAATTGGCTCAGGAGAGAGTAAGTCCAAGGAATAAGGCCCTTGCCAGGATAACCTGGTAGGGGGAAAAGCTTTCACAAGGGAACCTCCCACAAAGTACCTGCACCACTAGGGCACAGCCTTCGAGGACATTATGGATTTAAACCATAACCAGTGGTTTTCTTGGAATATTTTACAATTTTCAACCCCTTCAAAACTTAGAACTCTAGCCACTTGCCTAACTGTATCTGCCCAATAGCCTAGATCTTTTTTTTTCCGTGTATGAGAGCCATGCCACAGTACTGTCTTAAGGCCAGTGCTCTCCTTCCACTGCAGGCTCTGAAGATCAAGCTTGGGTCATCAGGCTCACTAGGAAGTGCTTTACCCACCGAGATCTCACCAGCTGTTTTCGGTTTGTTTGTTGGGGTGGGGGTATATGTGTGCCTGGCTACGAACTGGATCACAGGTGGCCATGTGACCTCATGCACATCCTGTGGACTCAGGAAGGACTCTGGGTTTTGAGCTGGATGCTAGCCTAAGACCACTGAGGTTCCCAGGAAAATGAGATTGAATTGCAAGAAGCAGGCAGATCAAGACAGCTCTGGCCCAGAGACATGACTGACAGGAGCCGATTTTCCCAGAGCTCCATAGTCTCGTCTGTTCCCAGGGACTTGTGGATACAGAATCAGCAGTCAAGGCTTTTTGTTCTCATTGTTACTGGAAATACAGGTGGGCAAGCAGAGGTCAATGGGGTGCCCCATCCCAACCTCTATTCCTGACACACTGACACACACACACACCCTTCACAGCACACTGAGCACAGATCCCTTCACCCCTATCAGGAACTGGAGAACACTGTCCTGCTTAAAGATGCTGCTGAAATATCTTGGCACATGGTCAGAGCCCTTACTATGGCTGTGGGGTGCAAGGGTCGACCTCACACAGGAGACACAGTTTGTCACTTAAATGTGAACCAGCACTGCATACCACTTCAGCCCTCAAGGATGCAGATAGCAGCCAGGTGGGGAGGGTGCCTGGCCAGGAATCTGGCAGGTGCAAGCTGCTCAGGAAAGGCCAGCACGCTCCAGGTCCTGTGGCAGCACGCGGCCCTTCTTACGGGCCTTCTGCAGCCGCCGCTCAGCTCGAGCCGCCTTCTTCTTTCGCAGGTTCTGGCGTCGCTTGTCCTGACGCTGCTGCATCTTCTCCACCACATGCTCGGAGCGCTTCTCCCACTTGCGCTGCCGCTGTGCCCGGCGCTTCTCCTTGCGCTTCAGGGCCTCCTGCAGCAGGTGTTCATTATCACGGATCTTCACACCCTCAGCCTTGTACAGCAAATTGGTCCACTTCATCTTGGCCTCCAGCTCCTGGGCCTTGCCTGCATCCTGATCTCGAAGCTCCTCCAGGCGGCCCTGCCGCGCCTGTAGACGCTCCAGCAGCTGCCTGTAGTTCCTGCCCGTCAGTGGTGTCAAGTTCCCTTTCACCTTCTGCCGCTTCTCCTTCCTGCGCTGGGCCTTGCTGGTCGGCTCCTCTTCAGTCACTTCCACCTACAGGTAAGAGGCGTATCAATGAGATGGCACACAGCACCCCCACCCCATCTCACCAGTGACACAGACCAATGACAAAGCTTTTGTCCCCTTAGATGGGAGTCATCAATACCATCAGCGAGAGGCAAAGTTGGGCCAAAGGCCCTCAGCCCAGACAGCCCCTACCTTATTAAAGATCAGCCCCGACTCCTGTAGCTCCTTGCAGGCCACTTGTGGGGGCATCTTGGCTGGTTCTTCTTTTTTCTCAGCTGTTGCAGCCTTCTCCTTTGCTTGAAGCTCCTTCCGCTTCCTCTTCTTCCGTTCCCTCTCCTGCTTTCTCCGCTGTCTTTTCTCTAGAGTGGCAGCAGACAACTCCTTGGCACTGCCCTGAGGATGAAAGATAAAAGGTAGAGGGTTCACCCATCAGGGTTCTTTCAACCTCAAAGTCCCTGTCTGCAATATGGCTTGAAATGCAGGCCACAAGTCCATACTCTCATGTTTCCCACTTCATCTTGCATATGGCCACCAATGTCCTAGAGTTCAGATAGAGTGCCCACCCTATATATTCTGCTCATGACACTCACAGGTTGAATGCTCTCTTCATCCCTTCCTGTGCCACAGCAAGAGAGACTGCTGTGTATCTGCCTAACCCAGGCCTGTGCTACAGGATAGAGGGCCTTGAGCCTTTATTTCCAATCCACTTAGGAATCTGGAGAGAGTGACTGGCATATCCTGGGAGGATGAGGAGCTAGAGCTCAAGAAAAGAACCTTAGAAAGGTGGGCAGGGAAGCCAGCACAATGCAGCACAGAGTCGAGGCTTGTCGGGTCACCTCACCCCTGGACACTGAGATTTAGAGCGACAATTCAGGCTGCACCATATCCATGTGGCATCTGTAGAGTCAGCTCCCCAAAGGAAGGAGGCCACGCTTCTGAGGAACACAGAGCTTCCAGGAGGCAGGTGACCTTACTCCAAGAAAGGAACTACACATGCTACCTCAGCCGAACAGAAGTAGGAAGGGAAACATGCTACAAGCCTGTTCCAGGTGCTCAGGAGGACTGCCCATTTACCTGGCCCCGGGCCAGCTGGATCTTCTCATGCAGCCGCTGTCGCAGGAAATCCAATGCAAAGACAGAATCAGGTGCTGTGCCCTGGCTATCTGCAGGGAAGGAAACTAGGCTGAAAGGGGAGTTGCCCCCCCCCCCCCCACTTCTCTCTCCTTCCAAGGGCCACTCGAGGATTTGTTAGGCCACCAGTAAATTCTACCCCAGCTACTTTAAGACAGGTTACCAACAACTGCATCCTGAGATTGGTCCCTATGATATTAGAAAAGCAAACAGTACCCTGTCATCTGGCTGTCATGCAGCATAGGACCATAAGCTCTTATTCCCTGTTTGCCATCTTGCCCCTATGATCGTCACTCACTAAAAAGTTCTGTGTCATTACTGTAAGCCTGCTTGCACTTTTGAGCAGTAGGGACATCTGTACCTAAGCCCATCCTGGCCCTGACCACGCATGTCCTGGAGACCCTTACCTTTAGAGGACTCCAGGGAGCTGGAGTTCTCTTCTTTGGATTCCACTGGTTGCTTGGCCCTTGAAGAGGTGGGAGACTTCTTCACCAGGGGTTTAGTCTTTTGCTCTGTAGCTTTCTGTTCCTGTTCCCAAGATTTCTTTTGTGTTTTCTTCCTTTTCTTTTTTGGGGGCCTGGCAGCTTCTGAGCCTTTTGTTCTGATAGCTGAAATGCAAGACAAGCTGAAGCCCTCCTCTCTGGCTAACTCAGTAAAGAAGTCCTGCAAGGTACTAATCCCAGTGATGTAAAGGACCAACTGGCTAAGCCAGTGACACCTATTCCAAGCTTAGAGCCACCAAGCTTAGAGCCTAGACAGCAGGTGGCCGCACATCTGTAATCCCAGCATTTGAAGGTTAAGACACTAGGAGACTAGGCTGGGCTACACAATGAAATGCCGCCTCAAAATAAATAAATAAATAAATAAATAAATAAATAAATAAATAAATAAATAAATAAAATGAGGTGAGTAAGCAAGTGAATAAATAAATAGATAGATAGATGAATGAGTGAATGAATGAAATTAACATTTTTTAACAAAAAACCAAAATACACTAACAGACTTGAGCCACACAAAATCTGGCTTCAGGCTATTACATTATCTCAACATAAACACCCACTTCCAGGAATAAATAATGGCTCTGCCACAACATTTTCTCCTCACTGCCCTAAACCGAACACTGGGCCCACGGGCAGCAATCGCTTCCTAAATAAAACCTTCTATCTTGAGGCAAGCTCTTTAAACTTAGGAACTAAACACCAAGCCTTCAGGAAGTCCCTGAAACTGACCCGACTCACTAGCCCTGCCCCATCCCTAAGCACCTAAGAGGAAGGCTCAGCAACACTTAGTCAAGCAGAAGCACACGGCATAGACACTCTCCAACCTGTTGGGCTGCCTCAGGTTGTGTTGTGCACTCCAGGTTTCCAGCTTTTGTGATCCATCAGCCACGCTATGGTGGGCTTTGGTGATACAGCTGTTTTTGAATTATTTCTGTTCCTGTAAATCACCTTGATAAAGCTCAGTGGTTTCCCAAGCTTAACTTTGGCAGTATTCATACGTTGGCCTGTCATTGGTTCTGTCAATAAGAACTCCTGGAAAGAAGACTGACTCTTTAGAACTGCAGTGATGTGGAGAGGTTGGAATGTTGCAAGTCTGAAGGCTAATCACCTTACCTCAGATTAGCTTTAGCCCCATGAACAATCCATTCCTTGCCACCTCTATGTGACTTTTAGAATCTATTAACTTGGTAGAGCAACCTAAAAGTTAAGAATGTCATCAGCACCAGGTGTGGTAGAGCACACCTTTAATTCCAGCACTCCACTCCAGAGGCAGAGGCGAGTAGATCTCCGAGTTTCGTTAGCCTGGTTCTGGACAGCCAAAGCTACAAAGAAGCCCTGTCTTGAAAAGCAAAAATATTTTCCCTTGGAAAACGAAATGTGGGGCAACCTGAATCCATGTTCCCAGGCAAAGAGCATTAAAATAGGCTCCAGAGTAAGCTACTTATTCTGCTTTGGATGAGGGCTGTGGGTTTCTGGTTATCTTGGCTGAGTAGACGCTTGTTTGTTTTCCCACAAGGTACCATACAACAGGCCTCACTCACATTAGGCAAGTGCTCTCACAATAAATCACACTTCCAGCCCTCTATTTCCTTTTTAGAAGTTTATTTTTATTACATTTTACTCATGTGCACAATAAATGAAGGTGTCCATGGAATCCAAAAAGGGGTGGGTGCTGGAACCAGTCTGGCACTCTCACAGCTGTAGGTAGAGGTTGGGCCATCTCTCTAGCTTCCTCTTGTTTGTTTAGGTAGTATCTCAAGCTGGGCGGTTAGCACACACCTTTAATCCCAGCAGGCTGCAGGCAGAAGCAGGTGAATCTGATCTCAGGGCCTGCCTGGTCTACAGAGCCAAATTCCAGGCCAGACAGAGCTACAGAAAAACCCTGCCTCAAAAAAACAAACAACAAAAAGACAAGAGTCTCACTATGCAGTCCTGGTCACCTGAAATTCAGAATGATCTGCATTGCTTCTGTTTGCCAACCGCTGGTATTAAAGGCACGTGGACCATCACTGCCAGCCTCAAAAATTCGTTTACTTTTTTTATAAGTGTTGTAACTATGTATGTCTGTGCATCAAGACAGTGCCTATGTATCAGGTGTCACTGAAGAGGATGTAAGAGGCCCTGGAACTGGAGTTAGGGACTGCTGTAAGCTGCCACGTGGGACCTGGGAACCGAATCTGGTTCCTATGCAAGAGTAACAAGTGCTCTTAACCGTTGAGCCATCTCTCCAACCCCTCTTTACTTTTTGGAAGGATTTCCTGAAATTGCCCACGCAGAGGTAAACTTATCATTGTAGCCCTGAGAGGCCGGCGGGCCTTGACCTCGAGGTTCTTCTCCTCAGCCTCTCCACTAACCAGGCCCAGCTGCAATTAACTTTCCATGATCTAAGACTTCCACTTACAACGATGAGGAAACGTTAGCATTTTAAATTAAAGGGTGAAGAATGGAGTGTGCGTTCTTTCAACACACGGAACACATACAGGCAAGAACTAAAAGACAAGCAGTGAGAAAACTCAGCTACCTCTTCAAACTTGCAGTAGCAAGCACGTTTGTCTTTCCGTTCGAGTGTGGTAGTTCCCTACCTACCTTTCCCTCTATCCGGGCCCAGCGCCCTCAGAAACCGTAGCTGTCCCCACCAGTACCCGCTCACTCTAGTAACCTCGTGGAGAGTCCAGGACCCGACCTTCCAAAAGCTCCCTTACCACACTTGTTCCTTTGCCGCTCAGGGCCAGGCTGCGCGCAGATCTTCTTGGCCAAGTCCTGAAGATAGGCATCCTTGGCCAGCAGAGAGGCCATGGCTGGCAACCAGGACTGGCGACACAGTCGCCGGCTCCCACGGCCCTGAGCCCAAAGAGAAGCACCGTGTGCGCAGACGGTCACCAGCCCGGCGACCGATTGCCAGGCCTGATCAAACCGGAAGTACCTCATGCGCGGGCGCCCGGCCAATGGTCGCTATTTGCTCGGGAGCACCGGAAGCCACCACCCAAGTATTTGTGGCAGGCTAGGCAGCCAGCCCCGGAAGCCACAGAATACGCAGCCGCTGTCAATCCTGAGCTCGATTAGCCAGCCTGAAGGGGCCGGCTAGTCCTAAACCTGGAGGCGTTCCTCTGAAAGATGCAATCTGTACCGCAAAAGCGTACAGGTTAAGCCAAGCTTCAGGACCCCATCCCGCCCTCCGCGCCCGACCATTTTTGCTCCTCCCCTACTATCAGCTTGAAGCCTATAGCCCGGCTGGTAGGGAATGCCCCCAGAGCCACTCCCGCCACACTTCACTAACCTATGTTCCTCGTAGACCCAGGATGACTACTTTCATGATGGAAGCCTGCTGATTGTAGTTATGAGTAAGAGGCTGAAAGCATACACCTGACCCAGAACCATGGTTTCTGCATGTCGGTGATGAGCCTACTAGTACTGAGAGGCAGTGGGGTCTGAGTTCCTAGTTGTTTCTGCCACTTAACTTCAAGCCTATGAAGTTAGCTCAAGCCTCAAAATAGCGCTAAGTTGGGATGGCAAAAACAGGTGGCACCAGAGGTACAGATGCTGCAGTTACACAGCTTACAGTAAAGTCAGATTTTTTTCATTCATTTACCAAATATCAAGGACTTACTAGATGCTAGTGGGGTGGGGGAGGGATACCCGGGAACTCAAGGAGGCGCAACTACCCAAGAAACCCATGGCAATCTTGGACTGACTGGGAAAGAAGGATGTGCAACACAAAAACGTGATGTTTATTCAAAAGTCTCATTGTAAAAATAGCACAATGGAAATGATGGCAGAATCCAGAAAGATGCCCTGGCTAGCTGCCTCTCACACAATTTTGCTAGGACTGTCAGCTGTGGCACAGACATTTGTGTTCCAGGCACCAGGCAGTGGACAGGGCTTTATATATGAACCTGAGCCTAAGGATTGGTGGCTGGACTTGACTAAGGTCCACTGAGCACCTCAATTCTAAACAATGAGCTGAGGCTGTCTTTGTATCACCAGTTACTCTCCTTACTCAAGGTCCTCAATGGGACAAAGTTCTCCCCTGACAGTCAGGAAGGTAGCTATTACAGATGAAAGGCCAACTGCCCATAAATAATTGAACAATATTCCCCAACTATCATGGGGAACTGGCCTCATTATTCCTGTGGCTACAATGGCTCCTCATCCCAAAGTCCCCAATTGGGAGCCAAGGACTGAAAAAAACTACGCTGTGGAGGGCATCCACAGGCCTTCCTTTCTGATGAACTCAGGCCCTAGGGAGGGCTGCCCTGAAAAGTTACCCCAAGAGGCTCAAGTGTGTTCCGTGGGGCCAGGGACACCACCATGGGAGTGGGCAGAGGCTGCAGACTGCAAGGGACCAGCACCAATCTCCGGGGACGCCAGAAGAGGGGCTGAGAGGCCATCAGCAGAGTCTGTGTCGAGGTCCAGCCTCCAGTAAGCTTCACATAGAGGCAGGTCATTAGCTTCGCAGAGACTTGAGCTTTGCCACCACAAGAAACCCCCAGGAGTGACAGGAGCAGGCAGAGAAAAGCCAGGGAGGGGAAAGCAAGACAGATGCAGAGTTAAGAAATGAACAACACCAGACTGCCTCCCCTTCCTCTCCCCTGTGCTGGCCCCTCTAAGCAGTTCTGGCCACCCTTGCATCCAAAGATGGCATCAACAGGCCATGTGACTGAGGCAAGCTCATCCCATGAACCATATGTCCTTCCTGACACATGGGACTTTTCCTTGTCCCTGTAGGTTTCCTCCTATCCTGACTGCCCACCCACCCCTTACTAGTAGGAATAAAATTTTACAGAGAGCTCTTGGTGACAGAGACCTATGTCTGTCCCTACCAGAGTCCTGACCTAAGTGGATAACAGGAACAGATGTCTGGGCATTTCTCTACATACCACTGCTCCAGCCCTATAGTTTCAAGCCCCAAGCTTCATGCACTTCATTTCCCTGTGTTACACAGGGAAGACCAGAGGTAAGAAGAGGCAAGGATTATGCCTCAGTAGGCATGGTAGTGGTTACCTGGAGCACATCTGTTTCCACAGCTGTCTAGTATGTACAAGGCCCTGGCCTTCTCACATGCCTGTCCCCAGCAGTCCCTCCCACAACTAGCCAAGACAAAAAGAGTACCATCCCCAGGAGAGTGGAGGGAAGGCAAAGCAGAAGGAGCAAGCAGTGAGTTTATAGGCAAGAATAGCCATGCAGAGGGGACACTAGGCAGCTGGTGGTATTGTGGGCATGAGGCTAATAGGGTCAGATGAAGCCCACTGGTCCCCACACAGAAGAGCCCTGTCATTTAAAGTAATTCATAGGCAGAGGGGCAGCTGCTTTACCATGAGGAATATGGGAGAGGTAATTATCCAAAGGGGACACAGGTTGTCCCAAAAATTCATACAGATGATAGAGGCACTGAGGCTTTGGAAACCTGGCAGGCACTCTGGGTTCCTGCCTTAGCAATTTCATCCCCTCTTCCCTCAACCACTATAGCAGGGGCAAGACATTGTCCCAATGCCCTTGTCCACCTAAATGCCCTTGAATCAGTAGCTGTCTAAAGGGCAGTGACAAGAACTCACCCTGGGTGGGTCTAAGTCTCTGACTTCTTGGGGTACAGAAGATGCTCCCACTTGTATGCTAAGCTGATGAATACTGGGACCAAGGATAGCCCCAGAACTCTCGGGAAAACTTTAGAACTATTCCAGCTGGGCAGTGACACTGAGTCTAAGATGGGAAAAACAAGCCTTAGAGCACACACCACAGCAGTTTGGACATCTACGGCTCCTGCTGCAGCTTCTTGCAGTAGCAGCAAATCTACCACCAGGGGAATATAGGTTTGCCTAGGACAGGGTGCTCTGGACAAAACCTCAACTTCAAGCTAAGGGGGTGGGAGCAAGGTCTCCATTCTCCAGCCTCAGTCTCCCTCATATTTCACATTGGACTCTGACTTTCTCAAGGCCTCTCTGGATGGGCAAGTCTCAGGTTTCAGATTCTAAGTGGTACTGAGGAGGGCTAGGTGACAGCTCCTACATGCTGCTATGACCCCAGGAGGCTCCGGCTCCATGAATAAGGCTAAGCTGACCAGAAACAGGACATCCAAGTATCCCAGGCCCAGTATTCAAAGCCACTCTGCTTGAGCTCCTTCCTTCCTGCTCCTTTCCAGGGTTTCCCGCCTCTATAATGTGAGGTTTGATGGCATCCACATGGAATCTCTGAGCAAGCAGCAGGCAGTGATGTCCCAGAGAGTGGGCACAGTTATAGACCCGGAAGGCAACAAGGTGCTAATCCAGCCTTGGCTGAAATGTCTAGACAGACAGATTTAAAGCAGTAAGGCAGAGACTGTGCTGCCCAGGAGGGCTTCCTCAACCCCAGGGGGATGCCCTTTGCTGGCCTCAGCCACTGGCAACGAGTCCTGTGTTTTCATCCCTCTTCATTGAGGGCAAGGTCTGAGCACCAGCTGGTGGCTGGTGTGACTGTCTGTCCATCAAACACTCTAGTCACGGGCTCTGCTGACAAGGAAGACTTGGAGAAACACAAGGCCCTTGCAGGCCCTAGCTGGTTTGGACAGGCAGCATGGGAGTCCAGCCCTATTTGTACCTGGACGAGTAGTACTCCTCCTCCAGCTCATACAGGTCAATGGAGACCTCGTCCCGCAGCGTGATGAGCTTGCGGTCACACTCCTCCTGCAGGGAGCGAAGCTGCTGATTACGCTGGTCGATGGCTTCATTCACAGACGGGAAGTCATTGAGGATCAGGAACTGCTTGAGATCTGATACCAGCTTCATCAGTGACTCGCCAGCGCGGACCTGCACCATTGTGATCAGGGTAAATATGAGAGGAGGCAGGCAGTAGTCCGGCTACGTGGAACTGGTGCTGGCCCAACAGTAGGCTCCCTGGAAGTCTCAGTTTCATGGTCTGCAGAGAAAGTCCTATTCCGCATAGAGCCTTCTGAGAGGACAGAGGAGCTGGGGAGGAAAGATCAGCACCTATCCCAACCACAGCTGGGGTAAGTTTGCTCACTTCCAGAAGCTTTCCCTCCCCAAGCACACTGCTCACACCTGTGAGTTCCACTCAAAACCAACAGAAGACTATGCCCTGACTTTCCTCCCGACTCATTCTTTCCCAAAAATGGCACAACTGAAAGTTGGGCAGGATTCACTGGGGTCTGTGCCACACACATTGTCATCTGCTTGTACCCACTGCATAGACACTAGCCTACAAGGCTTTCCCTGCAACATAGAGAGGGGCTCACATTTCACACAGGACTCATTCAGCCATTTGTTTTTCCATTCACAACCAACCTTGGGGAACTTTCACATCAGCAAGAATGGCTGCCTTTTGACTACCACACAGAACACGGCCATCTACACGGCCATCTGTCTGGCCCTCCTCCCACTGCCCACTAGGGGCAATCTCCTACGATGTGCTCTGCCCCACTCCAATGTCCCCTTGTTTTCCTTTACTGCTCTCGACTCCATCCATAACCCTACATGGGTGTCCAGTGTCCTCCACCCCGGCCACTCACGATGTTGGCAGCTCGAACGTGCATCTCGTAATTGTCTTGTTCACCCTGAGTAGCCCGTGACACCTGTGTCTCATCCTCAATCTGAGGGCAAAAAAGAAAGCCTAGAATCAATACAGGCAGCCATCTGGCTTAGCCTGGCTCACAGGACCCCAACAGCTAACAGCAACTACACTGCCTGTCTATCAGGACTTCCTGAAGACCCAGCACCCTAGTTCCTATCTAGAGAGCTGGCAATGTCCACTCCAACCCCCTTTTGCTTTATGGGTGACAATAGGTGACTTCATGCCAAAATTGACTTTTTTTTTTTTTTTTTTTTTTTTGGTTTTTCGAGACAGGGTTTCTCTGTGTAATAGAAATAGCCCTGGCTGTCCTGGAGTCCTTTTTTGTAGAACAGGCTAGCCTCAGAACTCACAGAGATCTGCCTCCCTCTGCCTCCTGAGTGCTGAGATTACAGGCATGCTCCACCATGCCCAGCAAAAAATGTCTGATCTTTGTTTTTAAGGAAGGGTCTCTTGTAACCCATGCTGGCCTCAATTATGTAGCTGAGTATGGCCATGAACTTCTGATCCTCCTGCCTCTGCTTTCTACATCCTAGCATTAAAGCGCTGTCTGGTTTGTTCAGTGCTAGGGACTGAGCACAGGGCTTTATGGCTGGTAGGCAAGCACTTTGCCACCTCAACAACATCCCCAGCTAGAAAGTGTCTTTTTAAGTGACCCTTCCTGGGCAGGCACCATGTTGAGCAGTTGACTAAGCAAAGTTCTCTCACAAAGTCTGAACTGATGCTCTTAGCTTACAGATGGACCAGCTGGAGAATAACGAAGACCACAGTGGGCTTGATGCATCTTATAAAGTATTTAACTAAAGCAGCAGCTCTCAACTTATAGGTCTCCTTTCACGGGGTTGCCTAAAACCATCAGAAAACACATTTCCATTTCCTAAGAGTAGCAAAATTAGTTATGGAGGAGCAACAAAAATAATTTTATGGCTGGGGTTCAGCACAACATGAGGAACTGTATATTAAACGGTCAAATTCCTTAGTCATCAGAACAATATATGGATGGAGGAAACTCAGCCCAGGTGCCTAGTGCCCAGTAACTAAAGTAGAGCCCTGGCAATTGGGCTAGAGTCCGCTACTCTGCTCTACCTGTGCCTGTCATTATTTGGCTCTTCTATTTAGCTGCTGACCTGTTCTTTTAACGCATCATCGTTCCTACCCGCACCAAGCAGGTCTGTCACATTGAATGCCTATCCCCGTAGCAGAGTCTAGACCCACGGATCCAAGCCTCAGGGAAAACCAGTTCCTGCCTTCTCCCACCTCGAACAGCAACCACGAACCTTGGCGGTCTTGATGATCTCGGTGAAGTTGTCCATGATGGACTTGATGTCGTCCTTGAGCCGCTTGTTGTAAGACTGCAACAGCGTTTCCTTGCTCTGGGGTAGGGCTCTCTGCTGGGCCATGGCGGGCCCTGGGTGAGAGCAACAGTCCGATCTGACCTGAACCTAGCACTCAGAGCTGGAAGGAAGGGGGAGTCGCTAGAACAGCTCTCTCCGCGAACACATGCCCACTGCGGGCCCTTACCGCTCAGGAGTAAAGCACCTACTCCTGGGCGCGGTTTTTGTCTCCTCCTCCCGCTGGCGGCCGCCCGCAACCTCTTCCAACCCGCCGTACCGCGTCTGGTCGCGCGGGCCTCAAAGACGTATGCCAGCTATCAGGCCCCGCCCCCGCTGACAGAGTGAGGAGTGGGTCCTGTCGCTTTAAATTCGAAATCCCGCGCCGGCTCCAGCTCTCGCGATCTCCGAGGACGCTTACATATTACCCACAATTCCATCTTCTTTCTCTCTTCTCTATCCCAGCAAGATGGTGAGTGATTGTGGTCCCGTGCGTTATCCGCCTCCATCCGCCTCCATCCGCCACTTGCTGCCGCCGCGCGCAGTTCTTGGCCGCCCCTGTCGTTTCGGGGCCCTTCACAGGAGGGGAGCGGCAGCGAGCGGCGCACAGGGAGTGATTCTGCTGTCCGATCTGACGGCGGGAGATAGAGCCTCACGGGGTTTGTCTCTTTTACCCAGCCGAAAGGAAAGAAGGCCAAGGGGAAGAAGGTGGCCCCAGCCCCCGCCGTCGTGAAGAAACAGGAGGCCAAAAAGGTGGTCAATCCTTTGTTTGAGAAAAGGCCCAAGAACTTCGGCATTGGTAAGAAGTGGGGTCAGAGTGCCTTCCCGAGGACAAGGCCGTGGCTTCAGAGTCCTGAGTCAAGCCTTTTGTAAGGGTGGGGATTGGAGCTACTCCTTGAAAACTGGGTTTGGTTCGTATACAGACGCGGATGGTGGCCTTAGAGGGCCACCCTGGCTTTCAGACAGCCAGTGCGGGTGCTTCGTCTGTTGTGCTTGCCGGCCCGGTGGCTCTTTAGTGGAAGGGAAGCGGTGTTTGTGTGCAGATGATGTGAAAGAATATTTGCTAGCAGAAAAATGGTGATGACATTTGAACCACCAAGATCGCTGATGCACCAGTACCTTTCTGACTGCCTCAGATGCAAGCCGGCTCGGTGGAGGTACCTCATTTGCACTGTCCCCCTTTGCTTCCCAGGGCAGGATATCCAGCCTAAAAGAGATCTCACGCGCTTCGTCAAATGGCCCCGCTACATTAGGCTGCAGCGGCAAAGGGCCATCCTCTATAAGCGGCTCAAGGTACCTCCTGCCATTAACCAGTTCACCCAGGCCCTGGACCGGCAAACAGGTGAAGTTCTGTGGCATGTAGTCGGTTTAGTGTTTTCAGAATATGGTCTTCGGTACGTCTTTTTTACAGTGCATGGCATTTTGAAACAGTAATAATGAGGCTGCGAGGTGCGGCTTCAGTAGGAATGGTATGCTTACTGTGTGGGTGAATGAGAGCTGAGGAGGCTCAGCACCCGGATATAACTGGCAGGGAGGGATTGAAGGGGGTTCCTGGTAATACCAGAAATTGTCAAGTGACTGTGGGAAGCAATTGAGGAAGGTTCCTAACGTTGACCTCTGGCCTCATTTTTTTTTTTTTTCTTTGTGGTAGTTTTTGTGGTGAAAAGAGGGTCTCCTGTTAACTTTAATGTTGATGTAGAATGCTAGGTTAGAATCTTAAGGGAAGTTGGTAAGAGTCTTATTGAATATTTTCCCAGCTACCCAGCTGCTTAAGCTTGCCCACAAGTACAGGCCAGAGACAAAGCAGGAGAAGAAGCAGAGGCTACTGGCCCGTGCTGAGAAGAAAGCTGCTGGGAAAGGAGACGTCCCAACTAAGAGACCACCTGTCCTTCGAGCAGGTTGGTGGCCCCTGGAAAGGGGGGAGGGTAGGGTAGGCTGTGCAGTGATGTGTGAATTTCTTCACCTGATATTACTGTGAAGAGTAAAATCGAGCTTTTTAACCCTGAGTCACAGCTTGATGGAACTGTCCTTTTGTAGCTGTAGTGGGCCAAGCACTCAGGCAAAGTGGTTGTGTGTTACAGGGGTCAATACAGTCACCACCTTGGTGGAGAACAAGAAGGCTCAGCTGGTGGTGATTGCCCATGATGTAGACCCCATTGAGGTAGGTCTGGCAGGTTTTTAAGCAGAACTGGGATCCTATGTTGCTTCTGGAAGGGTGGGGTCTGGATTTGTGTGGCTCCTGCAATGATGTGAATCTTTGACTGAAGTGACCTTGAAGTGCAATTAAGTGAGCTTTTTAACCCTGAGCAGTTGCCACAGAGTAGCAGAGCAGCTACTGCTTCTGCCCCAAACACCTACAGCTCATGCTTGCTTGTAGCTGGTGGTTTTCCTACCTGCCCTGTGTCGAAAGATGGGCGTCCCCTACTGCATCATCAAAGGAAAGGCCAGGCTGGGGCGGCTGGTTCACAGGAAGACTTGCACCACTGTTGCTTTCACACAGGTTAACTCGTGAGTATTTGGGCTTATCTGTAAATTTTTCTTTGAGACCATTTGCCAATGATGGTTATGAATTTCTTCACCTGAATCAACTATGTGGTTATACTGTGTCTGAGGCAAATAAATAATTAGGAATTTTCTACTCTTGCCTCCCAAAGAGTAACAATTTTTCTCCCTGCCTTACCAGGGAAGATAAGGGTGCTCTTGCTAAGCTGGTGGAGGCCATCAGGACCAATTACAACGACAGATATGATGAGGTGAGCAGCTCTATGCAGAACCTGGCATCAGCTGGTGGTTGCATTTGGGTGTCCACTGAGTCCAGAATATTGGTACATTAGAGAGTCAGGCCAAACTGACTGTTGCTTTTGTCATTTCAGATCCGCCGCCACTGGGGAGGCAACGTCCTGGGTCCTAAATCTGTGGCTCGCATTGCAAAGCTGGAAAAGGCAAAGGCTAAAGAACTCGCCACTAAACTGGGTTAAATGTACACTGCTGAGTTTTCTGTACATAAATATAATTACAAAATTGTCTGTGCCTTTGGTTATTTGTATTACTGCAAGGATGTGTTCAAATTGGCCCTGTCCCCTGTAAAATGTTCTCAGACCAAGCCAGGTTTTTACAAATTGGAATCTTTATTCTGTGTGGCGATCTCTGGATTAGGAGCAGGTTCATTAACTTCACAGATGTGTCCGCCACACAAATTTCTGGAACCACAAGTATGATGTGGCCGCACACAGTCCATACCTGTGATTAAAAGGAACTCAGTTTATACTGGGGAGGGGGGAACCATGGGGAAGGTCAGGTATCGAGGGACAGCAGGACTGACCAGGTAATAATGTACTGCATGTGCTCGTTCCGCAAGGTCACTCTAGTTTGCCCTCCTACGGGTCCTCCAGGGATTGTGCTCTCTGCAGAAACAATGGGATTTAGTGCAAGTCTGTGGGGATGGGTCACTCCTGTCAGGCCTTGTGTCCCCATACAAAATGCCAGGATGGAAACCTGGCCAGGGAAGGAGAGGTTGGACAGTATTCAACAGTGCTTGCTCTTCCAGTGCACACTGACTACAACATACGGAAATCTGCATCGATGAAAATGGGATCTGCGCCTGTTATCTTGGCCATAGCCTCCAGGTCCCGATAATGCCAATGATTCTTCTCTGGACTGTTCTCAGGAACAAAGGGCTTCCGGGTTTCTGCCAGCCTCACTATGCCAACTAGGTCTACTTCTCCGGGAACCTACAAATGAAGGGGAGATTGTCTTTTATTATAAGAGACCTGCATGGGGACTGGGTGGCTGAAGATCCATATACTTTACCTGGCCTTTCTGCCTGGTCTCAGGATTCACTTTCTTCCTGGGAACAAACCCTCTGTTAACCAGGATGGTGACTCTGGAGCAATAATAAAAGTGTCCCTTTGAGTGAAGAAGGGTTCCAAAGTGGATCGTCAAGATGATCCAGTAGTCTTCACTGCTAAGCCTCAGTGACTCAACCCCTATCAAACTGGCTAAGACAGTTGCTTAATGTAAGAGATCTTGGATATTATCAGGCAGTATTAGTTGGGTCTCATGAATTCCCCAGGGTCATAAGGTTCGCAGTGAGGGAAAGCTGACCAGGCCAGCATGGTCTACTCACCCCAAGTCAGAGCAGTGGAAAGGAGTAACTACATAGGCTCCACTTTCAGTTGAGGAGGACATTCTGCCAACATCACGGGCCTCTCGGACAGGGTCCACCATGGTCCGAGGCATCATGTACAATTCTTTGGCATGGTCAAAATGACCCCTGACCTTCACTGGCCTATACTCCAGATTTTTCAGTTCCATTGGGCTACAAGGAGAAAGGAGGTTGGGCTGTGGGCAAGCCCAGCTTGTCAGAATCAATCAGCTAAGCAGGTTGCAAAGTAACAAGAGCACCAGGCAGCGAGGGTAAGAAAGACCCAGGGAAGAAAATTAGATTGTACTGTGGGTACTCTCAGCAGCAGCCTTTGATGTCAAATGAAAATACAAATCTATGCTACCAGAGCCCAGTTTTGTTTTGTTTTGTTTTGTTTTTTTCAAGGAAGTGTGGGTTTCTATATGACTACATAAAATAACAATGTGAGTCCAAATGCCACTTGTTACCTACCCTGCAGGGCAGGACTTTAAAATTCGAGAGAGTAGTACAGTAAAGACACTTTAAAAACCGTCACCTTCATGTTGAAACCTACATTATCATCCACCAGTGGTACAAGGAACTGTCACCACTATGGGGGATTCTAAAGACCTGAAAAAGGGAAATCTGGCACCAAAAACACGTCTTTTCTATTAATGTTCTGTGCCTGTTAGGGCAGCTTCATAAAGGCAGTCAGCAGCTTGTCTAGAGGGGAAACTCTGAAAGCTCCTGCTAAAGGACAGAGAAATTATTGACACTGAACAGAAGAAGAGCCTCACTGCTGCTCTTCAGTGGCATGGGCAGGGTGGGCAGCCACACTCACTCAGCAGGTAGAGGGATGGGCTCAGCCATGACTCGAGACTCTAATTCTGCAATCAGTTTCAGCTTCCATTTCCGACGCTGGACCTACAGAAACAGCATGAGCTAAGCAGGTTGTTTCATTGGGGGCCAAGGCTCAGAGCCACCCAAATTAGACCCGTCTTCACCTGCCAAGTCCCCAGGCCAAAAGCAGTAGCAGGGATGAGAAGCAGGAACCACTGCAGAAAAGAGTCGTCCTCTGTTTTACAGGTGGCTGCTTCAGCAGTAGAACTGCAGCACCTGCTTGGCTTCCAGACCATACCTGGAAGGAGTTTTACAGTAATGGCATGGGGTCAGAAGCCCTAGAAAAACTGGGTGGCAAATTCCTCGAGAGGAATTCAGTTATGCGCCAGAGAATGTAGGGAAATAGGGCAATTAAACAGCACCTGTGCCCAACCCTCTCCCAGCATAACACACCCAGTAGACCATGGGTACGGGCTGAATGAAGACAGGTGTCACAATCGCATTCGGGTTTGAGCCCTTCTCACCTGACCGGGCAGAAAGCCCAAGGATGCTCCTTTTGGCGGCGCAGAACGGGGCCTGCGGGAAACAGGCCGCGGGGCTAAGCTCAGGAACCCCATGCCTGCCAAGCGCAAGCACCTGGCACGATCCAACCCAGCCTTGTTCAACTTCGTGCTAGGTCCTCTTGAGCAAGGATCCTCCCTGCCACTATTCTACCCTGGGCTAAGTTCTCTTGGGCAGGATCCTCCAAGGGCCCGCTCTTACCCGCCCCCCGGAGGACCATTTCGGCCACAGCGTCATCCGTCCCGGCAGCACAGCCAAAGCTTTCACGGCAGCCATCTTTGAACACTTCCGGGGCCAAGAAACCAGCTTCCTTCCGGAACGGCGCTCTGCCTCACGCGGTGGCAGCGGCGTCAGAAGAGCGTTTGCCACCATGGGCGAGCCACCTGCCGATGTGCGGGCCTTCCTGCGCCAGCACCCCAGCCTGAGGCTGCTGCCCAACACTCAAAAGGTTGTTAGAAAACCGGGAGGGTCGGGGCTGACAAGAACCACCTTCTAACAGGCGGCCCATCCACAGGTGCGCTGCTCTCTAACCGGCCATGAGCTGCCCTGCCGTCTGCCGGAGCTTCAGGTCTACACCAGCGGCAAGAAGTACCAGCGGTTGTCGGGTACCTCCTCTGTCTTCGATTACACAGCCTTCGAGCCACACATCGTGCCCAGCACAAAGAATCCGTACGTAGTTGGCCAGCCAGTGCCTAGATGCAGAGCCTCTGCCCCCTGCTTATGAGCCTGTGGTGGCCTCCCACTCTGACACTTCCTGACTAGGGCTTGTGACTCTTGCAATGTAGTCACCTGAGGGCCAGGCTGGGCAGTGCCAATTTCACCGTTTTGGGGCCTATTTATGGTTGTGTGGTTGATATATCCTCATATGGAACTTTCTTAGCTATCTCCCAAAGCATGCACCTCGCAGTTTCTTTTTCTTGGGTGACAATATGGGTCCAGCTGGTCCTTAATCCCAGATACTGAGTTGGAATTGTTTGGGAAGCTGTTTTTGAAAGTAAGCCTTTAATCCCAGCACTAAGGGAGGCAGAGGCAGACAAATCGCTGTGAGTTCGAGGCCAGACTGATCTACAGATGAATCCGGGACAGCCAAGGCTACACAGAGAAACCCTGTCTTGAAAAACCAAAAGAAAAAGGGAAAGGGGGAGGAAAATAAGCTTGTGTAAGTTGATTAGCCTGCAACTTACTATGTAGCTCAAAACTGACATCTAAGCCTGTGTCTGCCTCCTGAGTGCTGGGATTAAAGGCCACCATGCCGTTTTCAAAGTCCAGCAACTGAGAATAAAAGCAGAGCATCCCCAGCAGATCTTATTTGTTTACCGCATGTAGCCATCCATGGTGGTAGCCCACAGGTCTGAGCCCTTGGCATACCCATCTGTTTGTCTTGTAGGCACCAGCTGTTCTGCAAACTCACACTGAGACACATCAACAAGATCCCAGAACATGTACTGAGGCACACCCAGGGCCGGAGGTATCAGAGAGCACTTAAGCAATGTAAGTCACCTCCAGAGGCTCAGGCCTTAGGATGCATGCCCCCTGCCCCATGAAGCCAGAAAGGTACCTTGGCCATTCTTCTTTAATCCTTTGTTGATGTAATTCCTTGGTCTTGCACAGTGAGGTCAGTGGCTCCTGACCTCACCACTGCAAAGCCAGAAGTAGGTGGGAAGGAGTGATATGGAGGCCTTCCCGTACACAGTAGGGACAATCGTAGGATGATTCCCAGCCTGAAACCACAGTGCTCTAGTTATAGGACGGGTCCATAATCATCTGAAAGTCATCAGGAGAGTCTTTCAAACTGTTATCAAGCCCAGTATTGGCGCAAACAGTCCTGTAGACTGCAGAGGAAGAGGGGATTTGCTGTTGAAGGGTTGGTATTTTGAGCAGGGAAGGTATCTGTTAGTTGAGGCCACTGGTGGGAAGACATCCTAAATAGTTGAGAGTGGAGACTCCTGTGGTTAACTTCCAGATGGGTTAGGGAGGGAGGGTGGTGCCAGGCCAGGAGAGAAGAGATGGGGCCAGCATAAGCAATAAGGGAGGCAAAGGTCTCCCATCCATGCCATCACAAGAATATGAAGAAAGTGACTATGAGACTTGGGGGAGTTAGGCAGAGGCAGGCCTTGACAGGGAGGATGGAGGCTTCAGGGATTGTCCTGCCCTTTTATGTAGATTTCAGTTGGGGTGGGAAGGTAAGGAATATACAGGCTGTATCCTGGCACAGCACGGCCAGATCCTGACACACATCTTGGAGCTCCTGGAATTGGCACCTGGGCTGCACTGACAGGTGGCAGCTAAGGCTTGGGTGTACATTTGTTAGCTTTGTCATCTGCTGGATTGTGACACAGAGGTGCCAGGCTGGAGAATTATAAAGATGTACCAAAGAGCTGAGATGGGGCCAAAATGAAAATGCAGTGAGGCCACTTCAGGGTGGTGGACTAGAAGTCACTGTGGCTAAGTGGCCTGCTGAGAGCACTGGGAGGAGACATGCTGCTTTCATGAGGAAGCCACAGTGATCCTAAAAGCAAATGGCAGAGGTAAAGTAGGAAAAAGGCCCCGGAGACAGCATAGCAGGCAGTTCCATCAGATGCCAGGTCCCAGTCAGACTGTCACCCCATGAGCAATGGTGTTAGACCAAGTGGGAAGTCCGAGCTCAGACTAGTCAGTACCTCAGTGAGTGGTGACCCTAGCATGGACCCTCCCCTGAGCTCCACAGCCTCTGGGTTGCTCAGCCCCGTCCAGTAAAATAGAATCCTGGCACAGTACAACCCATAACTTATCTCTGCACCAAGAGGGCACCAGTATGATCTTGCTAGTCTCCTAGATGAAGAGTGTCAGAAACAAGGTGTGGAGTATGTCCCTGCCTGCCTACTGCACAAGAGGAAGAAGAGGGAGGACCACATGGATGGAGATGAGCTAACCAGCCAGAGAACAGCTTTCTGGGAGCCAGCTTCCAGTGACGAGGGAGGAGCCTTGAGTGATGACAGCATGGCAGACCTATACCCACGTAAGCAGGCACAGCCCAATCCCTGCCTCATGTGTGTCTTCTACTAGGTATCTTGTGATCCTGCTCTGTTAGCCACTTTTCCCAGGAAAGTGATGTTTTTTTACCTGTGGTGTAGCTCATCTAGGTGTTTGCTCCTTCCAGCTGAGCTGTTCACAGAAAGAGATCTGGGCAAGCCTGAGAACAGTAACACTCCTGAGGACTTTCTGACAGACGGAGAGGATGAGAAACCAAAGCATTCAAAAGAGAAGGCCACTGGAGAGGGGGGAGAAGCCAAGATGGACCACAAGAGGGGCCGTAAACTCAAGAAGGTGAGCAGTGTGCTGCAAAGTGCTGAGGTCAGGAGGGCTACACAGCCCAAGCTAAGTGAAGCTGGATAGCTAGTGTTTCCCCCATGGTTTTGGCAAATTCTACAAGTACACTGTATTTATAGGTCATAGCCTATAAATATGGAAGCCAAGGCCACTTCAGAAGATCTCCAGGAGTAGGTCCTAACCGCTGGCTTCTCAGCTCTGAGCTGGGGTGACCCTGCCCTACAACACAGGACTCAGGGGCTTATCTGCTGGGCACAGCTCCTTCTCTATGGGTCAGGAGTGAGGATTCTGTCATAGAGGAACAGGATGGGCAGTCTGTAGTGAACTATGCTGCCCTCTCCTGGGCTCCATAGAAGGGCTAACTGGCAAGAAAGGAGACTGATCTTTAGCCTTAGACACACAGGCAGTACCTTCCCTGTGAACCTGTAGAGGCTCTGGTCTGGATTTTCTGCTTTCACAGAAGCAGCTTACCTCGTTGACCAAGAAGTTTAAGAGCAGTCATCACAAGACCAAGAATTTCAGTGTCTTTAAGCAGCTGGGGAGGTGAAACCTGCAAAGAAGCCTTTGGGTATCTTGGAACTGGCTACTGATGTCCTGACATTGGCTGTTGCCCGGAGTGGACCTGGAGGCTCTGCTCAGAAGACAGCAGCAGCAGTGACTTGAAGATTCTTCTCCAGGCATGACTTTTTTTTTTTTTTTTTTTTGTAGTCTTCAGTGACCCTTGCTGTAGCTCACTGTAGCATCCTGAGCCTGGCCAGGTCCCCACCCTGGCTGGTCACCACATAGGATCACACTATATACCACAAATGTCATTATTTATTTTGATGTTTCCAAAGATCAAAACATTTCCAAACACAACTAAGATATAAAATACAGCATAAAAATGAGGTTTATACCTATTCCCACATAAAGCTAAAGCATTTTCAGAAACCTTTTGCCAAACCAATGTGTAGATCATTTTATCTCCCATCCCCAGCTCTGCCCACAGAAAGCTGGTGGATGGGCCAGGGCACCCTTGGGATGAGGGCTGCTGCTGCAATGCATGCACTTGCCTCCAACGGTCTGCCCCATGCCACAAACTGGAATGTCATGGGGTGGCCACAGCAGGTAACAGGAGCAGGTGGGTGTACACTGAGGCAGCTCTGCTTGACAAGCAGCCGAGTGGTAAAGAAGTACCATGGCCTAGGCCACTGGCTGGAACTCACATCAGTGGGAGTAGGCAGGCTGTAAGGCTGCAGTAGAACATGGGCTAGGTGTTGAGAAGGGGGATTCAGACTGCAGAGCCGGCAAGGCAAGGGAAAGAGGATTGACTCAAGGTGACTCAGAAGATACAGTCCTGCCTATCCAGCTGATGCCAGAAAGGACAGCTTCCCAGACTGTACCAACGGTGATGTGAGCTGCCAGCTTCCCTGCAGGGGTTCTAAGCCTGTCTATGTTCCCTCCAATACACCTGGGGGAAGTCCAGAAGAAGCCTAACCTACCCTCATGGCACTACCATGCAAATGAGCAGGATCACACCATCAGGCACCCCACCCCCAAAAAGAGAAACACGGTGTAAGGCAATGTTAGAAAACTTTAAATACAGGACTGAGATCAAATTGGTAAGGCATCACACATTGTAAAAAGTATCTTGGCTGCATCCAGCAGAGGAAGTTGACAAAAATCTGAGCAAGCATCAGGTGGCATCAATGGGTGAATTCAGCCTAGAACAGGGAGTCAAGCCGGGGCTTTTAGGGAGGTTGGAGCATGGCCTGTGAGGTCCAGGCCTTGCTCTGAGAAGGTCAAGTGTGAGGTAACTGGGTTGAGCCTGGGTGTCTTGAGTCCTGGGGCTCCTTACTTCTGTGCCCCAAGGCATTACTGCTTCCCAGGCTTGTTCCATGGTGGTTGAGAGTCATCCTGTGAGCACCTTGCTCTCCTGCCCTCCCACAACCACGCTTGAGGGCTAGCAGTACCCAAACCAAGAACTTTCTGCCTGACTCCACCCCATCCCTGTTTGGAGCCATGAAAACTCCCAGGGTACCTTTCACCCAGTAAATGGCATCCAACCCACTGACATCAAGGACTTGGGCCAGCAGTAGCACCCACCTCTCCAATACTGAACTGTTCTCTAGGCTTGGTGTTTCTCTAACATCTTCACTGATCCTATAATACATGGCAAAAGCAATGCTGGGGCCACTGGTAAGATTCTGAACTGGAGGTTTAACTGTTTGGTGTTTGGCTGGACCATCCTAAGTCATTTAGTAGTTTGAGCTAAGGATGTAAACTTAAAACTAAAAAGGGAAACCGCTTTGAATGATAAAGTACAGCTCAGTACAACTTGAAGTCCCTCACCCCCAAAAAGGAACTCAAAGACAGGACTGAGACCATAGCCCACCACACTGTCTACTCCAAGCCTTGGCTAAGGAATGACTGTCCAGCTGGCCAGCCCTGGACAGTCAGACTCCAGACTGTTTCCAAAGATTTTACCTTCAATTTTCAGTTGTCTGCAAATAAAGTTCTCAAAACATCTGTGCCTTTACCAAGGGAGGGGGAAGGGAAGAGGACACATAAAACGCTGGCAGTTTGTTGACTCTACCCTGAATCAGTCCAGGGCCTTGTGCCTCAGCCAAGGAGGGGAGGGGTCTGTATGTTACCACTCCTTCTTCTTCTCATCCATGGAGACACCTCCTGGGCCAAGAGCCACCACCAGGAGCAGGCCTCCAATCACTGACATGGTCTGGAAGAAGTCATATTTCAGGAAGTCATGCATGGGTTTATAGACCGGGATTGTCCAGAAGGCGTTGAAATACACGTTGATGGCAAACAGCCAGATGACGAGAGTCAAAGCTGCTAGCTTGGTTTTAAAGCCAATGGCTACTAAGATCATCAGAGCTGTGCCCACAATGTTCTGGACGATCTGCACAGATTCAAAGACAAGACATTCAGAGTAAAGGTCAGGAAGAAAGCTGTGCACACTTGTATCTGAGGCTCACATAACTCACACGAGGACTTGGTGAATACTGTATTAAAAGATGCCGTGGCTTTACATTCCCAAATCTATCAGTGGTGTTTTCCAGTTAGGACTTCGGTGAGTGATTAGGCCATGAAAGGACACTTGCTTCTTAGGTTTCACCATGTGATATCCTGTGTTCTCTTGGTACTCTACAGAGTCCATACCACAAGATCCTCACCAGATGTGTCCTCTTGACCTTCTTTGTCTCCAGAACTATAAGCTGAATAAGACATCATTCTCTATAAATTGCCCCTTCTGTGGTATTCAGTTACAGCAATAGAAAATGAACTAAGATTACTGCTAAAGAAGCACCTGACTGTGGAATGGGTAATGGTCAGACTTGGAGGCATTAGAGGAACATACTGTCATGAAGAGAGCAGTGAAGGCCATTCTGGGAAGAGCTGAGAAGATAAGACAAAGGAAAGACAGGGACTTTGTAGTACTCAATTGCCTGAGCCAGCATCCTGCTGCAGTATGAACAGTAAACATGAAACAAGGGTCTGTAAAGCAGAGCAAAGGCCATTTTTGTTAGAAAATTGCAATGAAGGCCAGGGTTTGTGGCACATGCCTTTAATCTTGCACTCTGAATTTGAGGCTAGCCTAGTCTTCCAGTATAGGCAGGGTCACACAGAGGGAAACCCTGTCTTGAAAAACCAAAAAGAGGAATGGGGGGACAGAAAGCTGCAATTAACTCAGCTGCTTGTGCCCATGGCCTAGGACCTTGCAGAATACAGAATTTATATATCTGGCAGAAAAAAAATCTATCAGCAGCAAAGCATTCAAGTTGGCACATAGCTACTTTGGATTCGGACTGCTAACAGACAAACAAGGGTGCAAAGACTGAATTCATAACAAAGGAAATGTGAAAAACGTGGGGAAGTTCTTTGGCCATGTGGTAGAGAATGAAAGATGCCTTTGTCAGGGTCTCTCTATGTAACCCAGACTGCCCTTGAACTTATAATCCTCCTGCCTCTGCCTCCCAGACACTAGGATTTCAGACCTATGCCACATCTGGCCAAGCAATATTAAAAAAATAATGAATTTAAGAAAAACTGTATGTGTGTCTGTAGGAGGGCGGAGGTCAGAAGAGGGTGCCAGATATCCTCTATCAATTTCCAGATATTCCTTTTTGAAGAAGGGTCTCCCTGAACCTAGGGCTCATCTCAGCTAGGGTGGAAGGAGGAATCTAAATAATCCTCCTGCCTCTTCTTCCCTCTACGGCCAGTTTTTAGGCATTTGCAAAATACCTAGTTAGCTACTTTCATGCTAAGATTTGAATTCTGGTCCTCATGATTGCAGAGAAATTACTCTTGGCCAATAAGCCATCTCTCAGTTCCTAAGCAGCTTATTTCAGTGTCAAAGATTTGGGAGCTGGGCACAGTAGCATGTGCCTGTGATCCCAGCACCCAGGCAGGCAGAGGTAGGCGGACCGCTGTTGAGTTCCAGGCCAGCCTAGTCCACAAAGGGAGTCCAGGACAGCCAATGGGGGAAAAAAAAAAAAAAAGGTTTGGGGAAGATGAGTAACGGCTTAAGTGCTATATAGGACTCTATTAGGGTTCTGTTCATCTACACCCACCTCACCATCCATGCTGGAAACACCTCTCCAACAATGCCCTTCTGCCATCTCTGCTTCTAACATGTGACATATAAAAACCAGAATGTATTGGTCAACAGTGTGAATTGAACTCTGAAGAAAAAAAGTCAGCAGTCTACAGAGAGGGCACTGGCCTCTCTCCCTAGCAGAGCTGGATAGGCTCATTTTACAAGCATGAGCTTGTCTCCTCAGGCTGTACTCAGGCACAGCTATGACAACAGGTAGCACATGGCTCAGGAGTACTCACAGAAAAGAAGCTGGCATCAAAGTGAAGAAGGGTCATGAACATCAGGACCAGGAGGACCCTTCCTCCAAGCTGCATGTACTGCTTGGGGGAGCTCTCACGCATGGTGGGAACACCAGCAAACATGCTCTTCCCTTCCGAGCGGGACTCTGCCAAGAGCAGCAGCAAACCTCCTCCTAAAGCCAGGTTCCTGAGGAACAGAAATGTCAGCTACATTTACCAAGCAACTGTCTACCAGGCCAGAGCAAAAGAAAGCCTGGCATGGACACATCAAGGCCCACCCTTTCCTTTCTCCAAAACAAACCACCACTCAAAGGGACCAGGCCAAGCTGAGTACAAAGGACCTTCCAAGTTGAACCAACATGATCACATGAAAACTGGATGCACTGGTCTTTGCCCCTTTCTACTCAGACCCTCACTGCACACACCCATGCAATATGGGGCTACAAGACAGGACCCCTCTCTATCAAGCCAGGATTCTGGTTGTGGGGGAAAACCCTGCTTCTCAGAGGCACACTGTGGACTACAGAAGTTGGAAGGCACTAGCCAACAGCTGCTCAGGTGAGAGGGCCTAAGACTCTGTTCTTACCACCCAAAATGCACCTACCTCATCAGAAATTTCAAGTCCCACAAAATGCTGTAGGCGATTGTCTAAGGAACAGAGAAAAAAAAAATGAATCAGCATTTCACACCCATAGCTAAAGATTTCATAGCAGCATGAAGCAGATCGTCCAACAGAATAAGAGAGAAGACTAGCCACTTCCCCAAAACAAAAAGGAGCTCTGCAGGGCAGATACACAGAAGGGCTGAAGAGGGAGGATGCCAGATCCAATATAGCTCCACCAAAGCAAAGCAAGACCTACCCCACACCCTATGTACCCCAAGTGAGAACCACTAGGTGACTGTGTACCTGCAGTGCGATGATTCCAAACAGCCCAAAGCAGGCATACTGCACGAAGTTCCTGCTCAGCACCAAAACACAGCCAGCTAGAAAGAGGACAGAGTTAGGGCTATGGTGTGTCCAGGCAACAAGACACCTCTGTTCCAGTGCTGCTGAGCTGCTGCACCCCAAGCAAGGCACCTTCCCAGGGCCTTAATGGCACACAAGGCATGGCCCTGGAGCCTGCCCAGCTTCTGAAGAACACTAGTCTAGACCATACTTTGCTGTGGAGAGCCATAGCTCCTCATGCCAGGGTCTATCAGGGCAGGATTAAATGTTCCACTATGGAGCAATCCAACAATGCTTAGGAGCATAAGTTCTTTCTCACCTCCTAACATGCAAAGGCAAAAAAGCTGCCACCAGAAGATGGGCTGTCAGAAGATCAATTTGAATCCAAATGCCCTGGTTCTGTGCCAACTGAAACCTTTTGTCCTTTCTGGACATTGTCTTTGACTTCCTTAACTGCCCAGGCTCTAGCATCTCCTCCTGTATTTATAAGCAGAGACTGTGGCAAACTTCTTTTTTGTTTATAGGCAGAGTCTCACTATATAGACCCAGCTGCCTGAAACTTGTTTTATTATATTGACCAAGTCGGCCTTGAACTCAGAGACAGCCTCTACCTACAGTGAAAGGCATGAGTCACAAGCCAGGTCTGATGGCACACGCCTGTAATCCCAGCACTCAGACAGCAGATCTCTCTGAGTTCAAGGCCAGCCTGGTCTAAAAAGTGAGTCCAGGACAGCCAAGGCTATACAGAGAAACCTTGTTTCAAAAAAACCAAAAACAAACAAACAAACAAACAAACAAATAAGATGTCAGTCACACCAGGCTTGTATCCAATTTCTATAGTAATTTTAAATAAATGAGTACAAGGGAACTGGGTATGGACCATCCATCTGAAAGCTCAGAGAACCAAACCATGCTGGCATGTTTCAAAGCCCAGGGCTATAATCTCAGCTGACAAGCTCCTAAGTATTTGTTCACCCAGGCCTCAAGCTCACACAGCTTATCAATGGCCAACAATCTTAAGTTTGGGGTTCAGGATGCCCCAGAAGTATACTAGAGAGGCTTCAGAGCCACTTACTCAACTGTCCCAGCAGGTTGAGGAAAACAAAGGATGAGGCCAACAGGTAGCCACAGCTCCAGGTGGTGTCAATATAGTCACGTTGCTCACTCCACTGGAACCACATTCGAATGCCATCCTCCAGGAAGGTGCTAATCAGGCAGAGGCGTGCCACATGAGGCAGGTACTGCTTGGTGACTCGAAGGAACTGTAAGACCACAGAACACACTGATGACATGGCTGCAACCTCATTTTAAGGATAACAGGTGAGAGGAGACAAGCCAGCTCTCTGCAAGGCAGAGGCCTTCAGCACCTCCAGTGTCCTCCCAGGGCAGATGTAGGATTCAGTACCTGCTTTAGGTGGCCCCCTCTTAAGTTTGGACACCTGTGATGACCTAACACTCAGTCCCAGAGACAGAGACAATGTCTCATGCATGTGGCCCAGAACCACAAGGAGACATCTAGTACCTTTGCTCCACCTCCACAGCCATCAAGGCAGAAATGCCACAAGATACACAGTTTCCATGCCCAGTGAGGTACATTAACAAGTGGGAGGCACAGAAGTGGGAGGCTCTCAGATATCTTCTAGCCCAGGGATTCTCTCACTTCAGCTCCCTCACATCCAGGGCTATCCCCAGCACTGAAGAATACAGACCAGCAGAGCACCCCTGACCCCCACCCACAAGATGCCACAAGCAGCATTTCCAACTGTGGCACCAAAATAAATGCCTCTATTTTTGCCCCAAGAAAATCCCTCTGGAAAGTTTAATATCCTATGAGGCAACTGTGGTACAGATGAACAGCTGGGCTATGGAATACAAAGACAACACTGGGATGTTCTCACCACCGAGGACCCAAAGCAAAGTAAAAACTGCCAAATATGAGACTGATAATGACTGTAGTGACAATCAAGCGTGCAAATCACCAACAAAGGGCAGTTCTGAAATACATGCTCATGGCTCCCTTTTGTCCCCATGCAGATAGCATTTGATGACTTGATTAGGAGGCCAGCACACCCTATTGAAGCTAGGTGGACTCTCATACTAGTCTCAGAGCTGAGTCGCAAGGTAAAAAAAAAAAACAAAAACAAAAAAAAAACCCAAGGATATCAAGGAGTCCCAGGAGAAAGATCAAGGAGCCACCCATGGACTGACGTGTCAAGAAGAGTCTGAAGGGCAGAGTCTGACCCCAGTAGGGCAGCAGAGAGAACATGGGCTGTGCAGGCCCTCCCAGGACTGATAAATCTGCTGTTAGAATAGATGAGGATGTACATAAGGAATATGGCCGAATTCTCAGCACTTTAAAAGCTGCTTCCCAAGATCCTACCAAAGCTGCCATCTCAGCTTCAAAGCACCTGGGTATTCCGATCGGCCTTCAGCCCAGGAAGTAGTGGCCAGGCTTGGCCCTGTCACAGTGCAGACAGGTTCTACCTATGGCAGGGAATAGAAAAAGTCACAGCGCTGATGCCCACATTCTTCAGACAAACTGCCTGTACCCCTGGTGTGTATCTGCACATGCTTTCTAAGCCCCACTGAAGAGATGGCTTATCATTAGAGACCAGCTAGCAGCTCTGGGAACCAGGCACAGGCACTCAGGCCACAAGCTTTCACCTTGTCTGACTCTGTCTAACCCTGGCCAGCAATGTGCTCCACACATGGTGAACCGGTTACTTTGTGGGGTAGGAGGGGTTGCTACCCTTCAACAAATAAGACCATGCAATTACTGGCTGCTTAGATTCCTTCCCAACTTGCAGAGTCAAAAAAAAAAAAAAAAAAAAAAAAAAAAAAAAAAAAAAAAAGAGAGAGAGAGAAAGAAAAGAAAAGAAAAAGAAGACATGCTTTAAAATTGGAAAAACAGCCAGGCATGGAGACACAATGCCAGTGATATCAGCTTCTAGAGAGGCTGAGGCAAGAGTTTCACTTGAGCCTAGTATTTCAAGGCTATGTTTGGCAACACAGGACTCAATCTCACAGTAAATACAAAAGGAAAAGAGGTTCAAATATGCTTGAGTTTTAGGGCCCTGGAAGAGAACACACATACTACATCCTACTAGGTGAGAGGACAGGTGACACCACTCACCCTCCCAGGTTCTTCCTCATGGCTCTAATGTTTAGAAATAGCCAGCAGCAACACAATCACCAACATTCTATGGAAGAGATAAAGAGCAGCACCATGGATCTCCATCACCACCACGGAGATTTTGGGAAATGCCCCTCATCTTGTCACACACCTAAAGGGAGCTGTGCAGACCACAGGAGGGTGTGCATACTCAGGCGGCCAGACACTGGAGGAGTTCTGACTTGCTTCCAAATGAGAACTGTTCCCCGACACAATTACACTGGGGCTGCACCCACTGGGTGCACCAGCCCAGCCTTGCTGCAGTCAGCTACTCCCTCAAAGAAGCTCACCACAGATGCTCAATTGCTACGCACACAGTCTAGCACAATCCACTAGATGTAGCTAAAGTGTCCCGACAAGTCTGCTACTCTTAATTGTAGTGTCTGGATCAAGAGGATTAAAGAGTAGAAGACAGTAATGGAAGGAAGGAGCAGTCCTCCCTTCCATAGCACCATGGCTAGGAGACTAGTGCAGTGACTTGCTTCTGGGAGAAAAAAAGTACAGAACTGAAGGCAGTATATACTGAACTAAGCACAGCTGCTGGACTCTGCTTTCCAAAGACAAGTATCTGTCAAGTGGGCACAGAGCACCAGTCAACAGCCCTCCTTTCATGGACCTCTGAACACAGGAGAAAAGCTACATTTAGCAACAAAGACAGATCCTGCACAAGCATGTTGTTCACAGCCTCAGGTTCATGTTATACTACTGCAAAGTGTTCCCACAGCCACATCTCCTCTGTGATTGCAAGCTACTACCAGTGTCCTACCTCATGCCGGCCATGAATACCAAGAACAGAGAAACTCCATAACCATGGTTCTCATTATAGAGCCTGGAAAAGCCAGTGGTGGATGCTGATGAGAAAAGCTTGTGAGAAGAGAAGACAATCAAGCCAACCCACTTGGATAAACAGGCTTCTCATAAGCTTTGCAACAAGCACAAAATGCTCACAGGCAGTGAAGCATCCCAGTAGCTAAGAAATGAGAATAAGAGGGCCTGGAGAAATGGCTCAGAAGGAGAGAGTTCAAAGGAACCAAGTTTGGTGCCCGGCACCCAAATGATAGCTCACAACTGTCCGTTGCCCTTTCAGTATCTTTGGGCACCAGGCACCCAAGTGGTACACAGTCATGCATTAGGGCTAAACACTATACACATACATAAAAAATGAGGAAGGCTACATCTGTCTCAGAGGGTTATCTATCATCTGAAAAGACTGAGGGGATTTAGGACATAATACTATCATTCCTATGATAGGAACCCAGGAAACAAGTAGGCTCACCCAGGGAGTGTTGCTGTCAACATGCAGAGTAGAAACACCAACCTCCTCTTTTGTGTTTAGGACAAAAATGGATCTCAATTTGGGAGATCTTTAAGGAAATGGAAGGTTAAAAGAGTTCCTGCCTTGGTGGATCCCATTCAAAAATCCATAAGCATAGGAACAGATAGGCAGGGTCATCTCAACAGTCTGGTGGACTCTAGGATTCCCAGAAAGTATCGTCCAAACATGTCTCCAATGCATCATGAGTGTAGGAGCTCGAAGACCACCTTCCTTTTCTAAAATGAGCAGTTAAGAGGCTGCAGTCTATGAGGACTGGGGCTCATCTACCAGGGGCTAACCAATCCCTAGCATCTCTACCTCACTTCTCCAGAAGGGGGCACTGTGCAACCTCCAGTCAAGACTAGCAGAGAAGTGAGTCAGCTTCCCAAACCTTAAGGTAGAGGTACAAGATGACAAAGCACTGGAAAATGAAAGGCTCAGGGGCCCAATACCAAGCCCTATCCAGCCCGTATCAGGTCCACTCTGGCACTACTTCAGAAAAAGCACACACCAGCTCCTCGGTCTAGTTCTGCCACTATTTTGTTGTTTTTGTTCTTGTTTCCTCAAGACAGAGTTTCTCTGTGTGTTCCTGGCTGTTCTGGAACTTGCTTTGTAAACCAGGCTGGTCTCAAACTCACAGAGATCCGCCTGCCTCCCAAGTGCTGGGATTAAAGACTTGCACCACCACTGCCCATAGTTCTGCCTCTCTTAAGGACATGTCAACACACCAAAGTCCACACTGGGAAAAGTAAGACCTCCTATAGCCTTCCTGTCACCCTGGTAACAGCCATCAGGCAGAATCCATTAAGCACTAATGTTCCTGGTGTGAATTCACCTGGAAGCTACCCTACAATCTGTTTAGCTCGAATCAAGTAGTGGACACAGGACAAGGGCGAGATTTTGAGTTCCCAGCTCTTTCCCACCTGGTTTCTGATGGCTTTCTGAAGGCCTACTTCCTGCATCTCATCACTTCAGGGAGAGGACACCATCCCTGGCTGCAAAAGGGCAAGGCGCTTGATGCCAGGTCAGAGATGTAGCTCACAGGAGCCTGCCAGCAGGGGCACAGCAGTGTACAGCCCAGGCAGGGCACCAGCCTCCACCACACTAAAAGGAAAGACTGCAGTTCCACCAAAACAGGGAGATGCTGACCCTGGGTAACAAGACTGGGACTATGCAGATCTTGACAAATTTCTCTGTGTCCCTGGGAAGATGGCCTCACAGGATGCCCAGTTAATGGCTCAGTGTTGTTGTCATCACTGTCAGAAACACCTTTCCAGGTCTCAATTGGAAAGGCCAACTTTCTGGGCAAATCTATTTTTGCAATGTCAGTTCTACTTTTGTTTTCTAAAGACGAGAGGGATGTGTGACAATATCTGACAATACCTTAGAGGCAGCAATTCACTTCGTAACACATTAGAGCCTTCCATTTAGAAAGCTAGACTATCAGCACCTTCCTCATTAGCCAATTTGTTTTCAATGCTGCAGCTGAATATTCAACACAAAAGTTCACAGGACTGGTCACACTGAGGCCATCAACAGGCCCTGACACTAGTTCAGAAGAGCAGAAGCTCCTGTGGTAGCCTCTGCTCTCTTCCAGGTGCACTCTGAGGCTCATCCCTGCCAGCAGCAACCTTCACTGGGAATTCCGGTTTTAAGCAACAGGCTGTCTGCAACACTGGTATCCTCCCACTGATGTGGAGCTGAAACTAACTCCAGACCCTAAAGGAAAGCTGCCCTGGACACCTGCCTTGCAGTAGAAGACCCAGGGTTTCTTCCTGGGTGGTGGCCACTGGCAATTCTAGGAGCCAAAACCAGTCACTTGGTGGAGGTGGACACTGTGTTTCCCACAAAAGCTTGTCCAGTCCAAAAATTCGTTTTTTTTTCACTTAAAGCAAAACAAAATGCATGGAGGACTTCCTAAAAAATAAATTAGCTCTTTCTCTGGTTGAAATCTACCATTCGATAGTTGGCAGCTTCTTGGAGATATTTTATCTGGGTCAGGTTGTGAAATCCACTTGCAAAATGGAGGGTTTTCCAGCTGAAGATCGTGAGGTGAGCAGCTCACAAACTTCCCTTGGCTATTGGAGCCATCTTCTTAGAGAGCTGGTACTAAGCAAGATAAAACTGGGTCAATAAAAATTGTCAATGAAACCCAGCACATGAGGAAGACCTTGGTCCTTGAGAACAAATTTTAAAATTGTGTCTTTAATGCAAAATCATGACCTTAGAAAAACTTTTACAAAGAGGGTGAAAATGACTTTAAAAATATCAGCTCACAGAAAATTAGTTCAACAGAATCGAGTGAAAACATGGGAGATGACACCCCTCAAAAGGAGGAACAGAGTTCATTCGACCCACGGCTCATTTGAAGATGCTCACACACACCCAAGTCCTCCAGTACTCCAGGCTACAAAATCCTTCCTCGTATTACCGAAAGCCACGAACTCTCTAAGCGAACCAGAACAGGCTGGCGGGTGGGCCTGGCACCACTCAGCCTACAGGGATAGTTCAGGCTCCATTACTACTTCGCAGACCTAACGGGGCAATTTCAGAAGGCAAAGGCTCACACCTACACAACATCCACCCACCCCATTGCTGTCTAACTTAATTCTAAAAAGTGGGTGCCACCTGAGCTTCTTTCGGGCTCTAACCCTGCCCGGCTAGTCGCTCGGGCCCAAGTTCGTCCCAGGCCTTCCCTGCGGTTCACATGCCACCTGTACACTAGGGAAGGAGGGCCGTGAGGCAGGCTCCTCTCCTCCGGCAGCGTGGACGCACACCGGGCAGCCGGAGCAGAGTCCACGCGAGGAGGGAGGGGCAGGACGGTCCCGGACAGAGGGCGGAGGGGCCACGCAGCGGGGCGCACAGAGTACTCCCTTCCCCGGAGGTTCCCCCCACGGTCCGCCACGGTTCTGAGGGCAGAGGGCAGAGCGCAGCACCGCGGGCCCAGAGAAGCCTCCCGAGCCGCCCCCAGCCCAGAGTCCCGCGGATCTCGCCGTGGAGGCAGGCAGGGCGGCGAGGGCGGGCGTCCGTGGGGCCCGGAGGGCCAGCGGGCTGTGGGGCGGGCCGCACCTGGTCGGCGAAGTCCTCGGCCGTGCCCATCAGGTCGTTCTGGCCCATGGCGGCGGCGGCAGGCTCAGCTGGCTGGTCCTCGGCGATCGCGCCTGCTGCGGCCTCCACAGGAAGTACCCGGCGGCCGGCCTTGCTGCGCCGCGGCGGCTCTAGCAGCTGCCACGTAGGCCAAGCCTTAAAGGGGCCGCGCCGCCCGCCGCGCCCCGCCCCGCCCCGCCCCGCCTGCTGCGCGCCCTCACGCTCCAGACCCCGCCCGCCACGCTCGGGGGCCTCCGGCCGAAGCGCCGCCTCCCACGAGCACGCCCCGCCCCCACGCCCAGGCCCCGCCCCCTCAGGTTTCTGTGGCCGTCCCTAGAACCCGGAGCCTTGCCCACCTTACACCCTCACCAAGCAGCACATCCAGTCCACCATGCTAGTAGACTTCCTGCCACCCTCATCACCCGCCCGTTGCGCTTGAGGCCCCGCCTACCGTGTCGTCATACTACCTACCCAGCCCCCATCCGACCTAACACACCAGGCCCCGCCCTTCTTCTAGTCCGCGGAGGCCTATTCTCTGCGGCTTCTTTAAGGGGCGGAGTGCAAGGACGCCGCGTGTGAGCCAGAGGGCTAGGCAGACACGCCCCGGGTTTGAGGGTCGTCATGGTCAGGTGGTGAGGCTGAGGAGTTGGAGTGGGCGCAAGGAGCAGTCACTATCGAGCATGCTCAGTCGAGGGTTCGACTACCGGTCTGGCTCGAGGGATTACTTCCCTATATCCGGCAGTCGGACAGGGAGGCAGACTGTCTCCTCGAGATACCATGGAAAACTATCAGGTGCTGCGATGTCCCCACTCCGAAGAGCCAGGGTTCGTGGGCAGCGGGGACAGGTCCAAAGGCTACACTGGCAGGTCCAGCCTCCCTGACAGGCTAACCCCATAATCCCCGAAGTGTCCTCCTCCTAGCCACTTCACCTCCAAGGGCCTCAGTCTCCCTCTCTGAAATGATGACCAATACCCAATCTGACCTGTGGTTGGAGAATGGTGCAAGCACCCTTTTTCCGTGTATGCTGGGGTTTAGAGGCAGAACACTGGGAACAAAAACCTGAATGGATATTTTTATTTTTAACTGCTGTTGTTTTCTTGACGCATTAGCGTCATTAAATGTTAGACTCAGCTTATAAACGCTTCACTTTGCTACCGTTAGATTTTCCTCCCTTTTGCAGGATTCTCTGAGAGAAGGTTTACAGGCCTTAGCCAAACAGATGCACTTCCTGTGGCCAGAAATTAAATAAATAAATAGATAAATAGATAAATTCACGGCTCACTGGCCCGGCCTGAGATAGACTCACTCCTGAACTGAGCTCCAAGAACTCCCTGATTCTATCCTTCCTGTACTGCTTTTGTGTCCCCTTTTCACCCTGATTACCATCTCAGCACTCAGAGATCTCAGCCATCTAATCCACAGCCCTGACCTTGCAAACTTCTGTTCTGCAGGCCAGTTCTGAAGGTGTGGCTTCCTCACAAGCTCCGGCTCAGACTCCAGAGTGCCGTAGTTTCAGAAAAGGACCTTGCTCCCCAGACCTCAGTATCTCTCAATAGGTAGCACCAGTGGCAGTCACAGAGAGCGGCTGGGTAGCACTTCCTGCAATGCTGAGCCCTGCCTGTAACAACACCACTTATATCAATTAAAGGGCCTTGTGTGGATGTTCTCTTTGGAAGGATGCTGGAAGGTGGTATCACTGGAGTTTAGAACCACTAAGCCCCTGTCCGAACGTACATTTTAACTGTCAGCCCTGCAGGCTGGGGCAGAGTCATGAGGCTATAAAATATGGGCTCCAGAATGGGTTTCAAGGAAAATTGTATTGGTTCCACAGTGGAGGCCTTCTCGGTCAGTCACCTGAGGCCATTTCCTCTACAGCAAAAGTGAGCAAAGATGCCCACTGTGGAGGCAGCCCATGTGGGAAATACACAGCCGTTGTGTGCACTTCCTCAAAGTCTCTCTCTTCCTTGAGGTAGGTTTTGAAAATGTTCAGACCTGGAGCCTTAGGAGTGAACCTGGTGGTGGAGGAAATAGAAACGGAAACCAGGTACTTGATAAAACAGGTAAGGTGCTGAGCCCGGTGAGCCAAGGGGTATAGTTTTGTAGCAGTGGTTCTCCCAAACCCAAGCTCACCATCCCAGGTTAGAGAGCTTTCTCAAATTCCCAGAAACCCCCCACCCCTGGTTGGGGCAGACTGTAGCATGAGACTTCCTGGAGTTCCCTCTTTGCCAAAATTTTACTCTGCTAACCACAACGCTCATCTGCATGCTTGCCACCATCTCACTGAACCCATCAACCCTGCCAGCCCAGAACAACAACCCCAGTTTCACAGCCAAAGACTGTGAAACTCAGGAGTCTCATCGTCACTAGCGTTGCAGTTTCCTAGAGGATTTGAATTTGATAAGGGGTAGCATGGTACTGCTTAGTACAGGGCCACTGGTCTTATCAAAAGAGAAAATGGGGAGGCAAGGCCCTGAGGGGGGTCACAGAAGCTGAGCACAAGGCACATAACTGCATAGCTGGTGTGGGATGCCAGCCCACAAGAGTACTCTAGAGAAGAGCACTGCTATACAAGTCCCTTGTACACCTTCCTCTGGGGTGGTGACAGGAACTTTGGGGATGGAGTCTGGCCACATTCTGCTAGGCCTCCCAAGCAGCCTCAGCCCAGGGACTGGCCCTGGAGGTTTTATCTACTCTATTGCTAATCAGTCCTGGGGTCAGCTGCCTTATATCACAGGCCAGTGCTGCCAGAGTGCCTGAGTTTGTTTGTTTAAGCTAGCCATACCAAGCATGAAGGCACACTACTATACTCTCAGCATTTGGGAGGAAGGCAAGTAGGCCTAGAGTTCAAGGCCAGCCTGGGCTACACAGTAACACCTTGTCTGAACAAGCAAACACAAGCAAAACTAGACATTTGGTTTCTCCAAATAAAAATCAGGTGAGGGGTTATAGGCAGGAGTCTGTGTGTCTTTTTCTCTTACGTGTTTGTAAGAATGGTGCTGAGGTTGATAACATCTCATCTATTGACACTGTCACATGTCGTCACCACAGTTTCCTCCTCTCCTATCTGACAGCTGTGTCTCCTCCCAACGAGCTTCCTGCACTGTAGCTGGGCAGCCTGTCCTCTAATATGGCTTTAGCTTGCTTTGTTTTCACCAGTATAAACAACTGTGATAAATATCTTTAGAGATCTTTATAGAGCCTTCCCCACTTAAGCATAAATGACTTCCTTAGGAGGAAAAAAATCCATGAAATAATAATGAAAGGTTTTCTTCAATTTATTCTTATTTATCTTTATTTATTTATTGGAGGACCTTTCTATGTACCCTGGCTATCCTGGAACTCACTATGTAGACAAGACTGGCTTTAAACTCACAGAGCTCTATCTGCCTGCCTCTTTTTCCAGAGTGCTGGGATTAAACGCATGTACCTGCCACTCCACCACTGAGCTACAGCCCATCCCTAACATTATTGGTTCAACTCTGCTTTTCCTTCTTTCTTTCTTTGTTTTTTTCTTCCTTTCCTTTTTTCTTTTTTCTTGAGACAGGGTTTCTCTGTGTATCCCTGGCTGTCTTAGAACTTGCTTTGTAGACCAGACTGGCCTCAAACTCAGAGATCCACCTCCCTCTGCCCCCCAAGTTCTAGTATTAAAGGTGTGTGCTGCCACCACCCGGCCATTTTGTTCTTTATGTTACTTTAGAATAAGTGTTTTGGCTTTTTTTTTTTTTTTTTTTTTTTTTTTTTTTTTTTTTTTTTTTTTTTTTTTTTTTTTTTTTTTCTTGAGACAGTATTACACTAGGTTTTTTTATGAGGCCAGCGAGGCCTCAAGCTCACAGAGATCCTTCTGCCTCTACCTCCTAAGCACTGGGATTATAAGCACAAGCCACCCTGCCCACTGAAGGATTTTACTATGTTTGGCTAAGTTTCCTATTGATGATGGTGGTAGCAATGGTGATACTAGTGTTGAAAATGGTAGCTGATGTGGTGGTGACAGTGGTGGTGGTGGAGGAGGAGGAGATAAAGGCCAAAGTGGAAGTGTTACAGCTGGTAGTAATGGAGGTGGTGGTATTGGAGGTAAGGGAGGGGGTGATGACAGCAGTGGTAATAGGAGAAAGGAGCCATTGTTCAAGACACATGTACTAATTGAGCTTGTCTTCCTGTGCCCTCCAGGTGGAGTGTATTGATGAGCACCATGCCAATCAGGCCCTGGAGGAGGTAATGATCAGTTTTTTTCCCCTGAGAGGATCAGGACTCAACAGACAGAGGAACTGGGTTTTGTGCCCAGTTGCTGAGTGGCAGGGTGAAGGAAGGCATGCTATGGTCATAAAGGGACTCTATGCTCAGAACATCACTTCTTAATTACCACCTGGGACATCTGTCCCCTGAGGGCTAATCTACCAGTAACCATCTTTTAGAATTGTATTTACTTATTATTGTTGTTGGAGGAGGACAAAAACCACATAACACAGCCATGTGTGGCAGTTAGAGGACAACTTTGTGAAGTCAGTTCTCTCTTCCCACCTTTATGTGTATTCAGGGGTTTGCACTCACTGTCGTGATTTGTTTTCTCTTCCTTTATTGTTTGTTTCCAGACAGGATCTCACTATGTATCTCTCGGTGTCCTGGAATTCACTCTGTAAACCAGGCTGGCATCAGACCCACAGAGATCCACCTGCCTCTGCTTTCTCCTGAGTGCTGAGATTAAAAAGGCATGCGCCACTACACCTGGCTTGACTGTCAAGTTTTCAAAGAAAGCATTTTAACCCACTAAGCCATCTGGCAGAGCCCCAATAAGCATTTTTTTAAGGCTGGTCTTGTTTTCTTTACACATTTGTTTAGTGGGTATGGACACACACACACAGGCATGCCTCGTGGCATATATGTGGAGGTAAGAAGACAGCATTATGGAGTTATTTCTCTCCTTGTGCCTTTACTCACTGAGCCATCTCACATTTTCTGAAGATGTTTTTCTTCAGAGTTGGGGCTGTAGTTCAGTGATGGGGAATGTGCTTCAGTTTTTTCTTCTAGTTATAAAAGAAAAACAGTATGGCACTGGAGAGGTAGCTCAGTGGTACATAGCACTAGCTATTCTTCTTTGTAACTACAGTTAAAGGAGCTCTGACACCCCCTTTGGCCCCTGGGCAGCAGGTATAGACATGGTACATGGATAGACAGACATTCAGGCAAAACAAGGCTTGGGAGATTCGCAGGAAAAATGTTTACAAAGAAATTGTGCATTAGTCAATGAGTTGAGTGTGTCAGTGCACACCTATAGTCCCAGCATTGACTGGTCGCGTTTGAAGCCAGCCTGGACTGCACTGCGAGATTCTGACAAGATGCTGAGAGGTGACTGTGTGGTAAAGCACCAGCCTCTGATGTGCTGGCCCTGGATTTGATTCTCAGCATAGAACAGAGGGAAAGAAGCAAGGGAAAAGGAGAAGAGGAAGTTAGGAAGAAAGGGAGAGCAAAAGGGTTAGGCTGGGAGGATGATGGGTTGTAACTTGCCTTCACAGAGCCACAGGTGACAGCAGTGGCCAGCTTTGTAGATAGCAGCTATGAGCAGTTTCTTTGGGCTGCTCTAGAAATTTCAACCAGGTGAAAGGTGTCTTCTCCTCCATGATGGCCACTTGTGGGTTGGTTTCCTTCTGGAGTTGCCTGCCCTTGCACATTGCTAGTCAACATCTCTTGTGTCACATACAGTGTCACTGGGTCAGATTTGGACCCAGTCATACTCTGACATGTGAAAAGAGCATGGGAGGTTCCACCATCACACCACTATGCTGTCCTTTCCCATTAACACCTACCAGGCCAGGCGTTTTCCCACCCAGCTTCCAATCAAAGCACTTGCCCATCTGGCTATAGTGTCAGGTGTCCATGTCTGCTGCTTGATTGGGTTTGTTTCCTAAGTATTTTCTCACTATGCCTTTGGGTGCAGCACCTTCTGCAGCCTAGCCTGTCTCCTAGCAACCCCCTGGGTCTTCACCAGTTCATTGGGGGTTGGAGGTTGTTCTGGGTACCAAACCCAGGGCTCAAATGCATGCTAGAAAAAGGATTCTATTCCTGAACTTAGACCCCAGCCTGTTACCATTTTTATATGTACTTGTGAGGCTCGGAAAGGTTGAAGGAAAGGCTTGGTCATGTAGCACAATCACCCCATTCTGGAAACCCACACCAGTCTTCTGGCCTCTCTCCAGCAGGCCTCCCTGCACCCATGCCCTGTCCTGCCCAGAGCCGTTAGCCCAGCTCTTGGTTGAAATATGTAGAAGGGCAGTACTAGCTGAGACACTCTGCTCTCTCTACAGCTGATGCCTGTGCTGAAGCTCCAGCACCCCAACATCTCTGTGTACCATGAGATGTTCATCATGTGGAATGATGAGGTAGGTTTTTGGAGCACCCATAGCCCAGCAGCTAACAGCATGGAACACTCTGACAGGCAGGCATTGCCTGGGTCCTGTGTGTGATCTCTAATGATCCCCCAACAACCTCATCATAGGAGGCCTAACAGCTCATTTCACGAAGTAGGAAGTTGAGGCCAAGAGCAATCACTTTGGGGTTCTTCAGGTATAACACAGCTGAAGCAGGAGGCCAGGTGCTAGCTAGGCTTCAGACTGCATCTTTAATTGTGGGGTGTTGGCTCCTGTAGAAGGAGCTGATACTCAGAAGCTGCTCTTCTAGCCTCCCCATGTTGTCCCAAAGCTGTGGACCCCTTACTCCCATGGCCATAGGAGAGCAGGGTGGGAACACTATTTTCATATCATGATGAGGTCTAAGGCCCAAGTACCTCACAGTTAGTGGATCCTGAGTGGGGCTTCCCAGGCCTGTGTCCTATTGGCAACAAGACTTCTTGTTTTTTCAATGAGTGGAACTTTCCAAAGTCACACCTCAAAAGGCGATAGAGGGAAAGGACACTGAGCAGGCCGAGTGGCCTCCACTGTGTCCCATCTCCACATCAGCTTCCCTGCTGGGCTGACAACTCAGGGCTGGAGGAGGGCTCTCACTGCATGTACCCTCTGGAGTTCCCAAATCACCCTGATGGTTTCAGGGAGGACGTTTCAGGGAGGAAGAAACAGAGCTGGCCACTGGCCACATACTGGGACCTGAAGAGGGCAGCATTCTCAGAGGAGCTCCCAGAGTCTTAAGAGAGGAACTATTCTGCAATTGAGGGGTAAAGACAGTTCCATAAGGGCTCTGCATGTGCAGAGGCCAGGAACAACTGCAATTTTTAGGAAAGGCCAACTAACAACAAGGCATAGGGCATAGGAATGGGGACAATGCGAGTAAGGGGTTACCACTGGGCAGTGTTACGATTGCCACCACAGACCATTGAAAGATGCCCTGAAGCAAGATCTCCTACATAACCCCCAGGCCTAGGCTTTGGACAGTTGGTTATTTAAGGGCCTTGTGTTCTGACAGATCTCCTCTCTGTTCCTCTGCCTGGTGATGGACTATACCCCCCATGGAACGTTCCAGAATATCATTGAGAATAAGAGGAAAACAAAAGAGACCTTTGACTGTGAGGTAGGAGGCATCTGGAACACCAAGTTTGGGAGCCACCTAAACTTATACTCCTAAAAGTCCCTGCAGTAGGAGACAGAGGAACTGGAGGAACTGAAGGGGCTTCTCTTCCAAGTGTGGGGTCATTACATCCTCTGTGCACATATCTCAGTTGCTTATCTTGATGAGCTGCAAGTGTGCACACCATCAGCAGCCCCAGCCACCAATCCTGTGCTAAGGCTTCGGCATGCTTAGGACCTAGAAGGTTACAAGGCAAAAGCAATGGATGGGGTTTTGCCTCCAGAGACTGTAATGCATTTCCTAAGATTCAGATGAGTTCAGTGTGTGTGGCTCAAATCTGAACACACACTGTCCACTCAGCCCCCTGCCTCTGAGGCCTTGCCATGCCTTAATGCTCTCCTGTGGTCAGCTAGCTGCCATTGTTCATGGCGAGGAAGTGCTCAGTGGGTCTGCCTCTCCTGCACTGATGAGCAGACCATCACCTCCAGTGCAGGGCAGTAGAGTAAGGATGCCAGGAGCACTGGTGGAAGGCCTAGTCTTTCTTGCCTAATCATGGAGGACTGGCTGGCATGCTGGGTCATAGAGTAGGGGATGTGGCTTCAGTAGGCATTCTAGCAGAAGCTGGCTGGTCAGAGTTTACTCTCCCAGAAAGCAGAGAGGGTCTCCCCTCCATATGGCCCTTTGGCCTGTCTTTTCCCTGTCAAGTGTTCAAGAGATAGTGACATTTTGTTATGATTTTAATTTGCAATTCCCTATCAGCAGTCCTGGTAAGCACATTTTGGGTATGTTTTTGTTATGTTGTAGTTTTGTTTATTTAATTTTGAGGTGACCATGTACTCACTAGCTAAGGATGACCTTGAACTGATACTCCTTCCTCCATCTTCTCACCACTGGGATTATAAGCCTCTATTACCACACTCAGCAAAATTTTGGCCATTTGGAATTATTCTTTAGCTGTTTAACTCCTCTGCCCATTCAAATTGTTTTCTGGTTGATTTGTAGACATTCTTTACATATAGTTAGACATACAGGGTCCATTTCTCTCTATTCAGTCTGGGGCTTTCCAGTTCACTTGTTTAACACTACCTTGTAAAATGCAGTTCTTGGTGTAATGGAGGCCAGTTGATGGATGACCCCCATGGCCAGGGCATTCGGTACTGGCTTAGGCAGGGCTGTCCTCGGTTTTCTTCTAGGAGTTTATAAACTTTCACTTTTACCTTTGGGTCCAGCACACACACACACACACCCAAAAGGGAGCATCTGAGCAAGTGTTCCTCTGTGATTTCATGAGCCAGGCACCATCTCCCCAAGAAGCACAGAAGAGAGCATGTAGCTCATTTTATTGCTCACACCACAGGGTCAGGCTCTTAGAGTGGGCTCACACCTCCATCACTGGTAGACATCTTGGAAACAGAAATGTTCACAGAAACCATTAAAGTGAGCTCCTCTATCAGGACAGGGGCCACAGCAGGAGGATGAGGATATTCTGCTACCTAGCCAGTCTCTGGTACCTCAACATGTCTCTTAATCCTGATGTGAGATTCAGGACTCCTAGGTACATGGTTTGAAAATGGCAGCCCTGAGCGCTAGATTGCATTTTGTTGCTCCCATAGTGTTCTCTCACAGGCTCTTTTCACTCTGGTGGCAGGAAGTGCAAGCCCTGGCAGGCACTGCAGGGGCTTCAGTATCAGTAATACCCACAGGGGTCACCTTCCAAGAACAGCATGGTCCACAGAGTGGGCCCCTGGCAGCCCCAGGGCACCAAGCTCTCCAGCATGTCAACAGTTCCATGGACTTCTTTGTGTGATCATATGAAGCTCAGCAGAGTCCCCTTCCAATGCCATGTCTCTTGCTTCTTCCTCAGTGGATGCATACCATGCTAAGCCAGGTGTTGGATGCCGTCGAGTACCTACATCAGCTGGACATCATTCACAGGTGATGAGGCCTCCTCTGGAGACTGGCCAGATGCCAAAGCCTGGGGGACCAGATGTGGGCAGTATGGGGCATCTTCTGTGAACTCCCCTTCCTGAGTGTCTGACTCACCCCAAAGGCAGTGTGGGAGCCAGGCAGGGTGGTTCTAAAGGGCAAGGAAAACAGAGATAAGATGCCAAGGAGGGGAGGGGAGATTGGCTGTGGTGGCACAGTTTCTGGACAGGCAAGTAAGAGTTGCTGCAATCTAAGCCGAGCCTTTGACCACTGTACCCAGCTTCAGGTCTAAGATCTGGGAAGTATCTGGGAAATGGCTTCCATCAACATGGGTCATACGAATAAAGACAATAGAATGCCCATGTTAATGTTAACAGATGTAAAGAATGGTGAATACCTTCTCTAATGAGTGTAATTACTTACAGTGGGGTCTTCCCTAATGTACAAAAACTGAGTAGATATGTTTTAGGAAGCAATTCTTTAATAAGTGGGCTGAGCAGAGCACTTTCTTGAGGAGTGAAGAGGGCTGAAACTAGGTTGGGAGAGCAGGCTTAAGGCTCAGGCATATGCTAGCCCTACCCCAGGCAGCTGCATGGCACCAGAGGTCCCTGCTCTTGGTTGCAGGAACATCAAGCCTTCCAACATTGCCCTTATCAGCAGCAACTACTGTAAACTCCAGGACTTGAGCTCACAGGCACTGATGACCCACGAAGCCAAGTGGAATGTTCGAGCAGAAGAAGGTGGCTGGGGAGGGATCCAGGAATAACTGACAAGGGAAGCAGTGGCTTTTGACATCCAGAGGACAGTAGCTGTTCTTGGGACTGGGCTCTTTGACTCAGAAGGTCCAGAGACCAACCTATGGCATAACAACAGTAGACATGCCACTGTGGGTAAGGTACAGGGTCTAAAGGACACCCAACATGTGAGAGAGCGCCTTGGGAAACAAAGCAATGGCTGTGGTACCCTAAAGATATCAATTCTTGTGGGGAAGAGAGCATCCAAGAAGGACAGAAGCTGCATGTGAGGGTACAGAAGTCCTCTGGGATGTAGGTACTGAGCATGCATGTTAGACAAAGACCTGAAATAACCCAGGGGATGGAAAGATGGTAGGATGAAAGGAGTGGAGTATACCACGCCTGTAACAGCTATCCCAGATAGACAGAGCAACCCAGGAAGAAAATTCAGAGTCCTGTGGTAGCAGTGGTTGTCTTTGGCACACAAAGGATGGATGGGTGAGTAGATGAATGGGTGGACAGATGGGTGTGTGGGTTGGTGATTAAGGGGGCACATGGAAGTATCAATGGTGTGTGTCCTTGGAGTCTGACCCTTTGCTGTTTGACTGGAGATTGGAAGTTTGGAAATGGAGTGACGACCTGAGTTCAGGTACATTAATATAACAGGGAAAGGGCCCTGCAATTTTGGTTCTTTCTGTAGAGTTTAGGGTTAGGACTAAGACAAGTCAGCCAGAACCTTGCCCTAAGATCCTACCATTTATAGAGGATAAACTGTTCAAAGAGGGCCATATTTCAGCTTTTCTGGAATATGCCTGTCTCATCTCCTGCCTGTTGCCATACATCAGATAGGTAGGTACTAGGGCCAGCCTGGCAGACACCTGCCTACATGGACAAGCCTCCCTAGTAGAGATTAAGGTCTGTCAGGACAGTGACCTCACTACCTACAGCTTGCACTTCTCATCTCACCCAAAGAGGGTGAATGAAGGGTTCCTGTCTTAAGCCCTTGGAAAGGAATACTAAAACAAGGACAATGTAGCTGAGTGTGGTGGGGCAAACCTGCAGTCTCAGCACTGGGAGGTGGAAGCAGGAAGAGCAAGAATTCGAGGCCAATATGGCAAACAGGTGACCCTCTCTCAAAACACTCAAAAGGGGAGTGGTAGTGCTGGGGGGTGGGGCAGGCTGGCTCTGTCCTGTTCCCTGTCCCTGAGGAGGCATAGGACTCAGTAGTTCTCCCACCTTGATTGCGTCAACAGACCCATGCCAAAAGTCCTGGATGGCTCCTGAATGTCTTAAATTCTCCTTCTCCTGCAAATCCGACATCTGGTCTCTGGGCTGCATCATTCTAGACATGGCCACTTGCTCCTTCCTGAATGTGAGCTTCTTGTGGGGGAAGCCACCTGCCCTCATCCTACCTACCATGCCACCCTGATCCTTTCTGTTCCATGTAGGCTACCGCATGCTCACTCTCCTCAGGCCCCTGTCTCAGCTCTTGCTTAGCCTGGTGAGGGAGCACTGATAGCAGCATTTCACCTTCATGGCTGGGAAGAGCCCAGGTCAGATGCCCTCTTTCTTCAAAGGACACAGAAGCAATGCACCTGCGGAAGGCCATCCGACATCACCCAGGCAGCCTGAAGCCCATCCTGAAGAACATAGAGGAGAAGCAGCTCCCCGGTGCAGAGATGTTCAGTTTCCTTCTGCCCTTCATGCTACACATCAACCCCTCGGATCGACTGGCCATCAGGCGAGCTCTCAGGGCAGGGCCTTCCTTTAACCTATCAATATACCTTTGGGCATCTCCCCACCTTCCCATGACAGCTGTCCGTCCACACACATTCCTTAACTACCTGGCAGCCATTAATCTTAAACATAGGGTGGTGGAGTTTTTGCTTTTTTTAGATTGGATCTCACTCTGTGGTCCAGGCTAGCTGTGAATCCATAGTGATCCTTCTGCCTCAGCTTCTTGACTGCTGGAATTTCAGAAAACCTGTTCATATGTTTTTAAAGACGGTATCATGAGGGCAAACATGCTGGACCCAGGAACATCCTTGGGATCTCTGTCATGGTGGGAAGTGACTGTGAGGCCTGTGACTTCACAGAGTAGAGTAGGTCCCTAGAAGTGGAAGTACAAAGACAGTTACTAGATACACATGGAACACAGCCCCTAACCATCAGGAAGGCTGGTGTCTGCCATTATGGGTCACCCACAGCTCAAGGCAGAGGAAGGGCCCTATGGGAAACCACCTGTATTCCTCTGCCCCCCTGCCAGAGATGTGATTGGAATAATCTTCACGAGCACCTCCTTCAGAAACTTCAGTGATACTCGGAACATTCACCGGCAGGCAATTCCCATTTTCATCACTGATGTGCTGCTAGAAGGCAACATGGCCAACATCTTAGGTGATGGTGGGGACATGAGACAGTACTGGGAGCTATCTCAGCATTGGTTTCAGAGGCTTAGTGTCTCTCTCCCACAACCTGGTCTTACATCTGCTGCTTATGCATGATTAGTGAGTGGGAACAGTTTCCAGGTTTCTCCCCTGTACCTGATGTATAGCCTCCTTTGCTCTCAGTAGCCTGACCCTGCCTATTTTCCCCTGTTCTCATTGGACATATCCTGTGTGGTTAAGCCGGTTAAGGCCTGTTCCCTGTCCATGTTCTCCAGAGTCCTATGACTTTGGCTTTACACCCTAGTCACTAGGTATCTTCCTCACTGAAGCCGTGTGTCTACTGCGTGCCAGAGTGCATGACAGTAGGCACTATGGCTCAGGGATAGGCTCCCAGAGACCTGGATTTGATTTTGGGCGAGTCCCTGGGCCTGAGCACCCTCCTTTGGAAAGTAAGAACAGGAGTGCTGCCTTTGTGACCGGATTGCTACAAGGCTAGGGCCTGTGGCCACATGGCTTGATCCCCAGTAGGGTTCTCCATATCCTTGTTCCTGCAGATGTCATGCAGAGTTTCTCCACCCGACCAGAGGTCCAGCTCCGGGCCCTTGACAAGCTTCTGACAATGCCAGAGGAAGATCTAGGTAAAGATCCTGCACCTTCCCCAGAGGCTCCTGGGAAAGGCTGGGAAATGGGAATGGAGCCGTGTAGATGGAGGTAGGAACTGCCAACTGTCCAGGCTCTTCTGGACAGTACAACTAACTGGAATTCTCCTTGATCTTATGCTTATGCAAAGGAGGGCGGGAGAGAGGCATGATTTTAATGGGTCAAAAGGAAATCTATTTAGCATTAGGGAGGTTGAGACAAGAAGATTGAGAGCTGGCTAGCCTGACCTCCATTTCTTGGAGGTTGTGGTGGTACTAGGGATTGAACCCAGGGCCTGTGCAATGCTTAACTGAGCTATCTCCCCAGCTCTGCTATCTTTGTTTTAGTTTGAGAAAGGGTCTTGAGAAGTTGCCCATGCTAATTTCACACTCACTGTGTAGTCCAAAACTCCTTGCACTTGTGATCCTTCTGCAGGTAACTGTACCTGCAATTACAAGTGTGCACCATCACACCTGGCTGAATAGATTCTTCCATCTGTCCCACCATCTCTATAATGGGTATCTGAGATGCTTCTCATTTTCCACTTTTATAAACAGCGCCATGATTGATCACCTGGCATACTGCCCACTGGCATATTGCCCATAGGTACTTGCCAGATGTACCTCTGGATATCAGAGGGCAATTGCTATATCTGCTCTCCTTCATAGGTACACCAACTTGCCCTTCTACCAGAACCTTTGAGAGCAGCTCTTTCCCAGCATTACCTTTGATGATGGGTATTAAGTTTCTTGAGAAATTCTGCAGGCATGCTTTCTTGTCTCTCCTGCTCAAATATCACACTTGTATGCCGCCCATACACTCTCCCTTTCTGCAACCTTCCATCTGTTCGCACACCCATCTATCCATTCCTCCATCTACCCAACTGCACATCTGAAGGACACCAAAGCACTGTTCCAGTGACTAGGACAGTGGAAGTTGTTACATGGAGGCTGAGTTGTGACCCTTAGTGAGTTTAACAGACTCCTCATATTGGCCATTACTCTCCCAAAGTTCCTTTCATAGTTAAACTGTAACCAAGATAAAGCCCAGGACAAGGCAGATTTTGCCTTTTTGGGAAGCGGGATATTATGCCCAACAGTGGGCCTCATCCACCACCTGGTGTTGCCTCTTCCTCATCCTCATCAGAGTGGGCTTGGTTTCCTGGGTACCAGTGTTCTGAATCTGACATCCTTATCACAAGCCAAGTTTCAACTCAAGTCACAGCCACAGGCCCTGGGGTCAAACAAGCTGGGTTTACACAGCATTCAATGCCAAATGCTCATCATTGACTCTCAGCTTTGTCATCTAAAAGGGAGGGCTGCTAAGAAAGACCTGCTTCATGAAGCCATTCCAAGTATGTACCTTGGAAGAGCTGGGCATGGTGTTGTGAGTGTTGTGGTTTGTTACTCAGGATGCTGAGGCAGGAGAGCCCCTAGCGCCCAGGAACTCCAAATTAGCTTAGACAACCCAGAATATAGACCTTGGCAGATGGTCAACTTCACACACTATGAACATATGGGCTGGTCATCCTTTTTTGCCCTTGTGTTTGCCTACCTGATCATCTGGCTTCACTTGTGGGCTCCCAGTAGCCTCTGGGCACCACATCTGGGTCACACAGCCCAGCTGCTCCTATGATTCAATTGTGCTGTATACTCCTCAGGCCTGCCATGGCCCGAAGAGCTGGTGGAGGAGGTGATCAGCATCATGACACAGCACGAGAGGATCCTGGACATTATGCTCAGCACTTGCCTTCTGCTGCTGCGTATTCTAGGCCAAGGTGGGCACCAGACTGGGTGGGGGAGCCCCTTCCTCCCGGGTCCTCTGCCTCACCAGCTCTTTCAACTTCCCACCCATGTCCAGCATCTGCCTCTTCAGGGTGTTGTTCCCTTCTGTGCCTATGTGACTCCATTCCAGAGCGATAGCAGGCATAGTTACAAGTTCATGGGTCTGCATGGGGACTGACCCAGCCTGCTGGGATCCTGGATAAGTTCCCTAGCTATGTCACAGAAGCAGGGAAGGATGGTCTTCTGGGCTTTCTTGACCAGGAGAGGCTTGGGAGGTGTGATTGCCAGCAGGAAACAGCACCAAACTGAAGTCCTTAGTAGAAGCCTCTGCTGCTGAGCTCCCCCAGCTCTTCAAAACAGGAAGAAAACTAGCTCCATCTTTAAACTTGAAGCATCTAGTTAAACCCTTTACTTTTCTAGTCTTAATACTGAGGGCCTAACCACCACACAGATTGTGTCTTTTTTCCAGGGTCTGTGTGTATCAAATCCAGGCCATCTTGTATGGTGGGCAAACATTCTACTACTGGGCAAAAGCTCACGAATACTTTATACTCAATGTTCTCGGCTAGTCATTGTGAAGGACCCAGCAATATCTTGGAGACTAGAACTGGAACAGGATGCTATAAGCTAGCTGTGTTGGTGAGAAAGGCCCTCATGTTTATAAAGACCTGCCTAGTGCCTAAAGAATAGGTGGACCTGTTTCTTTAATTTGAAGAGGTGATGCTGTCCCCAGCTACAGAGGGAGGGCACTTGTCCACCTTAGAGCCCTAGCTGTGGGGTTAGCCCATGTTTTTTCTCTGGCCCAATCTAGCTCTGGCCCAAGACTCAGAAACTGAGATCCCAAGGAGCAATTACATCATCTCCTTCCTGGTGAATATCTTGCGGAACCACCCTGACTCTGAGAGACTCATCACCATGGTCTACAACCTGCTCACCATTATCTCCAGCCAAGGTGACTGTGTTGGCCTTCTGCCCTTCCTTTCTGCTCTAAAAAGCCAGAGACAGAACAGAGGATAGGGGGATAGGAAGCAGAAGGGCTCATTCCCAAGATGGATAGCCAAACTGTTCTATGTTCTCAATGGCAGCCATGGGCACTGCTTGGAAGCTGGAGCCACTTGCCAAGAACTGAATGGCTGGTTAGTACGTCAAGTCAAGGTTAGGCACTGGACCACTCTGACTTCTCACTCACACTAAGCCCACTTGGGTGAGAAAGGTATTAAGAGAAGGCATAAATAGACCAGCCAGGCAGACTAGCTGTGGCAATCAGCCCACAGGGGAAAAGGCAATGCAGGGGAAGGTTTCTTGGAGACTTTTCCTTCAAGTGCTTATTGCTACCCACAGGGTTGGTCTCCGAAGAGCTGGAGGAGGAGGGTTTGTTTCAGCTTGCCCAAGAGCACCTGGACCACTTCATGGAGGACAGGGACATCTGCCTCGCTGTCCTGACCCTGCTCTGGTCCCTCCTGGTGGATGGTAAGGCCCTCCCTCCAAAAGCCCCACTGCATGAGACCTGTTAGAGCAGTTCTCAACCTGTGTGTCTTGACCCCTTTGAGGGTCAAACGACTCTTTCACAGGGGTTGCCTAAGGCCACCAGAAAACAGTTATTTACACTATAATTTATAACAGTAGCAAAATTGCAGTTATGAAGTAACAAAAAAAATGATTTTATGGTTGCGGGGGTTCACCATAATATGAACTGTATTAAAAGGACAGCATTAGGAAGGCTTAGATCCACGGTGCTAGAGCCTCTATAGCAGTTCTCAAGACCCAGTTTTAAGAATTGCTGCTCTCTATCTTGTCCCTTAAGCACTGGAGGGCAACCACAGGCCCTACGGGGCTCTTCTGGGAGCCTAGCACATGAGCACAGTGAGGCACAAGTAGGGTGAGAGAGGAAGGCCTTCAGGATACCTTGTCCATTGAGTAGGCAGCCTATGGCTCCAGAGGTCAGCGAGGGAACTTGATATCCTATCCTGGTTTTTAGTTTAGAATAGGGATTCCCAGGCCTGCTCTTCCCCTCTTCTAGATACTGTCTTGTCCATTGGATGAGGGCTCCAAGCCACAGCAACCCCAGAATACCACAGAGACCCTGCTAACAGCACAAATGCAAAAATTCCCCATTTCTATTGATCACTCTGCTACAGACTCTGGCAGTAGAAAGCCCCATTTTCTATCTCTGAGAACAACTGTCCCCTTGATTTTCCTGTTCTTGGTGAGAGTTCAGAGGGGCACATATATAGCAGGTGCTTCTGTTCATACCTGGCCTGGTGTTCATCCTTTTCCTGGGTCTAGTTGTCCCTGTGAACAAAGAGCCTTTGGAGAAGCTCTCAGCCATAGCCACCTGGGTGCTGACCACTTATCTGGAGGACGTGGAAATAGCTGAGGCTGGCTGTGCAGTGCTCTGGCTGCTGTCCTTGTTGGGTGAGCAGCCTAAGGCCTTGGTAATAGGGAGGGTGACTCTGGACACATATGACAACAAGGCTTGTATTCTGTAGGCTGCATAAAGGACAGTCAGTTTGAGCAGGTGGTAGCGTTGTTCCTGAAAAGCATCCAGCTGTTCCCTACCAGCGTACTACTGGTGAACAATGTATGTCGTGGCTTGACCAGCCTTGCAAAGGTATCTGGTAAGTCTGGGACAAGATAGGCTGCTAGCTGGAGGTGGAACAAAAGCTAGTTCCCTCCAGTGATGTCCACCTCGTGACCCCAAATTGGAACAGGAAAACCAGCCTCCAGGAAACACCACTGGAATTTCTGTTTGGTGTCTTAGGACCACCTCTCCACATATCTCACAGCTGCATAGGTTTCCTACATATAGGTCTGTCTCCAAGTCCAGACTTAAGTCAGTTCTCATACTAAGCACTGACACAGTCCTTTATAGAGAACCCCGGGCCCAGGCCCAGGCAATGATTACCAGAATGTGGTAGGGATGCTCCAACCCCTGGTCTGTAATGACCCACCTCCTTTGCTCCAAGAGCTGTCTCCTTGGCTTCACTCTTGCTCAGCTCTATTCATGCCAGTCTACTGGGCTAGCCAAACTGGTGGGGCCTCCTGGAAGTAGTTTGGAATCTTAGCTTTTCCTCACATATCCCTGACACCTTTATACAAAGTACCCTGTGAGAGAGGGTTCAGGCCCTGTGAGGTCCTGTTAACTGCTACAAGGTGAGAGGGCCACCTGCAGAGGAGGCCCTTCCCCTCAGCGCCACACCAGGGCCTCCTTTTCTTGGGGGAGGGGGAAAAAAAGAGGAACCAAGTGCTCTATTTCCCTTGGTATGGCACTCATTGCCAACAGGTGCAAAGCTATGCTGTAGAAATGCAAAGTGGTGAAACTACCTCTTCCAACATTTTATACAGAGCAAGGTATAGCTCTGACTTCAGGAGCTTCCTTCACAGAAAGCTAGGATTCCTGGCAGAAGAGAACTCTTCCAGAAACCCTATGACCATAGTCATGTTACTTCCTAGGGACACGGGGGACAGGGGGCTGAGGACAGGTGCAATGTGACTGTACTAGACTGCATCATATACACAAATTCCCTTAACTCCTTTCTCCAGAACTGGCAGCCTTCCGAGTGGCAGTACTAGAAGAGGGCAGCAGCGGCCTCTACCTCCTGCAAGATATCTACCAGCTCTACAACGATGACCCTGAGGTGGTGGAGAACATCTGCATGCTGTTGGCCCACCTGGCCTCCTACAGTAAAGACCCTTACTTCGTTCTCTCTCTGACAGGAAGGGAAGGAGCCCCAGAGCCCCTTTAACTTCCCACTCATTCACTCCAAGCCAAAGTGGTAACTGATCAACCTTAACTGGCGGGTGGGAAGGAATCCTGAGCCTCATCATCATCTCCACTGCAGAGGAGATCCTGCCAGAGCTGGAGTCTGCAGGCATCAAAGACCTACTCCAGGTGATTGTGGAGCGCTTTACCTCCAGCCTGGTAAGTCAGAGTGATAACTCTATCAAGCCAGAACACTTGCATGGCACTGACCCAGAGCTCCACATGATGCTTTTCTACTACTCTACCCTTGATCACACTGAATCCAATCCCAAATGGCAAGTACAGTGAGACCACCTCAAAGATTCTTATCAGTCAGGGGGTTATGTCATCAAAGTAATTGCTCCTGTATCCTAAAGCTACTGGAACAAATGGTTCACTAGTTTCCTCCTTCCAGGAGCTGATTTCTTATGCTGATCTGGTACTTCGGGCACTAGAGGCAGCTGCACCACCCAGCCCTAAGGAGGAGGAGCTTAAATCTGACGAAGAGCCAGAATCCTCTGAGGTCTCCCCGCAACTGCAGGAAGATCCTATCTTCCAGACCTGAAACGTTACCCTTCCGGGCCTGGGGTAAGGGGAAGTCTCACCAGGACCAGGGTTGTATTTTGCACTCCACAGTGACTAATAAAGCCCTAGGCTGTTCCTGGCCCATGTCTGGCCATGGTGTCTGTGATCCTGCCTTGCAGGGCTTCAGAAAATTCTAGATGATGGGAAGAAACTGAGCTTCCACAAACTCCCATTTTTAAGCATCCATTTATTTTTGACGGTACTGGAAATGGAACCCAGGGTCTTGCACATAGTAGACAAGTGCTCTGAGTCAGACATCTATCATCATGTGCATGGGTGCACCTGTTCAAAGAGTTGTCACGTTCATTAAATTCACTGGTCACTTTGTACTTGTTGCTAGCCAGAACTACTGGCAGGACAGTGGGCAGATAGCCTTTCTGCTCACACTGCCCCGGGTGGTAGGATCTTCATCCTCCAGGTATACCTGTGCCCTAAGTCTCACCACAAGGGCTGTGTGGAGAACACAGTACTGGACATTGGCAGTTTAGATGATTATGGGCAAAGCAAAGCACAAAGGAGTGAGAAAGTACCTCCAGCCCAGTAGCTTGACGAAAGTTCTCAATGAGCAGTTCCTGTGCTGGCCAGATTGGTTTGCAGCAAACTGAAAGCCCTTAGCCTGGATCCCTTAGGTCCAACAAAACTTATCCCCTTACCTGTAAGAGGTGAAAATGCTGCTTGCTCCTTAAAGTGTTGAGTGCACAGGCTGAATCCCGCTATGCTCATTGTTAAGTGGTAGCACAGGAGGTCAACAGAGACTCTGTAGCACACTCACCCAATGCTCTCCTTCCTCTAAACCTACAACACATCCCTGACTTCTGGCCCCCTATCTGACCAGTCTACCTCAACACACAGGTGCAGGACCAGGCCTCGATAGCAGAGTTGAGGCGGAAGTTCTAGCAGCTCACATGCCAAACCCCTGCAGCCATGGCTGAGACTGTTCACCAGAGGGAGTACAGAGACCAGACAGGCCTCCATAACCCCATCCCAACTGTCACTGGATTGAGGAGTCACTGAAGGACAGGGGTGGTGGTGACTGCAGCAGGATGGTGCTAAGCATACTCGTTGTGGTCTGGAGTGGTAGCTGGGGGGCGTCGGTCTGCAATAATGCTCTCCCACTCACGTTTTACCATGATGTAAAGTCTCATTGCTGCCTGGGCATCCTGGACCTGGGTGACAGACAGCAATATTGATCATCCAGCAGCACACATGGCCACAGGCCATAGAAGCACCGGAGCACAAGCTCACTCCTATGCTTCAGACTCAGTCACTCTATGAACAGGAGCAGAAAGGGAAACCCCACAGCAGAGGGAAGCTAGAGCTTCACAGCAGAGAGAGCTGAGTTAGGCACAAGGGCTCAGAGAGTCAGAAGCTACACTGTAGGGGAACCTGTTCTCCTGAAAGAGATTGCCTGACCAGGAGGACCTGTTGGGACTGAGAACCCCAAGCCACAAAGCCCTAAAGCACCTTTGCTACATTTTGGAAATGCTCTATCCCTCATGCCTCAAGTGCTGAAGCCTAGGTCATCAGTGTGGCAGTGTAGGGGTAGTGGGACCTTTCAGAGCTGGCTTCCAGAAACACATGAGGTAATTCTTGAGGCATCAGTCAGTTCTACAAAGAGTGAACTGTTGCTCCTTCCTCCTTGCCATCTCTCCAATCAGCTAAGCCTTATTACCACAAAGTCCCCAATCTCAGGTATTTAGTAAAAAACTGGAAGTATACAGTCTTCAATTTGACTGGTGAATTTTGTTCCAAATTCTTACTGTCTATTATTCTCTGTATTAAGTTCAAGTTAAATGTAAATATTTAAGCTACAATAACATTTTATAAGCCTATTCTGCCTAGGGTCCTCTCTTCTGTTTCTATGGTCAAGTGACATGTGCCTAGGTGTTAAGTCTGGGCTGTTACCTAGTGATACTTACTGAACAATGCTCGGCCTGCTGGACCCTGATCCCCAGAATTTTCTCAGAAAGTTGTTTCAGAGATGGTCTTCCACTCTGCAGAGAAGGATACCATTGAATATGCTGCTTCCACAGGCTCTGCCCAAGGAGGACACAGCTGGCTACTGAGCACAGGTAACCTGCAGTTTCCCTTTCATGAGGAGTGTCTGTGGCACTTAGGGATGCAACCATTAGCCTGCTGTGGCTTACAACATTGCTCATAGAGGAGGAGTTGGGGACTAGAGATGTACCACATAGTGGACTGCTTTAATTTAATTTAATTTAATTTAATTTTTGTTTTGTTTAGAGACAGGGTTTTTCCTTGTAGCGCTGGCTGTCCTGGAACTCATGCTGTAGACCACGCTGGATTCAAATTCACAGAGCTCCACCTGCCTCTGCCTCCTGAGTGCTGGGATTAAAGGTATGCACCACCATACCAGGCTTAATTTTTAATTTTTTAAAATGTATTTATTTAATTTTATGTACATTGGTGTTTTGCCTTCATGTATGTCTGTGTGAGGGTTTCATGTCTCCTGGAACTGGAATTACTGACAGCCAGAAGCTGTCTGTGGGTGGGTCCTTAGAAGAGGAGCCAGTACTCTTAACCACTGAGCCAACTCTCTAGCTCCAATTTAAAAATTTTTATTAGTTATACATAAGTATGTCTAGTTGCATGTAGGTATGCATATAATTGCAGGGCCTGGAAAGGCTAGAGATGTCAGGGCTTTTGGGACTGGAGTTATAGATGATTGTGAGTCACCTGACATGAGTGCTGAGAATTTAACCCAGGTTCTCTGCAAGAGTAGCAAGTGTTCTTAACCACTAAGCTATGTCTGAGGACATCCTTGTGGAGCCAGTTCTCTCCTGCCTTCATGTGAGTTCCAGGGATCAAACTCAAGATGCCAGATTTATGCAGCTAGCACTCTTAAAGGTTAAAATGAGTAACCAAACAAAGTAAGTCCCTTTAGCAAAAGAGGGCCAGGGACCAGCCATGGCTCAAGACTCATTCGTTACGTACCCTTACTTGTCTCTTGAATGGTTTGAATTTTTGGGTGTCCCTGATTTTCTTTTTTGGATGATCAAGGAACAGAACCTAGAAGAAAATGACAATTATCTTCATTTCATTCTGCACCAATGGAGCCCCCCTTTTCCAAAAAGCATCTTACAGGGCGTCACAGGGTATAGCATTCAGAAAGAGGTAGAGCTTCTCATCTTTAAGGTGATCCCCAATATTCAGAACCATGTTAATAAAAATCTTGGGCAGGTGTGCTCCACACTTTTAGTCCCAGCCCTCTGGAGATGGAGGCAGGTGGATCTCTGAGTTCAGCAAGTCTGGTCTATACAGTGAGTTCTAGGCCAGCCAGGACTATATAATGATTCTCTGTTTCAAAAAACGAAAAATAATGTAAAAATCTTGACATTAAAGATGTTGAGAAAAAGCCAATTAACCTGCAACTGACTAAGCTAGTTCTGTTCATGAGGAAGCAAGAAATGAAATGTAGTAGCTCACCCTGCAATTTAGCAGATTGCTAGACTAATATGACCCTAAGAAGTGACCCACTAGAGGGGGCAGGTGTGACCCTGGTGGCAGTCTTCTGTCAGGTGACTCACTGTATCACTGAGCAGGGACTTTGGTTAATATTCAATTGTTAAGCATTTGTTATTTTTATCTTTTTAGTGCTGGGATGAAACCCCAGGGCCTTATACACACAAAACATACATTCTACCACTGAGCTACATCCCTAGCCCCAAACATTTGAACGGCAATTAAATTCCCATCTAGCGGTTCCTGAAACAGGAATACAGTGACACTACAGATCACACCCAGGAAGGAGAATGCTCACTGTCTCATCAACAGAAATCTAGAAGGTCAGAAACTATATGTCACATGCCCCAGCACTGGGTGGAGTCCTCTGAGCTCATTAGCCTAACTGGCTGATTGTGTGACCAGCCTTTGAAGGAGGTGACTGGCTGTAATGACACACAGAGGAAACACGTGCCCATCCAGTTCCTCTCCTGCAGGGACAGCTGAAGCAGCAGCAATAGTCAACTCTGCCAACTTGGGATGCTGCAGAGCAGTGAGTTAAGGCACCTGGCATACCCAGGCATACCCACTGCTCTCCTGGAACCTGCTCCCAACACCCTAAAACTCGACTCTAGCACCCACAAAAGCCTAATCCCCAAAGGATTTAAAGAGAGCTGTTTACACTGTTACTTGCACAGTGGCACCCAGCAAGGCTTTGAAGCCTGGCATTAGAAATCCTGGGGCTAGAGAAATGGTTCAGTGGTTAAGCACACTAGCTGCTCTTCCAGAGGACCCAGGTTAGATTCCCAGCACCCACATGGCAGCTCACAACTGTCTGTACCTCCACTTCCAGGGGATCTGGCACCCTCACACAGACATACATGCAGGCAAAAGTACCAATAAAAGTAATAATCTTAACCAGACGGTGGTAGCGCATGCCTTTAATCCCAGCACTCAGGAGGCAGAAGCAGATGGATCTCTTGACTTCTAGGTCACCCTGTTCTACATAAGAGTTCCAGGACAGCAGGGCTACACAAAGAAACCTTGTTTGTTTGTTTGTGGGGAAGGGAGTCCACTACATTAAATGACAGCAGGGATATCCCTTCTGCCAGGTAGACTATGCTCCCATTTTCCTGGTGTACCCTCAAATGGACCAGACAGCAGTTTGCTTTTGAACTTAAAGTGACCCATATAATAAACCCAGGCTAGGTCTTCCTCAGATCCTGGGGAAGAACAGGAGAATGGGCTTCTAGCATTACAGCAATGCCTACATATAAACTGAACACCTAGCAAGAATCTTAAGGCTTTGACAATGTAAAGACACTTGGGTCTAGTCATGATGCACACAGATATTAGGCCATCTGCCAGGTCAGATAGGTGACACTCAAAGCCCCCCACATAGAGCTATCAGCACTCTGGCACTGGCACCCCAGTGTAGTTAGGACTCCAAAAACAAGTACCTAATGTGGTCTCTTGAAAACAGCCAGAGCTCAGGTACATGATACTATTTCTAGACAATTCCCAGGCCAAGATAAAAATTCAAATTGAAAAAACCCCCAGAGTGGTACTTCTGGAGACAGGTATGTGAGGTTATGTATGACTCACATAAAGGAGCTGATGGCTCCAAGCCCCACACCTTTAAATCATTGTGCAGTGCATGCCCCACCAGGATTCTGCCCTTCAACATTTCTGCCACTTCCTTCTTCACAACTTCAAATTCTTCTCCTGAAAACCAAACAAAGAAGGGGTTAACAACACAAAACTCACCAAGATTCTAAGTTCTTCCCATCCCCAGCCAGACTGATAGTAACAGATACACAGAGCTGTGATGGAGGTAGGCCCCGAGAAGTCTCTCACTCGACCTCAGGGAAACCTACACTGCCTTGTGCTCTGCTCCTACTTCTAGAGACAATGGGGAAAAAAAAAAGAGCTCTACTCAAAGCCAATACTAGTCAGTGGACCAGCACCAGTTAGCAAACTCCTATAGTTAACCCTAGAAGAAGCACAGAGCATTTAGACTTTCTCAGGGACACCTGACAACATGCTTCTCATTCAATACAACTCATACTTATGACTTCCCGAGGGGACTTAGACTCAATCTCTCCCACAGACAGTGTAAGAAGGGTTGCATGGACCCTAGAGTCTGCTCTGCTGCTCTTTCCCAGCAGACATCCTTTGAGGACCACCCTGCCCCAACTCCTAACAGGAAGGACTCCAAAACCAACTCTGTTCAGAGCTAATAGGACCAGAGCCTCCCTTCTGAGATAGAAAGTAAGTCTATGATAGTAAGTCAGTAAGTCAGTCTATGATTCAAGGAGCCACCTTGTTGGCCATGGGTACCAGGAGAAGCAAACAGGCAATGGGTGGTGAGGAGTGCGGAAGAGACCACGAGGTTGCATCCCTCATGGTCTCCAGGTCTCTCTAGGAGGCAGGCTCTGAGCAGCCTAGATGTCCTCTCCTGTTACAAATTGGATCCAGCCTCTGCTACGTTGGGTCACTTCTTCCAGCCATCCCTCTATCTAGCCCTTGCCTCAAAACCAGTCTTCTGACATCTACCCTGTTCTCATGTCATGGCCATAGGGATCCTGCTGGAGGCCTCACTGCCAACACTGCACTAGAGTTTCCCAGAGAGATCCTGGCAAGAGGCATGTCTGGGTTTCACAGGAGTCCTTCTGGTTCCAGCACACATGCCAAAGTTTTTGTTGGCACTTACCTTGTGCCAAGCTCTATGTTGGGGCCCAAAAACACAGCAGTAACTGTACAAAAGGGTCTGCCTTCAGCAACCCACACTCTAGAGACCCAGCTATCATGTAGCCTACTCATCCTTCATGGCTTCCTTCCTGATTCCTAACACACTCCATTTAATTTCCCCATTGTCTTACAACAAAAGCAATCTAAGAGCACTGTCTTGAGTAGGAGGCAAAGAAGTACAGGACACAAACAGTGTAACAGCCAGGAAAGGCACTTTTTGTATCCGCAAAGCATGCTACTCTGGGGAAGAGGTAAAAAGTGTCCATGCCACGTTCTGGAACACAAAAGGGGAAGTAGGAGAGAAATGAGTCCTGCTATCATTTTCATTGCTACACTCAAACCTTATGGACATCATACCCTGCTTCAAGTTCTCAGGCCGTATCCCACTGACGGCTGTCCTGTAGTCAGTCACCGGCTCAGCTGGCTTGACGTACTTGTCATAAACACACTTCCCATACTGGTTCACGATGGATACACGGGCTGCGATGCTCTCTTCCCCTTTGGGGCCCACGCCTACCATTTCACAATCCAGGGCCAAGGCTTTTGTCAAGCTGAGGGGAACCAAAGGCCCCAGGTAATAAATATGGGCTGGGATTCCAAGCCAGTGAGCCAAGCCCATGTATCACCATTTTGTACCCCTAAGAGTTGCTGGGCAGTCATGGCTCAATACTTGCTCCTCCTCCCCTGAGATTCCAGCCCCAGAAGGGAGAACATTTCTAGCAACAGTGGTATGAGCTCAGCTTACCCACTAAAGGCCTGTTCCTTCACCAGGGAGATTGTACTCTTGCTCTGCCCCAGCCGCTTCCGTACCAGCATAGCTGCCTCTGGGCCTATGGCAGCCTCAATATCATCTGGATCCACATCATCAAACCAAATGTCTTCCCTATGAGGCAAAGATGAAAGCACCTGGCTGTGAAAAGACCTGGGGTGGGGCTGGTGAGATGGTAAGGAACACTGTCTGCTCTTCCAAAGGACCCAGGTTCAATTCCCACATGGCAGCTCACAATTGTCTGTAACCCCAATTTCAAGGGATCTGACACTTTAATACTAATGCACATAAAAATAAAATTAAATAAACTGTTAAAAAAAAATTAAAGACCTGAGCTGCTAGATGCCGACTGAAAGGACCTCCGTCCAATCGGTAGGCTGTGAGAAGGGGAAAGGAGCACCATCAAAACTGGCAGGACTGCTCCCCCTGCACACTCAGTCCAGCTGAACCTGCTGCTGCACTTTGCTTTTACTGCTGTTCTTTCTTTCTTTCCTTAATTATCTGATTTGTATGGCTGTTTTACCTGTTTATCACTTGCATGCTTGATGCCTGTGACCACCAGAAGGGGGCATGAATTAGATCCCCTTGATTAGAGTTACGGAAAGTTGTGCACTTCCATGTGGAAAATGGAAATTAAACCTAGGCCTCTGAAAGAGCAGTCAGTGCTCTTAACTACTATACTAAGCCACCTTTCCAGCCTCTCACCACTGTTCTTTTAAATTTGCAAATATATCTATTATCTAAGACTTAGGAACTACAGATAAAAAACACAAAGAACGTAATTAAAAAATGTGACCCATTTCAATGACACTTCCTAATTAAATAACAGATTTGTTATCAATCAATACACACAGTTAGGAGGACTGCATGACAGACAGGAACTTGTGCCTTGCACTGTCTTCACATTTTGGAAGAGTGAGAAAGAGTCCATATTGGGTGCTCATGTTATCTGGTAAACTCCAGCTTTCCATGTTATCATTTCAATAATATTACTCAAAAAGGCTTAACTGATGGGCCTCCTGCTATGTGTTCCTTTGCCTTCTTCATTAGACAACCGTGATCCCCCACACAAATGCCAACATAAACATTGTGTGTGTTCCTGCTTATATCATCCTTAGGAGGGAGAGGCCTTGCTGCCCCTCCAATCCAGCCTGCCTGTAGGACTCAGAAGCAGCACTCAAACCTATGTCCCTTTACCGTTCAGCAACTGCGTCCTGTAGGCTTGTCATGGACTCAATTGACTTGACTTGACACAGCTTGTCATAAACACACTTCCCACACTGATTCCCAAGGAGATGCTCTCCTTCCCCTTGGGGCCCACCCCCACCACTGCACAATCCAGGGCCAAGATTTTCTTTAGACTGAAGGGAAGAAAGGAAAGAAGCCAGCCTGCCTTATAAGCATATCCCTGCAGAGTGAGGTGTCACCACATTGCTCATCAGGTAGCAAAAAGGTGCTAAATAACACGTGCTACACTTCAGTCCCCTATTTATACAGATGGTCACAGTGAGGAAGGAAGGATGCAGAAACCTGCCCAAAGCCATCAACTGGCAAGAGACATAACTTGGTTTCAAAGGAGTCCTTCTGGTTACAGCACACATTATGCCAAAGTTTTTGTTGGCACTTACCTTGTGCCAAGCTCTATGTTGGGGCCCAAAAACAAATTAACTGTACAAAAGAGTCTACCTTCAGCAACCCACACACTAGAGGAAAAAAGTGACAAGTGAACAACAACACAAACATCATAGGGCTGGGTGAGGAAGGCTGCACCAGGGCTAAACTGCTTCACAGTCCTTTCTTCTTGGTGGTAAAGACAGTAGAGGCTGCACGTGCATTCAGGACCATCATTTCTGTAGCCCCAGTAGCAAAGGCTGTACCAGTCACCATAGCAGAGCTGATACTCACTCAGAGGGTGTGGACTGATTCAAGACGACAGCTGCCTCCTCTGCTTTCCACTTACGCTTGATATCCCCTTGATGAGAAGAGATGTCCCTATATGTCTTCGTTGCTCCTTTCTTCTGCTCTGTTCCAGAGATATTTGTGGGAGGTACTAGTATCTTCCTGTCCTTCTTAGATGCAGGCGTAACAGAACCCCTAGTGGTCTGGTCTTTTTCTGTCCTCTTTTTGTCTCCCTTTGATTTATCTGAGGTCTCTTTTCTATTCTGCTGGATTATTTGAGGATGCATTTTGTCATCCATCTGAGAGACAAGAGGTTTTTCTGGGGCCTGTGACTTTTGTTTCAGCAGCTAATAAAATCAAAATTAAATATAAGCCATATTTATTTTTTTAAGCCACATTTAAATTTTGAACTGACATACTACAGATTAAAGAAACTTGTATGTACATGTATATACAAACATGTATCTATCATGCACACACTTCTTATCACTATCATCAATAGAACATTATTCAGATAATTTTTTTTTTAATTTTACAAATTTATTTTATAGGGCATGGTAGCACACCCCTTTAATCCCTGCACCCAGGGAGGTGGAGACAGTCTGATCTCTGTGAGTTCAAGGCCAACCTGGTCTACAAATTCTAAGACAGCCAGGGCTACACACAAGAAACCCTATCTCCAAAAACCAATAACAAACAGTTTTTATGTGTATGGGTGTTTTGCTTGCATGTGTGTCTATGTATAACTTGTATGCCTGGTGCCCACAGAGGACAGAAGAGGACATAGTATCCCCTGGAACTAGAGTTACATACAGTTGTGGGGTGCCATATGGGTGCCCAAGAATTAAACCAGGATCCTCTGGAAGCGCATCCCCAGGCTTTTTGTTGTTTGTTTGTTCAGATAGGATTTCCCCGTGTATCCTTGGCTGCCCTGGACTTTGTAGACAAGGCTGGCCTGGAACTCACATCGATTTGCCTGCCACTACCTCCCTGAGTGGTGGGATTACAAGTGTACGCAGCTGCTTGCACATTGAGATATTGTTCCTTTGCTTATTACAATGCATACTCTGGTACCTGCCTCTTCATTCTATACTTCAAACCCATATTCTATACCACATGCAACCGAGTGACTTAACATCCCAGAATGCTGTACTGAGTCTGGGGGCAGGAGCATCATTTTCACTTCTTTAATTTAGAGTGACTTCCACGGTCAACACTCTGGGACATAATGATTACTTCCTTTACACTATCTCTGGAGGTTGACTAAAGCTCAGAGTCTGAATAAGACCTTCCGGAAGGGAGTTCATTGGAAAGAAAAACTCCTGTGAAACGAGAGATGGTTGATGAGAACAGCCATAGATTTAATCTTATCCATGCAGAGTCAGAGGTCCAGGACAGCAATTCTTCCTTGTGTTCAAATCTCCAGTTAAGACCACGGTAAAATGGCAACCAACTGAGAGATGATGCAGTGAGTTTCTACTTACCCACTCCCCTAATAGGTAAGAGACCCTGAAGGATTTAGATTCTTGTAGAAACCAGAGCCAACTCCAAGTTTCCCATAGTAAATACCCACTCCACACATTTAATTTTACTTTAGTTTCTTGGGAGAAAGAACAAGAGCCAGCTCACAGAGCCTGGACTGTCCACAGGGTTTGGCTGGTTGTGTGTGTCCAGATAGGAAAATCCACACGAAGAACAAAGTGAAGTGTTACGGAGCTCAAGAAGTTCCTTACTCAATTTCTTATTAACTAAGGCTCCATGACATACACTCCAGGGGATTACCTAGAAGTCAATGGAGCAAAAGCATGACTAGTATCCCAGTTCTGCTGTTCACATGCTATGTTTAACCCAAACCCCTTAAGCTCTGTGTCTCAATTTCCTCATCTAAGAAACAGGACAGTAAAAGCAACTAACTAGAACTTAAGAATTTATGAGTGAGAGAGGATATAGCGGCTCTCACACATAATCCCAGGATTTGGGAGGATACATAATGTAGGAGAATTGTGTGCACACATAGTGTGCGCATGTGTGAGAGAGAGAAAGAGAGAGAATACCCTGAAATAAAGACAGAGAATGCCCTGAGCTACATGAGTTCCAGAGCAGTCTGGGCCAGAACTCTAAGACATAGTTTAAGACGTTGGCAAGGTGACAACATAGCTGTGAGATTTATGATTAAGAAAAAGATTGTGAGTGAAACAGAGATCAACCTCTATGGCATACAGAAGCATTAGCCACTACTGAAAATGGCAAAAGGCCTAAACAGCCACAACTGCACTACCGCTTTGTTTAGAGGCCGAAATTACTGTAAAGGAGTCCGTGCAGTGTTGACTGGCCCTTCCAACACGTTTTGAAATCACCCACAGCATCCTTCCTCCTTCGGGGTCTGTGGCTACCTGACCGGAAGTCCGGGATGGGGATGAAGGTGGTCTGTTGCCCGCCTCACCTCTTGCAGAGCCTTCCAATTCTGAGAAAAGTCCTCTGGGGCCTTCGGTGGTCTGCCTGCGACAGCTGCCGGGCGGTTTCCCGGAGCTCTGCTCCCTCCCTGCACTTTGCTCTTCCTGAACTTCTTCTTGGCTTTCTTCCGAGCGAGCTTCTTGATAAGCCCAGGTTGGGGCACCGGCGCGGTGGCCTTCGCCTTCATCTTCTCGCCCTTCGTAGCCGGACCAGCAGGGAAGAGACTTGGACTCAGTGGCGACCACGGGAGAACGCGTACCAGGAGGCAAGCGTACCTCCGCAGGGCATGAGGCAGCCCGGGTTGCTCTGCTCTTCGCGACCTATAGGAAACCGAGCCTGCATCTCTGGTTCCGCACGTACGCGGACTCTGCGGCCAGACCGCTACTTAGCACTCTACAGGCTGCCCACTCTGGTTAGCAGCGCCGCGGTTGACGACCTAGAGTTTGACAGAAGGGAGCCCAGGCCTTCACGAGGTTCCGGAGTCTCGGATGGGCGGGAATGAGGAGAAGCTGAGACATCGGAAAAGTCTCTGGGGGAACTGCTCTCGGTGTGGCACTCCACGACAGGACGGAAGAGGCGTAGGCGGAACTTGTGTGTATTCCCCTGTGCGCACGCCACACAGCCGAAATAGGCCTTTCCTAGGCTTGCGAGACCCATTTCCTGATTGCAAAGGCGCACCAGCAGTTTCCAATAATGATGATAAAACAATATTTTAATTGATAATGTGTATATATATATATATTTTTTTTTTTTCTTTACCGCAGTGTTAATAAAAGACCGGCAATCCATGCTTGATCCTGATGGTGCGATGCTTAACACAGATGAGGCCTTCATAATAGTTTACCTTCATAATAAAAACCTTGGGTTTCTATGAGGCCTTCGTAATAAAAACCTTGGGTTTCTCTGCCTAAAGATTTGCAGCAAGCCAACAGGTCACTTAGGAAGGGCAGGGAGCCACTTGGTGGTCGTTATGAACCAAGGGTGGTTGTTGCTCAGAACCCCCAAGAGCAAGTTCTGGGTACAAAGATTTATTTGCCTCAGAGGACAGGAAATAAGAGAAAAAGAGGATGAGGAAGAAGGGGAAGGGAACAAAGGAGAGGTAGGAGGGCTGTTTGTCCCAGGGGACAAAGGACTGCCTCTGAATAGAGAGGAGGCATACATAGCCTATTGGAAAATGGTTTATAAAGGTACAAGGGAAAACTCCATGTTAGGATAAGGTGTTTAATTTTCAGTGTGCATATTAATTGAATGAGTCAAGGAGGGCTTTTGATTGATTGCTGGACTTCAATATATTGAGAGCTGGAGCTTGGTAGTCAGCCTCATGAGGAGGAAGTGGCGAAATAAGACAGACCTTGGTGGCTCGCTTTAGAAATGCAATCTAACAGTTTTTAGCACGGCAGAGGGAATAGGGGAGGACAAGGCCTGCCAGAGCCATGCTTGCCACATTGGAGGTGGCCAGTGTCTCTTCAGTGGTGGCGACATGAGCCAAAAACTTTTGGCACCCCTCTCCCTCTTAAGTTAAAGACCCAGGGAATCTCTGGGCATGGTGGCACAGGCCTTTAATCCCAACACTTGGGAGGCAGAGACAGGTGGATCTCTGAGTTCCAGGACAGTCTGGTCTACAGAGTAAGTTCAGGACAGTGCTATGCTGAGAAACCCTGTCTCGAAAAACCATAAACAAACAAACAATCCCAGGGAATCCACTTGAGTTCAATGACAAGGAGAGAAAATAAATTTTGTAAATTGCACTTTTAGCGCTTACTTAGTTATCTGTAGTGGTTTGAGGTCTAGAATCAAAGCAGGGGCTTTTCGGTTGTTGTTTTCTCAAAGTATTATATGTCTAGAACACAGTCTCTTAGATATTTCACTATTACTTATTTCCTTATTTCTCATTACAGAATGCCTTCTTGGTATGACCTCTTGGTAGTAACCAAACCTTTCATTTATTGAATGTTTACTTATGTGACAACCACTTTTACATACTTTGGTTTATTCAACCTCAATTATACATGAAGTGGCTTGTTCTCACTGTAGCTCAGCTGGCCTGGAAATTGGATGTAGAGCAGGCTGACATCAGACTCAAGAAATTGGTCTGTCTTTAACTCCCAAGTGCTGGAATTAGAGGTGTGTACCACCACACCTACAGAAATGGTGGTTTTAATACTAGTTTTTACTGATAGAATAATATTAGGTCAGAAAAATCTAAATAGTGTGTTTAAGGTCACATAGTTATTCTAGTGGAGGTGGGATTTATTTATTTTAAATTTTCTGTTGGTGCCATCAAACCTAAGGCTTCACATATACTATACAAGTATTCTCTCTACCTCTATATTCCCAGCCTAAGAACTGGGATTTTTAACTCATTTGTTGAATTTGGGGCCTATAATGTCAATATTCATCCTATTTTCTTCCTTAAAATTTTTTCATGCAATACAATTTGATTATGTTTCCCTCCACCGCCTCCCCACCTCACTTTCCACCCAGCTTTATATTCTTTCTCCTCCCCTTCCCCCATCTTTCCTGAAAACAAAGCCCCCAAATCAAAATAAACACAAATAAAAAGACATAAAGCTCCAAGAACCAACTCATTTTATGATTCTTTGTATTGTTTTTGTTTGTTTTTATTTTGTTGGTTTCAACTTGAGTTTGAATAGTTCTTCTGATTTTCTATTTCTTCTTCCTTCCTTCCTTCCTTCCTTCCTTCCTGATACAGGGTTTCTCTGGGTGTAGCTTTGGCTGTCTTGGAACTCACTCTGTAAACCAGGCTGGCCTGGAATTCACAGAGATCTGCTTCCCAAGTTATGGGATCAAAGGTGTATGCCACCACCACCACCCAGCTGGTTTTTGTTTTGTTTTGTTTTTTGTTTGTTTTTTAGAGACAGCATTTCTCTGTGTAGCCCTTGCTGTTCTGGAACTCACTCTATAGACCAGGCTGGCCTTGAACTCAGAGATGTGCCTGCCTCTTCCCCAAGTTCTAGGGTTAAAGGTTTATACCACCACTACCCAGAAATAATTTCTTTTTGATTTTTTGTTTGTTTGTTTGTTTTATAATTTTCAGCTGTTCAGATGTGTCACCAAGTTACCAATATGAGATATACTCAGTTTTTTTTTTTTTTAAATGTAGGCACTTAGTAGTTTGAACTTGCCTATTATGGCCACTTTCATTGTACCCCATAGGTATGAATATCTTGTGTTTTAATTTCATTTAATTCTAAAATGTTTTTAAATTTCCTTCTTGATTTCTGTCTTGACCCAATTTTAATTCAGTAATGAGCTTCTCAGCTTCCACGAATGTGTATACTCTCTCTCATTTCTTTTGTTGTTGATATCTAGCTTTAATCTTAGTGGTCAGATAGAATGCAAGGTGATATTTATGGTCTTATATGTATTCTGTATGGTGTGTGCATTTGGTTAGTTTGTGTTGATTCTCTTGTTGGAGCAGCCATGGTGGTTCTCTGATTGACTCATAGCTGCTTCCTTGAAGTTCAGTACAGTGTCTTTCTTACTCTTTTCAGGAGCTCAGATAAATGCATGTTTTGTGGATAAATAAGTGGGTAAATGTAGTTGGAAGGGCAGAGGCAAAATGCAAGCAGGAAAGAGGAATGCTGAAGGAACAAAGCATCAGAGAGAGGAACTGAAGCCCTGGCCCAGCAGTTTAGAGTACTTCCCACACTGCACTCACATGCACAACCCCACATATGCACATAACGGAAAAACAGAAATCAGAAATCTAGGAGTCGAAGAGGTGATTCAGTGGTCAAAAGCTCTTGCTCCTCTTGCAGAGGACTGGTATTTGGTTTCAAGAACTCGAGGTGAATACTTAATGCCCTCTTCTGGCCCCTGTGGACACCTGTATTCACATGGTGGTGCACATTCAGACAAGCAGGCACACACACACAGAGACAAATAAAAATAAACTAAAATGTTTTTCATTAATAAAAAAGTACACTCAGCAGGGCACGGTGGTGCATGCCTTTAATCTCAGCACTTAAGAGGCAGAGGCAGGCAGATCCCTGTGAGTTCAAGGCCAGCATGGTCTACAGAGCGAATCCAGAACAGCCTGGGCTACACAGAGAAACCCTGTCTGGAAAAAAACAAAACAAAATAAAATGAAAAAACAAAAACAAAAACAAAAACAAAACAAAAAAAAAAATTTACCTCAACAAGCAAGAGGGTAGGAGGGACCTAGAGCCAGTCTGGCCCAGCACAGATGAGTGCATTTCCTCTCTGTGCAGGGGCTAAGAGACACTTCAGGTTTATCTGGGAAGACAAAGGTAGTCAGTACTGAGGGGTCCTAGTAATTTTTCTGTCACTATGACAAAATATCTGAGGTAATAAACTTTATAAGGAGGAAAGGTGATTTTTAGCCTATGGGTTTCAGTCAGTCATTGTTGCTTAGGACCCGTAAGGAGGCAGAAGACCATGACAGAAGGATATGACAGAGAAAAGCTGCTTACCTCATAACATTCGAAATCAATGAGCTGAAGAGGAAAGAACTGGCCCCCAATATCTTTAAAGGCCACAGTCTCAATGATTTCTCACTAGGTCCCACATCTGAAAGGTTCCACCAGCTCCTACAGGCTGGTGATCAAGCCTTCAATTCATGGGCCTTCAAGGTACATTTGAAATCTGTATGGTCAGGGTTCTCAAAAATGGATAGCATGAATATATATCACAAAGGGAATTTAGTAGATTGGCCTACATGATATGGGCTAGTGTTTTAGTCAGAGCTCTCTAGAGGAAAAAAAGAAATAAAACGAATTTATCTGTCTGTCTGTATGTCTGTCTATCTGTGCAATCATCTATCTACCCATCTAAAGGTAATTTATTAAAATGGCTTACAGGCTGTGGTCCAGCTAGCTCAACAATGGCTATCTCCCAATGGAAAATCCAAGAATACAGTAGTTATTTAGTAATGAGGCTGCTGTCTCAGCCTATCTTGGTCTTCACTATATGTCATCAGAATCTAGAGAAGAGCAAAAGATTCCTTCTTCCCTGTCCTTTATAGGCTACCATGAGAAGGTATGGCCCAGATTTGGGGGATTGCTACTTCAAATGATCCAGTTAACTAAAACCCCTTCCAGGAATGCCCAGCAACATTTGGGTTTTTAGATAATACCAAATGTGGTCAAGTTGACAACCAAGAATAGCCACTACAGCTAGGCAGTCTAACAATGGTTATCTGTGTGTACTCAGGAGGCTGAGAACCGGGTAACTGTTCAGTCCACGAGTCTGGATGTGCCAAAAGTTCTAGTTGGCACTGAAGGCCTGGAAGATTTCCGGAGAGTCACTCTTCTTTATTTTCTGTTAGGTCAAAGAAGCTGGGTTCTGATGTTGTCAAAGGATGGTGGTAGTGGCAGCAGCAGCAACAGGATGCAGATACTCATGAGCAAAGAGTGAAAGCAGGCAGGGCTGCTGCTGGGAAGTATTGCCCATTATGGAGAAGGGTCTTCTCTCAGTTAGTCTTTCCAGGAAGTACCCTTAGATCCACAGTGGTATGTTTCTCGAAGTATGTTTCTTAGTCATTGCAGATCTAATCTTGTTGACAACTAAGAGCAACTTCCCAAAGATTCCCACTGCAATAGAGAACTGGCAGGGTGAAAGGTGTGCAAGAGTGTTGTTGGCTACTTTTAAAAAACTTTTGTTTACATTTTTTATATCTCTTTCTCCCTACTCCACCCCAATGCTGTCCAATACCCCAACACAAGGCAGGAGAGAGAAGGGTTAATGGGAGAGGGGACACAGTTATCTGCTTCCTGCTGGTTAGGGTCATTGGGTTGCTTGCAGCCAGTTCAATCCTTGTTTCAGGAGATCCCCAACTTCTTGTCTCACTGCATCAATAACAACAGGAACAGCAGGAGGGGAAAGCAACAGCAGCTTTGTTCTTTCTCTGAGCTCCTTGCTCTCTGGGCTCTGGTATTTATTCTCTCTCCAGAGTCCTCAGATTTGAACTACCCGAAACTGGCAAAGAGAACCTCTCAGTGCCCACACAAAGCAAATAGTCTGCTGCTGTGGACCATTTGAATCAGTCCCACATCCCACACCTGGGACCAAAGCAGAGCAAAACAAAACAAAATGCTTATGTTTTCAGAGAGAATTTTGGAGCAAGTGAATGAAAAATTCCCAGGAGGTACAGTGGGATGCCAGGCAATTTGTAATAGTACTTGCAGAGATGTGGGGGCACTTGCCTGCTCCATGACTCTCCCACTAGGTGCAGGTGCAGACCAGATGGACAATCTCAAAATGGTAGGGTTGGGGGCAGAGGAAGGAGGTGAAGGCACAGGGTGGCTGCAAGTGCAGTGCAGTGCATGGGAACACAGTCTTTGCTAGGAATAAAGGGACAGGAGATCCAGAGAGACTAGGACTGGAGGTGCCAGAAAAGAGGGAGGCTTGAGGGGCAGAACTGTCATGTCCTTAGTGCATCCTCTCATTGGTCAGTCAAAGATTCTAAAAGAGCCACCCAGGGCCTGTCATTTCACATCAGCCCACATTTCCAGGGTGCTGTCTAGAGTTTGCTCTTGTTTAGACTGAATTGCTAGACCAGACCCTCCCAGGAGGCTACATGTGCACAGCTGAAACTTTCCTGGTGTACAGGACAAGGTTGGGTTGCTCTTCACGGAGAACCATTCCAGGCAAGTTCCCAGCAGAAACAGCTGCTTGTTGCCCACCCCATAGCCCTGCCCTGGGAGGAAGTTCCCAAGAGTAAACACTGCCTGACTTCCTGCCCAGCTAGTAAGTGAAGTCTGTCACATTCCACACTCACCAGAATCCTAGTGACCAGGTCTCCCGTCCGGCTATCGGCTGCCTTTTCTAAGGATGAGCCAGCTTTGCTTATGGGTGACATGCCAACCTTTTCATGCTGCCAGTATCAGAAGAATCCTCACTGGTGCCTTCTTCATTCTGGGCTGCTGGGGGCTCTCTGATTTACAGAAGGTGGGATCACATAAGATCTGGTGTAGGGTGTTGGAATCACCTGGGAGAGGAGGCTGCCTAATCTCTTGGATGAAATGGGTGTGGTCTTTCTGCTAGCAGATAAGGAAACTAGTTTACTCTGGTAAACATGACCGAGCTGTGTAGACCGCTCTCCTCTGCTCCCTGCCTAGGAACCGCTCCCTTATTCTGTCCCTATATCTTCGTTGTCCTCTCTTCCTTTGCCTTGTCTCCTTCCTCCTCTTTCATGTGTTTTGTTTTGCAGAGTTTTCTTCAAGATCTGGAACCCATGGAAGTACCTTCTCACTTTGGCCACCGTGCTGCTGAACTCACAGGTAGCTGTCCTGGTGTGCTCTGAGCCAGGGGAGTTTCTTGAGCCCTGGATGGGAGACTGAGGGAGTTTCCACTGAGTCAGTGCCATGAGAGTTCTGGTGGCCATGGGAAAAGGAAGTCAGAGGGGCTGCTTCTTTCTCTCTGTTAATTAGCTTCATTGCTTCCTGCCAACTTGATAATAGCTGTTCTGGGTATTCTGGCTACACTGGAATCCTGACCCCAGGCTTCTGTTTAGTATCACAAGTGAAGGAGTGTTCATCAGCTGCCTCTTTAGCCTGTGGATGGCCTTCATAGGGCTGGCTGATTTTCAAGAACCTACCACTTCTGGCCATAGCAGTAAATATTTATTCCTTCTTTGGGAACAAGGTGGGTGCCAGGCCAAGCAACTCTGGCTCCTATCCTGTAGCTTTTCTCATGGTGAAGGCTTTCCCATGACCTATAGCCCTGCCTCTCAGGATGCCATCCCTTTTCCCAGAAGGATACTTGGTGGTTTTAATTAAAACCCTGGTTAGGAGTGGAGTGTGGAGCTAGCTTACTTGGTAAAGTGCTTCTGTGGAAACACGAGGAACCAAGTTCTAGTCCTAGCATTCATATAAAATGAAGCTGGGCATGGTAGCACATATTTTTTTATTCCAGTGCTGAGGAGAGGTAGAACCCAGTGTGCATCCTTCCATGACCACAGAACAATTAGTCACAAATGGTGTATCTCATAATCCTTTCTATTCTGACCACTAGCTAGGAAAATCCATGAAACAGCTAACCTAGCCCAGTTGATGAGCCCCAGGTCTCAGAGAGAAATCTTGTCTTAAAAAATAAGGTGGACAAACTGGATGTGGTGGCACACACCTTTAATCCCAGCACTCAGGGAGGCAGAGGCAGGTGAATCATGTGAGTTTGAGGCCAGCCTGGTCTACAAAGTGAGTCTAGAACAGCCAAGGCTACACAGAGAAACCCTGTCTCAGAAAACAAAACAAAACAAAACAAAACAAAAACCAAAAACCAAGGTGGATGGCTCTTGAGGAAAAACACTCGAAGTTGACTTCTGCTTCCATACAGACACCACATAGATGTTGGTAAGGTCCAGAGACAGATGGAGCTAGAAGTCAGGGTACCAAGGATCTAGGGGATGTTCTTCCACTTGCAACCAACTTTTCTGTGGCCTGGGTGGGATACACATTGTGTGGACCACTGGGTCCTCCCATCACTGGGCTTCTAAAGGGCTAAGGGACCAGAGGTGTCTTGCTTCCTGTTGGCTCATTTATGGAACACTCATTTCAAGACTGAAACTACTTTGCCAAGAACTGATTCAGACCTTCAGGCAAGGTCTAAAGTAGGCAACTTGCAATCCGCCCACCCTGGATCTTGGAAGAGCAGGTTCTAATGGAAGACCCTGTCTCCAGGTCTGTATTTCTCCCTCTCTCTCACCAAAGAAAGAATCCTGAACTCCTCCTTTTTAGCAGAAGGGTCCTAGGTTGGAGGAGCAGGGGAGAGGGAGGTGGATCCTGTCTCTTGCAAAACCTCAATTCACTGAGGCCCTGCTCCCTGTGAGGAAACAACATAATTGGGGAGCTATGTTATAGGGTCCTAGAAGAACTCTTCACCTTCCCTTTCTATCCTGAGCTGGTACTCCTGTCCATTCCTTCACCACTTCCCACAAGCTGAGAATTGGGCCCTGGGAGAGGATGTGAAATCTGCTTTTTGATTTCCAGGACTGGCTAGGCCTTCTCTGTTAGCTGCCAGCACCTGTTTTCTCCTTCCCCTCTAGGCCATCCTTCCTCCCACCTCCAGAGGCTGAGATGGAGAAGGACTTTGGGGGATATTCTACACCTGGAGCTAATGGTGGCTGTAGGCCCCGATGTCTACCAGGCTCACCAGGAGGACACAGAGCGCTACGTGCTCACCAACCTCAATATCGTGAGTGGCAGTTGGCTGGCAGTGGCTGATGCAGGAAGGTGGGCTCTCCCCCCAAGCCTCTGGACACAGACACCCTCACCCCCACCCACCTCTCCCAAACCCCAGAGCTCACAAGGCTTATGAGCAAAAGTCATTACATTTGAACTCTGTGTTGAGATGTTCCATAGAAGCTGAGGGTCAGTTGGAGCTCCTGGCCCTGAGGAGAAAGGGAGGTCACTACTGTCTTTATATTCCCCTTTGTCCCCTGCAGCAAAGGTGGACAAAGTCAGGGAATCCCTCCCAACACCAGACTCAGCCCCATAGCCTCCCAGTTCTGCCCGGTGTTCTTCTGGCCAACAGTGGGTGCAGTTTGCACACACTGCTCTCTCTTCAGTTCTCTTGCTTCTGTCTTAGGGAGGCACAGGGCAGAAGAGCACTCAAGATGTGAACAGATGTTATTATGGCTGAAGTTGTGTGGTTCCCTTTTCTACAGACTCCTCCTCCCTGTGATCTAATGGTTGGGCAAGCAGAGATGTCTCACACCATTAATCCTTATGTCAGAATGGCAACATGTTAGTCAGGGCAAAATTAATATCAAGTTTCTCCTAGAGAGGACATTAAATACTGTACTCACATCCATATGGCACACACAGAACACACATGGAATATGACTGTTCTAGGCCATCGGGAATTCACACTATACAAATTGCATTCATAAGCATTTATATGATATCACTAGGCAGAGGCAGGCAAATTTCTGTGAGTTCAAGGACAGGTTGACCTACAGAGCTAGTTCCAGGACAGTCAGGGGCTACACAGAGAAACCGTCTCTCAAAAAATAAAAATAAAAATATAGAACCAATATGAAGAGAGTGGGTCCATTTCCTGGAGCAGTGTCTTCAAAATAATGATGACTTAAGCTGGGTGTAGTGGCACATACCTATAAGCCCAGCATCCAGAAGACTGAGGCAGGAAAATCACAAGTTTGAGGCCAGCTTGGTCATAATATTTGGCTGTCTTAAATAAAAAAAAAAAAAAAAAAAGAAGGAAGGGAGGAAAGAGATGGTCTAACAGGTGAAGGTACTTGCCTCCAAGCATGACAACCTGAATTCAGTCCCAGAACCCATGCAGTAGAGGAAGATAGCCAATTCCTGCAAGTTGCCCTTTGACCTCCGTATGTGTGCACATATACTAAAAAAATAAATATAAAACCATTTTTAAAAAATATGACCAACTGATTCTGGGGACTAGTTCCAGCCCGTGACTGACAATTCCAGTCTCATCTTCTCACGGATCTGCTGCAGAGATAAGGCAGGGGTGGTGGTCATGAAGAGATCCCAGTTATGGCTTTTGGGCAACACTTGGTCCCAGCCATTGTAGCTCTCTCTAAAATGGCTCTAGTTTCAGCCTGGTCAACCTTTTCAGGGGATTGGAAAAGTCTTCTCTGCATCTGTCTTACCAGCATCTGTGCCAGAGCTCCCCCTGGACCACACTGTCTACCCCAGTCGTCCCTCCCGTTTGTGGGTGTGGTCCAAGTATAGATAACCTGTGTAGGCTTTAGATCTACAGGCCCCTGGGGTGATGTTTTCTCAGTGAAAAATGGTTCCATCTCCCAATTAGAAACCATTGTCTTTAAATTTTGGAGTCCCTCCCTCCGACTTTAAGTTGCCAGGGCCCAGGCTTCCCAGGGTTGTTAACATGCTTTAGGACAGCAGTTTTCAACCTGTGGGTCATGACCCCAAGACCACTGAAAATCACAGATATTTACTTACTATTCATAACAGTAGCAAAATCACAGATATGGAGTAGCAATGAACCTAATTTATGGTTGGAGGGTCACCACCTGAGGAACTGCATTAAAGGGTCATAGCATTAGGTAGGTTCAGAACAGTGGCTGAGGAGGATTAGGCATGTGGAACCTGAACCAGGGCATCAATTTTTATTTATCTATTTTATTTATCTAGTTATCTCTTAATCTGCTAACCAGGCAAGACTTGATCTCTGCCTCCTAAGACAGAAGCCTGTAAGAAAACTAAGGCTCAGTGCTTAGTGACCCGAGCCCAAAGCTAAGAAGAGGCGAGGCTTACGTTCAAACTCAAGCCAGCAATCAACTCTTTCTGTTAGTTGGTCTTCCCAAGGCATAAGCTAGTGAAAGGCCTAGGGGCTCATCTGTCTGTCTGCAGCCTAGCACACAGACAAGATTTCAGCTTCCCACCACTCCCTAGCCACCACCCCCTAGCCTCCAGAGGACACCCTCTTTACCACCACCCCAGCCACTGGGGCTCCTGGACTCATTCTGAATGACCTGTATCACCTCGCTCCCTCTCCTGCTGCCTTCTGCAGGGCTCAGAACTGTTGAGGGACCCATCCCTGGGGGCTCAGTTCCAGGTGCACCTGGTGAAGCTGATCATTCTCTCTGACTTGAAGGTGGGTATGCACCCTGACTCTATGCCCTTCATCCTGCAGAACTGGGGATGGTAACTGTGGGGCTCAGCTGAACAGAGCTTCTCTGAGCCTCAGTTTCTCCATCTGTAATATGGGGTAGCAACAGGATTTGTATAATATGGTCCAACTGAGAAGCATGCTGGCAACAGTCAGCACCATCCTTGGTACCACTTCCATAGAAACAGGCTATTTGGTTGTTCCCTAGAGTACTCCAAATATCACAGCCAACATCACCTCATCCTTGATGAGTGTCTGTGAGTGGGGCCAGACAATCAACCCGCACGATGACAGGGATCCAAGTCATGCTGACCTGATTCTTTATATAACCAGGTATCTGAGATCCCCCACAGGAGTGCTTGCTTAGGAGGGCTGCACTATGAACTTCTCTGCTTTCTGCACCAGCAACATGGCTGGTGGACCATCCATGTGATTCCTTTTCTCTTATCAAGGTTTGACCTGGAGTTACCTGATGGTAACCAGCAGGTTCGGGGGGTCACCCAGCTGGGGGGTGCCTGCTCCCCTTCCTGGAACTGCCTTATCACCGAGGACACTGGCTTTGACCTGGGGGTCACCATTGCCCATGAGATTGGGCACAGGTATGTGGCCTCACCAGCTATCCCCAGGCTGGTCAGAGAGCTGGTCTGAGCCCCAGAGTGGAGGGCCTAGGTGGTCAGCAAATCTTTGCAGAGCCTGTTAGAAGCCTATACCCTGAGTCTAAGTGTCTTGGCAGGGGAAAGCTGAGGCAGAGGAAATCTGATGTTCCTTGATCACTGAGTAACAAACATAATTTCTTTTTTCTAAATAAGCAAACAGCGATTAGAAAACAATAATTTAATATTTAGGTTTTTAAAATTCTCAAAAAAGATTTATTTATTTATTTATTTATTTATTTATTATGTATATAATGTTCTGCCTCCATCTGCGTCTGCACACCAGAAGAGGGCACCAGATCTCATTCTACAGCCACCATGTGGTAGCTGGGAATTGCACTCAGGACCTCTGGAAGAGTAGCCAGTGCTCTTAACTGCTAAGCCATCTCTCCAGCCCCAAATATTTAAGTTTTTTTAAATTTATTTTTGTTTATGTGTATACGTGCATGCATACGTGCATGTGTGTCTGTGTGTGTGTGTCTGTTGAGATGTGGGGTAAGGGTCATGCCACAGCATGAATGGAGAGGCCAGAGGACAACTTGTGGAGTTGGTTCTCACATTGACATAGGTTCTGGGAATTGAACTCAGGTCATCTGGCTTGTGTGGCTAGTTCCTTTACCCACTGAGCCATCCAGAAAATAAGTATTGTAGGAAATTCCAGTAAAGAAAATTATCCTAGGTCTGTGCAATATCTTAGTTACTGTTCTAGACTAAGGTAACTCTTGTAAAAAAAAAAAAAAAAAAGCATTTAGCTGGGAGCTTGCTTACAGTTTCAGAGGGTTATTCCATGGCCATTGTAGCAGGGAGCATGGTGGCACATAGGCAGGCATGGTGCTGGACGGTAGCTGAGAAAGCTTTGTGTCCCCATCCACAGGCAGGCAGAGAGGGAGACACTGGGCCTGGCAAGGGCTTTGGAACCTCAAAGCCCACCTCCAGCCACACACCTCCTCCGAGGACACACCTCCTCCAAAAAGGCCATACCTCCTAATCTTTCCAAACAGTTCATCAGCTGGGGATATATGGGGGTGGGGGGGAGTGCTTTCTTGCTTAAACTACCACACACAACTTATGGAAATGTCTCTTTAGATTTATATTTAATTTTTGTCATTATATATATGCACATACTAGGCTTCTGCAATACATTGTTATTTTGATTCTATTGTGGGTTTTTTGGTCATTGTTATTCAGATTTTTAAAATTTATTTAGTCACTTTACAACTTCATCCCAGCCCCCTTTCTCCTTTCCTCTCAGTCCCACCCTCATGCTCCTCTCACCTTCCCTCCTCTCCTTCTTCACAGAGAAGTGGAGACTACCCAGGGGTACCAACCTGCCAGGCACCTCAAGCTGCAGCTGGGCTAAGCACATCCCTTCTCCTTCAGGCCAGTCAAGGCAGCCCAGGAAGGGGGAAACATCCAAAGGCAGGCACCAGACAGCCTCTACTCCCATTGTAGCTGAGTCATCATGTGGGTTCTCTTTTGTGGTTTTTAAGACAGGATCTCACATGGGGAATCTGTCAGATGATGGCTAGGATCACAGGGATATGCCACCCGCCCACATAACTCTTGTCTTTTAATATAACTGTATATCCCTAATGTTTCTCAGCTCACAGACTTCTTATATTTTGTTTTGTTTTATACATACAATAACTGAAGCTCTCTGGTTGGACAGTTAGGGTGTTTCTGAGTCCTTGCTACTGTGTTTAGTATGTATTCTTGTGCTCATATCTTTATTCATGCATATTATCATTTTATCTAGAGTGACATGTTTCTATTCTTTTTATTTTTAGTTGTTTGTTTGGGGTTAGGAATATAATATACAATTGTAAAAATATCAAATGATATAGAAATTTGCAGAGTAATAAAATAAGTTTCCCTCCTGGTACCCTACCCTCTGAACTGGTCTAAGCTCCCAGGGGTGGAAGCCAGGCTCTCCACCTCTCCCAGAGGGTCTGGCCCCAGCAGCTCCTGGCCCCACTCTCAGCCTCTTAGGCTCCTAGGGTCTGTTCTGCTTGATACTGTGGAGATATTCAGGCCCTACTTGAAAAAACTGTCACCTAGAAATAGCAAGGAGGACAGCCACATCTCCTCAGGCTTTTCATTCACAAGATGGCTGCAGTGTCAGTAGATTTTCCAAAGCTGAACACACCCAGACCATCAGCTGCTAGAACAATTTGCTGCCCCCAGGCCTCTACCTGGCTCCCAGTTCCTGCTTCTACACCCTAGACTTGTAGCCATGGATTAAGTCATCTGGTGTATCATCAAAGCTTTTTGCTATTTATTAGCCAAAGGAGGAAAGAGCTACCCCGCTGAACCAGCAATCCTCCCGTCCTCATATAGGTGGGAAACTGAGGCAGGGCCTCCAGGACTTCTGCTGGGCTGGCTTAGCTAGTATCAGGGCCCAAGTCCAGGGGACATAGGTGGCCCTGCCCCAGTTGGCTACTCTCAGTCTCTTCTGCCCACAGCTTCGGCCTGGATCATGATGGTGCTCCAGGCAGCGGCAGCACCTGTGAAGCCAGTGGCCACGTGATGGCATCTGATAGTGCAGTGCCTGCTGGAGGAGCCCTGGAGTGGTCCTCCTGTAGCCAAAGGCAGCTGAAGCATCTGCTCAGGTACACCGTCCACCTAGACAGGGTTGGCTGTCACTCTCTTCCTGCGCAGCAGCCTTTATCCTAGCCCACTATGTTGCTTTTATTTCCTGTCCCAGAACCCACTCTACTCCCCCATCAGTTCCTCCATCCCCTCTCATCCTCCTCTGTCACTCTTTTCCACTTTATTGAACCCATTCCTCTATCCCATCTCACCCCTGGACCCATCCCTCTACCTCCCCTACCTCATAATTCCACCCTTCCATGCCAGGCATTTCCTGTCCATTAGTCCATGGCTTTCTCCTCCATCACTCTTTCAGCCCTCTACCTGCTCTGTTCTATACTCACCCCTCTTGGGCCTTAACCTAGCCCCACATCTGCTTCTTCACCCTGACCCCACTGGTGTCCACCCAGGTCTTGAGCCCTGCTTGATCTGTTACAGCACAGGGCAAATGCACTGCTTCTGGGACCCACCTGGACTGCAGTCAGGACTTACAAGGCACCAGCTGTTTGCTCAGCCTGGCCTCTACTACAGTGCAGATGATCAGTGTCGTGTGGCTTTCGGCTCAGGGGCTGTCGCCTGCACCTTCTCCAGGGAGGGTCTGGTGAGTGCATCCTTCACTAATTCCCAGTCTACTCTGCCCAGCTCACCTTCCCCTGCTGACCCCACCTGCTGGGCACCAGGCACAGTTGAGGACTACTCCAGGGTTCATACAACCACCGGTTATATGCCTGATCTTGTTTAATGCTTGCATTTAGTTTACTGTTAAATAAGAGATGTATGCACATGCATGCATACACTTGTGAAGGTAAGAGACTAACTCTTTGGAATGGATTCTTTCCATTCCCCGTAGGTTCTGGGGATTGAACTCAGGCCATTAGGGTTGTGTTATAATCATTTTTATCCTCCTCTTGGAAGTATTAAACTTTTTTGTTTTTTGTTTGTTTTGGTTTTTGTTTGTTTGTTTGTTTGTTTTTGAGGCAGGGTTTCTCTGTGTAGCTTTGGCTGTCCAGGACTCACTTTGTAGACCAGCCTGGCCTCAAATCCACAGAGCTCTGCCTGCCTCTGTCTCTTTGAGTGCTGGGATTACAGACATGCACCACTGCGTCTAGCATATTAAACATTTTTTTAAACCAAAGTCCTCACATTTTTGGTTGACCTTGCCTTACAGATTTATATAGTATTTCCCATCTAACCTATGGGCTCAACATAAAGGGCTTCCAAGAGGCAGAGGATTCCAGGGTCCACACAGAGTAGGAGACGTGCAAATGGAGGGGGTAGGGTTTCCCAAGTCAGACTTCCTCTGTGGGAGGGCCTTCCCTTTTTGCCCAGATAAGCCCCTTACTTCTTCCACAATAGCATTAAAAATGATGTCTAGGGGCTGGGGATACAGTTTAGTAGGGAAAGTGCTTGCTCTACTGGCATATTTAAAGCCCCAAATTTGGTCTCGGACCACACAAACTGGGTGTGGCACCTCATATATGTAATCCTAGCCCTCTAGAGGTAGAGGCAGGAGGATCAGAAGTTAAGACCATTCTTGGTTACATAGGGAGTTCAAGGCCAGCCTGGGCCAGAGACCTTATATTTAAAAAGTTATGTTTAGTATTTTTATAAAATACAAAAATCTCTGAATTATTATGTTTGTTGATCTATGTTAGAATGTTTTTTTTTTAATTTAAAAGCTTATTTTTCTCTTCTGATTTTAAATATTAAGACATTTTCATGGCCTTTAGAAGAATGATGGGCTTTAGCAAGGTCCATACTTCCTCCTGATGGACAAGTCAATCAGCTTGTTTTCCCAGGCCACTTATGAGAGCAGGGTATTGACTGGCCTGGAAGAGACACTATCCAGGCAATCTCATAGTGGACCATCTGGTCATCTCTCTTAGGATGTATGCCAGGCTCTCTCCTGCCACACAGACCCCCTGGACCAAAGCAGCTGCAGCCGCCTCCTTGTTCCTCTCCTGGATGGGACAGAATGTGGTGTGGAGAAGGTTAGTGTTCTGGGAAGGATGAAGCTAGCGGGGGAGGGGAGGCCTGTGTGCATGTCTTTGTGTCTGAGAGAGGGAGGGGTGGTGAGTGAATATGAGAATCTGGAGAAAACACCCAGAGCCTCTGCTCTGCACTCCCTATATTTTTCCCGAGTAGGGTCTTACTCCAGGACACTGTACCACTTCTCATCCATTCCTTTCTCCAGCCCTCTATCATACACAGAGAAGAGTTTACTGAGTGACAGCAAGGTCCAAGAACCCCCACTCAGATTGCCCTTGCCCTCGTTGCCTGCGCCATCTTCCCTAGGGTTAATTTTCCCTTTTCATTGGGTACCTAGACCCTCTTCCTCTGTTGACAGCCTGATGTCTTCCCTTTAGCATTTGCTCCCAAACAGAACAAGGTATGTGATTGTGCCCCATGACCCTTTATGCTCCGCATCCCTCTGTGGAGGGTTCACTGTATGCTTTGGAAGGTCTCTATGTCTATTGGAAGACCCTGTGTGTGGCTCTTATGTACTAAGGTCTCTGTGTTGGGGACCGCCCTGTCAGTGAGATCCCTATCTGTGAAAGATCCTAAAGAAAGGTATGGTCCCTGTGTTGGAAGTCTCCATGTGTGATGGGAAGCTTGTTCTTTTTTTTCTGGAGGGGTCCCTCTGTGTGTTTGTATCCCTATGTATGCTGGCTGCATCCTATGTGTGCAGGCTCCTTGTGGGAGAGGGAGACAGAGTTGTCTACTTTGCAGTGGTGCTCCAAGGCTCGCTGTCGCTCCCTAGCTGAGCTTGCTCCTGTGGTGGCGGTACATGGACACTGGTCTAGCTGGAGTCCCCATAGTCCTTGCTCCCGATCCTGTGGAGGAGGCGTGATCACCAGGAGACGGTGGTGCAACAACCCAAGGTACCCACAGAAGGTCTCCCTGAAGGGAGGGTAGGTCGTTGCACCCCATTCTCTGCTTGCAGCAGAGAACTTCTCATCTGTTTCGTTTTGTGGACATTTCTAGGCCTGCCTTTGGGGGACGTGCATGTGTGGGTGAGGACCTCCAGGCTAAGCTGTGCAACACACAGGTAGGCTAGTTTCCTAGCTGAGGGTGAATAAGAGTTAGCCACCCTGTCTGACCCATGGGCCCGGGCCTCCCTTGTGAGGGAAATGGTGGTTACCAAAGACCCCATGTGACTGCTTTCCTTTTAGAGTTTCTATTCACATTTGAGATGACATCTCTGAGATGAGAACTGGCTCATGGGCCCCCGTGAGTGCACAGTGTGAAATTTCATTTAGACTTCGATATGAAATGCATCTTGTTTAGTCAACCATTTCAAAGTACACAGTGCAGAGGCGTTGAGTGCACGGGACTGATGTGTAGACACTGCCTCTAGTGTGGTTTCAAACATTCCTTCATGTCAGAGGCACATCCCACACCAGGAAGCAGCCTCCCCTCCTTACCCCCACAGCTCCAACCTGCTTTCTGTCTTCTAATGTTTACTTGTTTTGAACATCTCATTTAAGCACCATTATGCAAGAGCCAGCTTCTCTTATATAATGTAACATTTCAAGTATTATCTATGTTGTACCATGAGTCAGTATATCACTTCCTTCTGAGGCTAAAGAACTAACAGTCTATGTTATGAACAGGATAATTCTCTTTTTCTATTATCATTTCCATTGTTTGGGTCATTTGTGCTTTTGGCTATAGCAAGCCCGGTTGCTGTAAACCTGTTGGCATTAGTTGGCTTGACCTTCTGTAACAAAACACCACAAGCAGAGTAATTTGCCAACAACACAGAAATTATTTTATCATGATTCTGGAGTCTGGAAGACTGAGAAATGTCCTGGCAGACTTGGTATCCACTTTCCAGATGGTCCCTAGTGCCCCATCCTATAGAGGACTGGATTACATGGCAGAGGGGACAAAAGGGACAGAAGTCCTGCTGCAGAGCACTCAGCTCTCTCATAATAGTCCAGTTCTAATTACATGGCTGGAGCCCCTAGGCTCTCATCACCTCTCAAGGCCATATCTCTTGGTACTGCTGTGTGAGGGCACTGAGATCATCATGGATTTTCAAAAACTACATCAATGCCTAAAAGTAAAATGGTGCTTTTATGGAAATTCTATGCTTAACTTTAACTTTTTCCTCTTTTTAAAAAGTCATGCTTAACTTTTTCAAATGCGTTTATGAATGTGTGTATGTCTCTCTGTGTATGTATATGTGTACCTTTGAAGGCCATAAAAAGGTGTGGAATCACCTGAAGTTACAGGTAAGTCACTTGACATGGGCCAACTGAACATGAGATGGCAAATGAACCTGAGTCCTCTACAAAAGTATCAACTGCTTCTAACTGCTAAGCTATCTCTCCAGGCCTGTCCTTTAGTTTCTGAGACTGGGTCTCACTATGTAGCCAGGACTCACTATAGATTAGGCTGGAGTTGAACTCATAGAGACCCACCTGGCTCTGCATCCCAAGTGCTGGGATTAAAGGCCTGCATCACCACACCTAGCTTTAAAAAAAAAAATTAAAAAATTGTTTCTCTTTATACTGGGGCAATTTTCTGGCTTCTGACCATCAGAGCATTCAACATGTGGCAACACACCTCTGTTCTACTCTTTGCCTTCTTCTGCTACAGGCCCAGGGCCTCTCAGACCTTGAGAGGAGGGAGCTGTAGTTGTCATCTCTCCCCAGCTGGTCAACTCCAAGCCTTTTCTTCCGAGGGCAGTGAGTTGGTGCAGTGTCTCTGGGCCATGTTCCTCATTTCCTGCTCTGGATGTACCTGTGAAGTGAATATACAGCTCAACCACATTTCCTCAGGTTCAGGACTTGGAACCAGAGACCCCAAGTGCCACATTATGTCTTGTTTTTTGTTTTGTTTTTTCTTCTTGCTGCTTTGGCTGCTGTGTCCTTTACAGATTATCTGGAATTTCCCTATAGGAAGTGAAAGGCAGATCTGGTCACCCACAGACTACTGAGTGGAGATAAGCCACAACCTGGGGCTGAGTTATCCCCATCTCTTGACCTTGCATGCAGGATGCATGCTGACTCCCACTGACAAGGACCCAACCTGTACCTGTCCTCTGCCTCCTCCGGCCAGGCTTGTGAGAAGACTCAGTTGGAGTTCATGTCCGAGCAGTGTGCCCAGACAGACAGCCAGCCACTGCACCCTTCTCAAGGCAGTGCTTCCTTCTACCATTGGGATGCTGCTGTGCAGTATAGTCAAGGTAGGCTGTGAGGCCTGGGGGGGCGGGCAGGGCCCTCTGCCAGCCAGAGCTCCTGGGGTTGACCAGTGTGTTAAGTATTTGCCTTGCTACTGAGATAAAAGATAAAATAACCCAACAAAAGCAACTTTAAGAAGGAAGGGCTTCTTCTGATTCATGGTTCCAGGGTGGTCCATTGTGGCAGAGAAGTTGCAGCATCAAAAGACTGAGGCAGGTGGTCATACTATACAAGAGAGTGTGAGAGACAGAGAGACAGAGATGCAGAGAGAGAAAAACAGAGAGAGGCAGAGGAGACATGCACACAGAGACAGATACACACAAGAGAGACAGAGATACATGCAGAGAGAAACAGAGAGAGGTAGAGAGACATACAGAGAGAGGCAGAGGAGACACATACAGAGACAGATACACAGAGAAACAGAGAGACACCCCTGCAGAGAGAGAGACAGACAGAGAGAGAGAGAGAGAGAGAGAGAGAGAGAGAGAGAGAGAGAGATCTGTATCTAGTTTGCTTTCTCCTCTTATTCAGTAGTCCGGGACATCCACTCATGTAATGATGCTGCCCACCTTTAGGATAGGTCTTCTCTCAATTAATCTAACCAAGATGGCTCCTCACAGGTACGACCAGATGCTGACCTAATCTAGATAATTTCCTACAGGATGTTTAGAGGCTTGTCTGATAGGTGCTTACTGTAGATCCTGTCAAGTGGAAGATCAGCACTAACCATTACAGCCAACCTTACCCCAATGCTGGCTAGACAGGATCTGATTCATGCTCTGGCATTCCACAGGCTGTGTATTTCTCTCTGGCTTGGTCTGGCCTCCCCAGGTGATAAGCAGTGAGGTTCTGTCTTAGATGCATCTTCTTCTGGGCTTACTAGAGGGATTCAGGGAGATACTTCAGGGGAAATGCCTGTGTGATCCTTGGCTCATAATCCAGTAGCCATGCTTATGAGACCAGAATATAATATGACCTTGGAGGCAGAACAGTTGTCCTGGCCACATATGCAAAGCAGTTAGGCTGAGTCTGGTAAGAGGACATCCCACTTAGACCCCATCTGGCAGAGCTAGTTCTACAACTGGTCCTAGAGGAACTTCCTACCTAGCTCACTGACCTTGTTCATCTCTGAACATCAGCCTTCCTTGTCACTCTTCCCTTCCAGGGGACACTCTGTGCAATCATATGTGCTGGGCTGTTGGAGAGAGCTTCATTGTAAGCCGTGGACACAGTTTCCTAGATGGGACCCGCTGTGTGCCAAGTTCTCCTCAGGAGGATGGGACCCTAAGCCTATGTGTGTTGGGCAGCTGCAGGGTAGGTGTAGGACAACCCAGGTGCCCCTCTGTCCTTGTGGACTAAAGGCTTTCCTGTCCCAGTAGAAGGGCTTGGGTCAGGGCAAAGGGGAGGTGATCCATGGGGCTAGCTCAATGGAGCTGCACTGTGTCTGCTGGGGAGTATTGTTGGAACAGGATGGAGCTGGTAGTCGCTTTTATTACAGCCTAAACTGTGACTGTGGGCAAGTTTATCATGGGAGCCCCTTAGGGACTATGCAGATAGCAAGAGCTTCAGGGAAGCTATGTGAATCTCAGAATCTCACAGCCAGCAGGGCTTTGGTACCAGCACCCCAATAACACAGGCCTTCTAACACTCTCCCCCTTTCGCATAGACTTTTGGCTGTGATGGCAGGATGGACTCCCAGCAGGTTTGGGATGCTTGCCACGTGTGTGGAGGAGACAATAGCACATGCAGTTCATGGAGTGGTTCTTTCACAGCTGGGAAAGCCAGAGGTAGGCCTGCCCTTGCGTGGAGGATGGGTTTCCCAGCACCCAAACAAAGCATTAGCCTGGGCTTTCAAGCTATAGCACCCATATGCTGGCTCAGCTCTGGGTACCTCACACACTGTGTGTTTCCATTCATTCTTCCTTCTCTGACATCTTCTCACAGCAGGCTCAAACTCCAGCCTCTGCAACTGGGATTGTAGCACGACACTAATTCCCTCACTGTAGCTGTGATGAGGGGGGAAAAAGGAGAGAGAAGAAGAAGCAAACCCTGAGTAATTGTCAGGTCACATCTTTCTTCCCACTCAGGCGTCTCAGCAGGAGGATGCAGTGGACAATGGGGATGAAAACTTGACTTTGATCTGTATATACAGAGTAAAAATCATTTGTTAGCACTGAGTTGTAAGATCAGTGGAGAACTTGGGTCCTGCCTCTCTGACTGTGCCTGATGCCAAGAACCTTGGGTCTGGTCTGTGTTCCTGGCCTGGGCAGTGTCTTTGCAGGTGGCCCTCTACTCTTGTTTTGACATGTTCCTATGATGGGAACTCACTGTCAACGAAACCAGCCCTATGACCCTGTTCATTTCTGTCCAGCTAGGATTATCTTCTTTGGCAGTGGTACAGGTGACCTCAAATCCCAAGCAGCTCTCTTGCTGTGCTTGTCCCTAGAATATGTCACGTTTCTGAGAGTTACCCCCAACATGACCCACGTGCACATCGTCAACCGCAGGCCTCTGTTCACACACTTGGGTGAGATGACTGAAGGATGCTTCCCTGCACTTAAGCCACCTATGTCTTAGTCTCCTGACACCAGCTACAAGGTGGGAGGAGCCCCAGGTACCCAGACCCCACTGAGAGCTGCTGTGGATGGAGGGGAGCAGGCTTGACAGCTCCAGGTTCCAGGAACTGGTGCTTTCCAGTACCAGGGCATGACATAGTCCCAGAATACCCAGGAATCTGGCCTTTTAAGTGTCAGAATTTTCACTGGATTCCTTTTGAAGATCCTGTTTCATGAGGCTTCTCCTTTGTCTTGAAGGCTAGCCTCTGACCTTAGATACCATGTAGGGAATTTTAGCCCTGGGTCCTAGGGCCTGGAGCCTTGTGTGAGCACATTCCATGGAGTCAGAGGTCACAACCCTCACCAGAAAGAGCCACCACTGTGGGAAAAACCTCTGGGTGGGTTGTATGTGCATGCAAGGTTGGGTGCATGCAAGGGTTGGGTGTACATGCAAGGGGTTTGGGTGTTGTTAATGAAGATGCCATATGACTGAGACACCAGAAGGGCCAGGTCTTTAGGGCAGGTCTGGAACCTTGGAAGGAGCTAAGGCCATGGTCTGGGGATTAGATGCTGTTGGCAGAGATCCTCCTGCTCCTTGTCTTGCTGTCATCTTTAAGCCTGTCCTGTGAAGAGTGGTCCTATCCCACCAAATAGACTGCTGGCCTGTGAAGAGGCATGGTGACTACTCCCAAGTACTAATGGCCCTGTTCTCAAAGCGGTGAGGATCCAGGGGCACTACATTGTGGCGGGGAAGACCAGCATCTCGCCTAGCGTCACATACCCTTCCCTTCTGGAGGACTGCCGTGTGGAGTACACAGTGACCCTCACTGAGGACCAGCTGCCCCACTTAGAGGAGATTCACATCCGAGGACCTGTCCAGGACGACATGGAGATCCAGGTCACCAATCAGCCAAGCTGGGGGGAAAGTCAGCAGGCCTCTCCTGGTGGCTCTGGATATCTGCTTATGTGTAATTCATTCACTCCCTCATTAATCCTTGCAGCAGTCATTTGGGGACAAGAGGGGCTCTGTGGAAGGTAAAATGCAACAGAAACCACTCACAGGATTAGTGTATTGCAAATCAGTATGAAAATGTGCCTGTGTCCAGGGCATGCAGACGACCTCAGAGGTCTGAGAGTAAAAGAGAAAGTAGACTTTATGCTCGAATCAGGGACTCTCCCCCAACCAGGACTGGCCATGGGCAATCCTCTGAAATGGGGAGTAGGCCAAGCAAGGAGTCTTTGTACCAGCTGGCATGTGGGGCTCTTCAAGTAATGGAAGGAGGCTCTTGTTTCTTTTTCTCCTCCTTCTCTTCTTCTTCTCATCATCTTCTTCCTTCTTCTTGTTCTTGTTTTTCTGTGGCCTTGAAAGGTTGCATGTAGGGTTGCCCTCAAAGATGTGCCTCACCTGTGTATGTCCCCTGTGTGCTGTGCTGGGAAGAGTGTGTATAGCTGGGCCAAAGCTGAAATTGCCTGGCCCAGAACACTTCAGCTGGACCATTCCCTGCCCTGACACTACTCCTGACCTCATCAACACTCCCGTCATACCCTATCCCAGACCTACCACCCTGTTGGTACATACCTTCTCTGACCCATAGTATAGAAGGCAGACACCCAAGCCCTGTCTGCCTCCTGGATTCTGGGAACATGGGGACTGGAGAACTGAAGCACTGGAATGCTTTGGAGACATATGTTGAGACTCCTGGGTGTGCCCTGAAGGGCCTGAGCTCTCATCTGCCCTGATACAGGTGTACAGACGGTATGGAGAAGAATATGGAGAGCTTACACACCCAGACATTACCTTTACCTACTTTCAACCGAAGCAGCAGGCAGCCTGGGTATGGACTGCTATGCGTGGACCCTGCGCAGTGACCTGTGGAGCAGGTGAGCCTCAGGGTGAGGCTTGCCTACAGTTCTACTGAACTCAATGTGGAGGTGGCTGAGTCTTTGCTCTGCCCTTCCAGGGCTTCGATGGGTGACCTACAGCTGCCAGGATCAAACTCAAAACAAGTCAGTGAAGAGTGCCCAGTGCCAAGGAAGCCCACAGCCACATGCATGGCAAGAGCCCTGTGACTCTGGCCCCTGTCCCCCATAGTAAGTACTAAATTGCATAGCCACCTGATTTTTGGTGACTCTTGTGACCTAGGCAAGCTGGAAAGCATCTCTATGTGTTGTTTTTCAGTTTTAGCTGGTACTGTGTGGGCTGGGCTCTGTCAGTCCCCATTCTGAGGACATCAAGACTTGAGACACACAGTCATAGAGGTAGTCGGATGTGTGATCATATCTTCTGCCACCTTGTCTGAGTGTCCTATGGTCTCTCTGAGCTCAGGTTCTTATTGCAAGATGGTGGTGACCACCCTACCATGGAGAATGAGGGGAGGGCCAGGCACTGGTTTCTGTCAACTGGTAACAGAATACTTCTAGGGCAAGGTTGTCTTGCTGGGTGTAGCACTAGGGAGGCCCCAGCAAACACTATAAAATACACTATCCTCAGGATCAGAAGTATGTTAGGGGAGGTTCCAGCCTGAGGCTGGTCTTGGAGCAGCAGCTTGAGAACATAGGACCTGGACCAGACCAGGGAAAGTGTGTTATCAGGATGAGTGAGACAGACTCACTTGCCTTCCACCTCATGGCCCTGAGCCAACTGAGGGTCCTGGCCCCAGGTCTGATGTTCTGTCCCTTTCCTCCTTAGCTGGATAGCTGGAGACTTCAGCCCATGCAGTGTGTCTTGTGGCGGAGGCCTTCGGGAACGGCCAGTGCACTGTGTGGAGGCCCAGGATGGCATCTTAAAGACACTGCCGCCAGCCCGGTGCAGAGAGCTTGCCCAGCAGCCTGCAGTGGAGGTGGAAAACTGCAACCTCCAGCCCTGTCCCACTAGGTAGGCACATCAAGGTGTGCTGAGCACAGTTCCTCGGCCGGGCATGACCCTGCACTGAGACCCACCCTTGGAGAGGGCTTCTCTCCTCCTGAGGGCTCTCATCAGCTCCATCCTGGTGACTGAACACCAGCTTTCTCACTATTCAAGAGGCACTGGACTGCTCATGTTTGAATTTCTAGCACCTGGTGCTGTGGGGAGGAGGGCTCTGAGGATGGTGTGGCACTATGCTTGTAAAGCTGATATCATCAGTCATCACTTTCATGTATCCTGCAGTGACCATGCGGCTGTGTCTTACATCCTCCATGTCCAAACTGATCTTGGCTTATTGGTCTGCCTGTCGCCAACAGGCTGGACGACTGACTGGCATGAGTTTCTTCCTTTTCTGGCTTCAGGCTTATCTCTCCAGTGGGAAAGCCCTACATTATTGGTGGCTTACCTATGGCCCTGGCTCCCTCCTCTTCTACACTGTATGCCTTCGCTTACCAAGTGCAATCCAGCCTCAGCATCCTTGACATCATGGTGCTCTAGGCAGCCACCATGCATTGGATGGTATGCAGTGAACCATGTGCCGCCCTCCAGCTGGTACCCTGAATGCACGTGGCACCTGTTGGTTTCTCATCTTCTGCAACGGGGCATGAAGTGTGTTGTTGACAGCTTTGAGAGGGGTCTACATGTACTCCTGCCTTGAGCAGGGTTCTGCCTTCTCACCCCCTAGCCACAGATAGAGTGTGTGGTTGGCATGTACGAAGTTACAGTTTAATTAGTGTGTGTGCACACATGTGAGCAAGCCATGGTGCAGGAGTGCAGGTCAGAGGACAACTAAGAGCAGCCAGTTTTCTCCTTCTACCTCATGGGACCCCTGGGACCAGAATGTCAGGGTTGGAGTCAGAAGCGTTTGGTCACGGAGCCATTTCACTGTCCCAACGCAGAGTTCTTGCTGAGGAAACCTGAGGTGTGATGAACCAATGCTTCAGAGAAAGCGCCTGACTTTCGCTTAATAGGGTCTACATATTAGGATCCTAGACGTCAACCATGCCCCGTTCCACCCCAGGAGTGGTGCTGCACGTTCTGCTAGGCAGGGCCTGGTGATAAACGTGTGTTCTCTCCAGACAGGAGGTGTCAGGCCCTGGCCCTTGCATGTCGTCCGCCTGTGAAGCAGATCTCGCTCCAAGAAATGTGACATGTGTGCCCAGGGTGGGTGTACCAGAGGAGCCAGAAACTGCAAGTCCCTGCCTCACGGATGAAACGTCACCTCTGCTGGAGCCCTGTTTCAGGACCACATGTTCTCCAGTCTTGGGTCAGGTGAGTGGATGGGGCAAGAGAGGGGCCAGGATTCTTGGATCCTTTATTAGTTGTAAGGATGAAAAACACAGGTTGTCATCTTCCTGCAGGCCAGAGTGAGGACCCCATCCTTCTCAGGGTGCTGTCTGAGGAACACTCTGTCAGAGTACACACTTAGAGTGCTTCTGAAAGGGGCAAACCAGGCTGAGAGAAAATAGAGCTTGTTAGAAGCATCAAACAATGAGTGGGGATCATTCTGTTGTCATTGGGGTGCTGAGAGGCAAATCCAAGGCTGTCAGTATGCTAGGCAAGCACTCTACCACTGAGCTATATCCCTGGTCGTTTTCTTCATATATTTTAAGTTTTGAGACAGTGTCTCACTAAATTGCTCAGGTTGGCTTTAAACTCTGTCTACAACCCAGGTAGACCTTGAACTTTCACTCCTCCTGTGTAGGCCTCCCAAGTTGTAAGAACTACAGGCCTGTGCTACTAGGCACAGCAAGAAAGAGTTCTCCAGCTGCTATGAAATTAATTCTTCCATCATTTGCCCGGGATTTAGGCTGATGACATTGCTCTCAGGCTGGAGGGCCCTGAATTCTTACAGGCTAGGGACTGCAGGGCCAAGCATGCTTGCAAATCCCCTCCCGCTTCTTAGCTACCAGCCCCATCCCACAGACAACACTTGGAATGATAAAGAGCCTGCACAGGCCAAGTTGAGGTGCATGGTGAGGGCTTCACCAGGGGTCAGATATAGGCCTCCCTAGAGAACAACAGGGAGGGAACCCTGGTGTGTTATGCCTCTTCCCTCCTGAGGAGGTACAGGGAAGCTGGCAGCTCAGAGGCAGAAGTGAGAATGCCAGACTTATCTGCTCATTGCTCTCTTTAGCTGGACACCGTGTCTCCAGGACAAGAGGCTCCATCCCCAGTGGGCAGTGACAAGCCACAGGCTCAGGCTGTACATGTGTGGACTCCTCTGGTGGGGTTGTGCTCCATCTCTTGTGGGCGAGGTGAGAGCCTGAGGACATTCATGAAACCCATATTCTATTACTTTTCTTATCTACCCACATTCTGCCTAGATCTGTGCTGAAGAAAAGGGGGCTACCAGAAAGCCAAACTATGTGACTTTGGCACCCAAATAAGTCCTCTAAATGCATTCCATCCCTGACTGAACGATAAAGATAAATCCCAGGAAGATTGGCACCTCAGAGTCCCTTATAGTCCTACAAAGTTGGGACCAAACCAACCACCAAAGCTGAAAACAATCAGTTTAAAGATACATGTTATCTTCTGTCTTCCCTATTATGAAAGACACACACAGATCTCTTAGCCATTTAAAATATTTATTTTATTTGTGTGTCTGTACCTGTTTGTCGGTCTGTGCATCATGTGTGTGTAGCCTTGGAGGTCAAAGGAGGCATCAGAACCCCTAGAAATGAAGTTACTGATAGCTGTGAGCTGCTATGTGGGTGCCAGGAACTGAACCCATGTCCTCTGCAAGAGCTGTAAGAGCTCTTAACTGCTGAGCCATCTCACCAGCCCCAAGTCTTTTTTTTTTTAATAAGTTATGTATTTATTTTTTTAGATTTATTTATTTATTTATTATGTATACAATGTTCTCCTGCATGTACACCTGCATGCCAGAAGAGGTCACCAGATATGATTATAGATGGCTGTGAACCACCATGTGGTTGCTGGGAATTAAACTCAGGACCTTTGGAAGAGCAGGCAGTGCTCTTAACCTCTGAGCCACCTCTCCAGTCCCCAGTCCCAACTCTTGAACATCTTTAATGTTTCACTCAGTGGCATTTATCATACCCCCCTTGTGCAGCCATCAGATTCTACCCTTCCAAAGTAGACCCTGCCTTCATTAAACACTAACATTCATCACCTCCCAGACCCTGACTACCTACATGTTTGTTTCTTCTATGGATTTGACTCTTACATCCCTGTTTCCTCCTGGCAGGTCTGAGGGAGCTACGTTTCCTGTGCATGGATTCTGTCCTTAAGATGCCTGTCCAGGAAGAGCTATGTGACTTGGCCAGCAAGCCCTCGAGCCGGTGGGAGGTCTGCAGGGCTAGCCCATGTCCTGCTCGGTAAGTCGGGTGGTGTGATTTCAGGGAAGGAACTTGATCCCAGGGTTGGTGTCCTATAACCTTGGCCTTTTTCCTTCAGGTGGGAGACTCAAGTTTTGGCACCATGCCCAGTGACTTGTGGAGGGGGACGAGTGCCACTGGCTGTCCGTTGTATGCAGATGGACCATGGCCGCCCTGTGTCTCTACCTCATTCCAAGTGCTGGCCAGTGCCTAGGCCAGGCCCCTTCAAGGACTGCAGCCCTGAGCCTTGTCCTGCTAGGTGAGTACCTTGCCTGAGAGATAGGCAGCCCTAGATCTGCATTCTGCTTTGCCATCACCCCCACATGATGTAAAGTACACTTGTGGGGTCTGGGATGCTGATAATGCAGGTACATTTTTTAAAAATCTATTTATCTAATGTTTATGAGACAAGGTATCACTCTGTGGCCCTGGCCTCAAAGGTGTGTGTCACCATTCCTGGCCAGTGCACGTGTGTATGTGTGTGTGTATGTGTGTGTGTGTGTGTTTTAATTATAGGGCTTTTTGCATGCTAGACAAGTACTCTAGCACGAAGCTATATTCCCAGTCCCACCTTTTACCTTTTATGTCAAGACAGGGTCTCACTAAGATGCTCACTAACTTCACTCTGTAGCCCAGGAAGGCCTTTAGCTTATGACCCTTGACTTGTGTCACCTGACCCAGTCAGGCACATATGTTGATGGAACATTCATTCAGGGCTTGTTCTAATTTACTGAATACCTGCTATGTGTAGGTGCTATCTGCAGCCAGAGGACATGGCAATGACAAAGTAAGAAGATGTTCTGACCCTCCTGGAACTGACATAATTGAGGGTTATGAATGAGTCAGTGTGACAAGCAGTATTTGGGGCAATAGAGCTAACCACAGTGGGTTGGGAAGTTGGAAGGGCTGGAGGCTCCAGAGTGAGGCCAGTTCTAGGATTTCATTATAGACAGACAGCTCTACAGGTTCCTTATCGTATCCCGGCCCCCTATGCCTTTTGGACCCAACCTCTTTTATCACCCTCAGTTTCTCCTTCTGTGAAGTGAGTTGGTCTGAAGACTGTCTGCTGAGCTTTGCCTCCTGGTGGAGCAAAAACTCTTTATGCCCTTTCCAACCCTTTCTTCCTATTGGAGAAATAAGAGGAAGGTCTGTTGTCCTTTGGGTCCTGCTAACTTCAGTTCTTCCCAGGTGGCATCATAAGCTGGCAGCCTGTAGTGTGAGCTGCGGGGGAGGGCTGGCACGGAGAATCCTGTACTGTGCCCAGGCTCGTGGAGAGGATAATGAAGAGAAGATCCTGCCTGATGTCCAGTGCCAGGGCTTACCTCGCCCTGAACCTCTTGAGGCCTGCAGCCAAGAACCATGTCCTCCCAGGTGAGGGAGGAGTTGGTGAGGGGCATGCCCAGTGCACAGACTCCAGGCAGGAGCCCTGGAAATTTCAAGGCCAAGCGGTAGCCCAGAGACACTGTAGAAGACAGGGCTGCTTGGCAGGCCATGCTGGATGTGGAGGCTGAGGTTCAAGTACAACGACAGGCGGGTAGTGAGTTCTATAGGTGCAGCTCTGAATGAAAAAGTGGGGATGCCATACCCAGCAGAATCAGGAGAGCTGCTACCACAGCCTGCCAGGCTTCTTATCAGATTGGTTTACTTCTCCTTTCATATATGTCATGATTTTAAATTCTGTAGCTTGGAACTCGAGACCCACAACACATGTCTTGCCTTCTTTATTTTTGCTGAAGTTTCCTGTCTGTGTGCCTGTTCCTTTCTACATGTCATATTTATGAATGATCTACATTTTTTTTGTTTTTGTTTTTTTGTTTTTGTTTTGTTTTTGAGAGTATCTTCTGTAGCTCAGGCTAGCCTCTCTATGCAGCTAAAGATAGCCTTGAATTCTCGAACCTCAGGCCTTCACCTCCCAAGTGTTGGGGTTGTAGGCATGTGCCACCATACACAGCTAAACGTTTATTTGTTCTTTAAATTGGAACTGTGTGCACACAGTTCTGTTTACCCCTGGGGTGCTGTGTAACCACTCTGCAATCTGCACTCATCTGTCTGTGGTCTCTTCTTTCTTGGGCACTAGTTGCCCAGCCATGCACGATTCTGCCTTGATGAGCACACGGGCAACTTCAGTTTAATGGTCATAATTAGGGATATTTGCTATTGGCTCCTAGTGGGCAGAAGCTAGTCATGCTCATCTCGCAATGCACAGGACGTTCCCCACTCCATGCCCAGGACAAATGGTCACATGCCAGTGGTGGCAATATGCAGACCATATGCCCCTGAGGTGAAGTCCTGGTCTGGTTCATACCATTGCCCTGGGTCCCAAAGCGTCACTGAGCCGACCAATGACATGGGCATGAAGGGCAACATTGCAGCTCAATGAGGTCAGTGGAAACCCATGGCCAGGGAATGTGTGCAGAGCACTGTTGAAGAAGCTGAGGGTCCTTCAAGAGTCACAAGGGACCTAGTCTTCACAGAGGCCCAGCTGTCATTGGGATTTTTTTCTTCCTGCAGATGGAAAGTCCTGTCCCTTGGCCCATGCTCAGCCAGCTGTGGCCTTGGCACTGCCACACGAATGGTGGCCTGCATGCAACTTGACCAAGGCCATGACAGTGAGGTGGATGAAACTTTCTGTAAGGCGCTGGTGCGGCCCCAGGCCATTGTCCCCTGCCTCATTGCTGACTGTGCCTACCGGTGGCACATCAGCACCTGGACAGAGGTAAGTGTGGTCCTGGTCCTGGGACTTCTAGCTGAGGAAGGCAAAGGGTCTTTGTGCACAAAGGGGTCTGTGGTCTCTATTCACTATGACCCCTGGGAGGAGGGGATTCTGCTGTGGTGGACACTCAGAGCCCTGGAAACCCAGACAGCTAGGCTGTGAAAGGCCTGGGGTCTGCAGATATACTGGAAGCCTCACTACTAAAGACACTAGTGTCATCTTGTGACAAGCACCCAACAAATCACTAGAGAGGCCAAGGTGGGTAGATCTTGGTTCCCCTGAGAGGAGCTTATTTGAAGTGGTAGACAGCATACAGACAGATAGGAAAAACTGCTGTTCCTCAGGGGCCTGCTCCCCTACCTCACCTTACCTTGGTCAGAAAGACTCTGGACATCAGATAAAGGTAGAAACTGCAGAAATGCAAGGCAAACACTGGACTGTGGAGCCATAGAGGGTCATCCTAGTTCCTTCTTTAAGGCTCTGAGAAACAGAGAGGCTGAGACAGGGCACCGAGACCAGAATTTCAGGTCTTATATACACTCAAGCCCCCACAAAGGCATCTCTTTGGCTTCAGTATCTTTTCCTGTAAAGCAGAGACAGTACAATATCCTGTGGTCACTCTGTCTTGCCTCTCTTTGACAAGCCCACCATGATCGTCCACTTCTTTCCTGACAGTGCTCCGTCTCCTGTGGGGATGGCATCCAGCACCGGCATGACACCTGCCTTGGACCCCAGGCACAAGTGCCTGTGCCAGCCAACTTCTGCCAGCACCTGCCCAAGCCAGTAACAGTGAGGAGCTGCTGGGCTGGGCCCTGTGCAGGGCAGGAGATTCCCAGCTCACTGCCTCACAAGGAAGCTATGCTTCCTAGCCAGACCCAGGCTGCTGTTACTGCTGCTTCTCCGAAGTGGTCCCAGCCCCAAGCCCAGGCCAGCACCCTCTTTCCAGCATCCCAGTCTCTGGGGCTCAAGGAAAACCTGGAAGAGCCTGGTTAGGTTCCTTCCTGCTTCCTGTTGGGAGTTTGGCATCTCGCAGGACAAGCATTCAGGCACTAGACCACATACCATTGGGTTCAGGGCCTCCTTCTCATCTGGCAAAGGGAAGCCATACTTTCATGTGCATGCCACACTTTTGTATGTGCATGTTTATGTTTGTGTGTGTGTGTGTGTGTGTGTGTGTGTGTGTGTGTGTGTGTGT